AATTATGGAATTCCATTTATGTGTTCTTGCTCTTCGTTGTGAGTTCTTCATCAAATATTTAACAGGCCCAAGGGTTGATTCACCGAGATGGATAAATGGTATGGAAACCTGTTTGTTAAACAAACGACAACGTTCTATTTATTGAGGTAAATATAGCATTCTTCAAAACAAGCCCATATAGATGTTGGGCCCAGGTTTATGCATAACTATCACTTACAGGTATGGAAACCAGTCCACTCTCCGTAGAAGAATAGACTTTAACTAGAATGGCCAATATTTGGGGGGTTCAAGAAAGGAAACAACACGTGGGGAATAAAAAGAAGAAAAAAACAACTCTTTTTGGATTGTATTAAATGGGAGCGGCTATACACTTCAAAAACAGAACAACTTTTTAGTCAATTACTGTTTTTTAGTCAGTTCCCAATGAATGCCAACATCGTTATCATATTTATAAAATTAGTATACAATTTCATTTGTCGCAAGTCCCAGAGCGGAGCGCGGGCAATGAAGACTAGTACTAGTAATGAGTCCGGCCCGTTGGCCGGTATAGTAAAAAATACTGAGGTAATAGTGTAATACGACTGAAGCAATTTGAATTCGTAACTTCGACCATTCCATCTGCAAGCATTGGTCCAAATTTGAAAAGTATGGGTTTGGCAGAATTAGGGAAAAGTTATATGCTGGTGGTGACAATTTCCATTGGCGGCAACGAAAGCGAGAGACGTGTAGAATTGAAATAGACTAACAACTTAAGCCTCAATTCTCCATTTTGTTGCTGATAGTTTCACTTGCTCTTGCAAATTATTTTACTGATTACAAAGAAGTTACTGACGTAAGTATAAAAGTAGCATAACAAAAGGAAAAATAAAACCATAAAGTAAAAGGTGATACATTATTTGATAACAGGAAGTAATATCCCTACATGTTGCAGCATCACTATGGGTTTCAAAGTGCTCGAAGCTACGAACTCCCTTCCCCACCCAAAACGCAAGTAAAGATTCACAACTGATGATTTCTATCCTAATATAATCCATGCTTCCCACATCTCTATTATTTCTTCTTCTTCTCCTACTTTTTTCTGAGTGACTTTTCCTCTTCCCCTCACTCTGCTCCCCTTTCTTCCCTACTGCTTCTCCAATTTTTACTTTCTCCCATCCCTTGTTTAAGGAGCAGACCTCACCGGGAAGGTCACATGCAGAGGTTGTAATTCCTTTTTGTTTGTTCTTCCTTAGATGATTGGTTTAGAAGAGGTTGCAGCCCATAAAGAAACAAAATATTTATCATGATTGAGGTTGTCTTTGAAAACCCAAACCTTCCAATTGCCCCTAGAATAATGAGATCAAATTACTAGACTTAACATGCTAAAGTGATACGCTTGAAAACAAAAATTTAACCAGTGCCACCCAAATTTAGAGATCTTCGCAGGCACCCCAACTACTTTTTTTCCATCATTATCCTCGTCGCTTCGGCCAATCGAGGCAATCGGGTTCCTCATTTATATAGCTGCCAAATTCCCAGAGACAAATGCAACTTCAAATACACTACAAACAATATTCAATTTCACATACCACCATCAAGGCGCCCCCTCTCTACATTAACTTCAGCTAGTGTCGGACTTCCAGGGGAGACAAAAGTTGCTCTTCCTTTCCCTAACAAAGACACATTGGAAGCACAAAGAAAAAAAAACCCTTCTATTTCAGTTCGTATATATGACATTTAATTTGAGGAAATAGCATACTAAGAACAAAGAGAGTATATACATCGAGTGGTAGCAGAGATAAAATTCATTGGAGGATTGTTTGAGCCATAAGAAGTATTGCCGCGAGGCCGTTTCGCTGGCATTGCTGCAGCAGACGCATGGGGCAGCAGAGGCAGGGGAAACCAATAGAGAACTTGGACCTTAATCCACCAAGACACTGTCGACTCCAACTTGATAGGGTATGGAATTGTTGAGGATTGAACTACATCATTGGTATAGGGCAGTAAGCAATTGCAAAGACTTCCCTTTGGAAAGAAAAATTACAAAGAACTAAACATAAAATCCAACATACAAAACTACTACAAGTTACGAAGAAAAATCCAAAAGTTGGATTCGCGGCAAAATTAACTGCCCAGAGGACTGTTATGCATGATAGCTTGGGAGATCGGTCGAGATTTGGTAAGAGAGAGACGACGATACACAGATTGGTTGAGAGACAGTAACATACACAGTATTGTCGTCAGTGCGCGTCGATTCGCGATGACAGTCCAGAAGTGGCGAGAGCGAGACGGTGAGGATATGGATTTCAAATTGATTGGAGGAAAAATTGAGAGTGGAGGTTGTTCTCAGATTCAAATGAACAGAGAGGGCAATGTGAGGGATTACTCTTTTTGATTGAGTGTGGCAGAAAGAACGGCGGAGGATTACAATGACAGATTGCGGCAAGAAAGATACGGTGACAAAGAGTTCTTTGCATTCCAGTGGGTGGTTGGAGATTTTGGTTTCCGATTGGAAGGGCGGTGTTGAATCCACCGAGGATCCTGGATCATTGAGCAGCCAAAATACCTTTAGCGACTTCCATACAATAAAAAAAAACCTTCAGCGACTGGGGACTGATAAGAAGAGAAAGACGGAAGAGAAGAAGATCTAGAGAATGACAATAAAACCCCTCCGAAGTGTGCGGCGCTGTTTGCAAAGGGTGACGTGGCAAATGTTGTATTTTGACATTCGCTTATAGCATTTTGTAGATGTAATATAACATTTCATATTAGTAAGACTTATTCGTAATTTATATTTTTTCTTCGCTCTCAACATTTATAAGAGCAAAGGCATTGCTTAGGAACAAAAGGAGTAGGGATAAGGTCACAAAGTCCTTTTCCGCCGTAGCGGCTCTTGCAGTCATCCCAGCAGTGCTCCACGGTGGTGCAATCCCAAGTCATTAAGCAGTTTTTAGCTTCTGCTACCATTTTGTGTTCACCTTTTCAATCAGCACACAAGTATAATTAATTGTACATAAGAAAATAAACTAACAAATAAGATGGATCCATATACGTGATTGATTTAAAATAAAATTTATGAAATGAATAGAGCGACATGCAAAGAGAGGACAAGAAGAACAATCAGAAAATATTTATCATTGTCCTATGACTATTATAATATTTTTTAGGTACATACACCTATTTTTGTTCATAATTATTGTAAGAAGTTTACCTAATGAGACGATGAACAGAAGGAAGAACAAGAAGCATAGTGTAGAAGACTTGGCCATATCTCTGAAAAACTTAACCGGAAGGATATAATTTTATATTTTAGTTTTGTGTCCTCAGTTGTATGATAGCCTTTGTATGTGGCTTTGCTATTTATAAGAAATATTTCTTGTACTATTCAACGCCTCAATAGATATATTGGCATAAAAAGTAGAAGGACATAAGGCAACATCATAATAGCTTATAGAAAAGATGGAGAATTATGACAAGACGAAAAAGATGGAGAATGAAAAAAAAAATAAGGCAAGATATTAATGTGAAAATAAGGGAGATAAGGAAACTTCATAGTTATTTCCTTTATCTTTTAATATCTTCCTAGCATGTTAATAGTGTAGTCAAGATGTAACTGTTAGAAGATTTGTTTGTAACAAAACTTGGTTACATGTGATCAAATAAATTTAATGGGATATACTTCTTTTTTTAAAGTTAGAATTAAAAAAAATTGTAAACAATCAAAATCAATCGTGTTCTTCAAAATAATATCAACTTTGATAATATTTTAGAACAAAATTTTTTAGACGTATGTTACTAGTCTATACTATGGTGATAATGCTTCATAGTATATAAGATTATACCATGTTGATCAAATAAAGTTAATGGGATATACTTCTTTTGTTTTAAGTTAATTCAAAAAATATTTTGTCAAAAAATCCGATTAATCATGCTCTTAAAAGTAACATCAACTTTGATATATTTTAGAACAAAAATTTTGAGACTTTATATTACTAGTCTATACGCTGGTCATAATAAGCTTCATAGTATATAAGAGTATACCATGGTGGTATGGAAGTGTATCATTGTGGTATGAATATACCATATTGTGAAATAATTGCATACATGATAGTAGAAATATACTAATCGCCATCTATCATCATCTACCATAAAGTTACCACCCTATACCAGGCTATCCTTACTTTCTTATTTTTTTAATTGATTAGTTAGTGGCATGAAGTGAAAACACGCATTTACTAGTTGATGAGATTCAAATTATAATGTTGATCAATCCTATATTATTTAATACATTTCCCTTCTATCGATGTGCCTAAGATAGAGATGGAGTGTGTTTTGTGGTATTTTACTTCATTTGGTGTTCTATTGTGCATTTTAGGGATGTACAGTCTATATGAGTATGGATCACCATATGGATCAGAAGGAAGACGAGAATACAATCTCATAGGCACAAACATAGATGGATTAATTTGGACTTCAGATGCTCATTTGATGGCCTAGAGAACCACATTTATGAAAGCTTAATGGTCAAACGAAGCCAAACGAGTTGAAATTGGAGCGGCTCAATAAGCCCATTATGGAGTCGTCCACTAAAAACCATCCCATTTGGAGGAAGGAATGTCATGGCGGTGGTGATCGTTGTTGGGTCGCGCTGGTCTAGGTCCATGGAAGTTATGGAATATGCTATACTTGGATCCCAAGTCAAGAAATCCGCATCTCAATGGTATAGGGACTCTTTTGGCCGACTTTTAGGAGGAAATTTCTAGAATATCCCTTCTTCCATGTACTATAAGTAGAGACTTAAGCTTTAGTTTTTACACACTTTTACACACACTCAATAAGCTTAAGTCTTTTGTTGTTTAGGAATGAGAATTCTATGATGCTTAATGCATATACTGTCTTTGATTTAATGAGATGCTTTAGTCATTGTTTATTTATGTTCTTATATGCTTATATAATTGGATGCCTTATCCATTTGATGCTTTGTTGTTAGAATACCTTAGCTTTAACATGCCCTAACCATTTGATGCATATATCATTTATTACGTGGTACTATGTATGGTATTGGTTATAATATCATCATAGGTTGCATAGGAACTCCATACGTCTTTGCCTCGTGTATGTATAGTTAGTTGGACGTGACTATGCATACCTATGTGATACCAATGCTTGATACCTTCGATCATCATTGCTATAGACCATTACTATGGTTTATAGAGGACCTAAATAGTTAATGTTATCCCTATACTTTCTTGTTTAATTAATTAGTGTAGTGGCATGAAGCGAAAGCAGACATTATATTAGCTAGTCATAATTCTTTTTGTATGTGGCGAAAGCTTGATTAGGATGGTTATAGTGGAAGGGATAAGGTTACATAATCAAAGATGCATCGATGCTACGAGCCATAAAGATTGTCTATAGCATCGATGATCTAATAATCAAGCATCAATCAAACACAAGCATGCATAATCGTGTCACCAACTAAACATACATGTATAGGATAGAAGCATATCACATAAGAGTTTCCTAACAACCTAACATGTGTTATAAACCATGACTACAATAGCATAGAAACTAAAACATACAATGACTAAGAATCAAAATGATAAAGCATTGGCTAATACAAATCGGACTTACAAACCATACAAATAGTAGAAGCTAGAGCGACAAAACATACAAACATATTTACAAACAATACAAACATACGAACTATACAAACTAGACCAATAAACAATACACACATACGAACTATACAATCAATACAAACTAGACCGACCAATAATATAAACCGTAAAATATGAAAAAAATAACCAGGTTGACTTTGGATGCTCCATCCCTATAGAGGGGTTCCCTCTCAAAGCCAGCCCGGTTGTTTTTTAGACATAGAAAAAATACGAACATGGTGGACAAAAATTACAAACTAGACCGACAAACCATACAAAATGGAAAAATAGTCGGGTTGACTTTGGCGGCTCCATCTCTATATAGCGAGTCCCGTCCAAAAGTCAACCATGATGTTTTTTTGAAAATAAAGACATTACGAACATGGTGAACAAAAATGAAAAAACTTACAAACATTACAAAAGAAACCGGCAAACAGTACAAAGCATACTAACCGTACAGAATATCACTACTTACAATACAAATCGATAAACTTGTATAACAAACCAATGAATACAAAGTATACAAATCATAACATAAAAGTGTACAAACTCCACAAACAAACATTGCAAATTACAATATATACAAAATAGTAATATAAACATTACAAATATAATAGACAAACATGGCAAATAAGAATCATAAACAATACAGACCGAAATTACATAAACATCATAGATCGGATTTATGAACATTATAAAATAGATCGACAAACATCACAAACAGCACTGTCGCCAAAAAATCCTCATTCGCAGTCTTCGGCCGCCGAAATAGCCACCTCCGGTTGTTGGAAAAAATCTCTCTCTTTCTCTCCGCTGAAGTGGGGAAATGGCAAATGTTCCCTGAAAAGGATAGGCAAAGCTAGTGAGGGCCGAAAAATTGTCTGACCGGAAGGGACGATCGGACGTTGACGAAACGCAATGAGAGGTTTTTTATTTACTTCATAATAATTTAAAATTATAAAATAATCTTGCAATTACCATATTGTCCTTCATTAAATTAAATTAAATTAATACGAGCGGTTTGATTTTAATGAAGTGGAAGGGCTGAGATTTAGATAATTATGTGACTAAGAGAATCCTAATCGTAGCCACAAGTTTAGTAATCCTGTTACAAACCAACACGTGAGTACGTGACTCATAGTAAGTTAGTAGGTACATTTTTTTAAGCCTCTTGGTTTGGGCTCTCATGCATACTGCATACATTATTGCACCAATTGGGCCGCTCCTTGTGGCATGTCGGATCTCACCTTCGTTGCCCGATATGTTTATTTCTTGTGTAAACTTCACTTTCCCAATGCACCATATATAAATTCCAATCATTAAACACTTGAACCCTATGAGGTCGGGTAAGGAACGGGTGGATTTGAATTGGTTCAACCTGTAAATTTGAATGAAATGTACATATTTCAACTTTTCTTAATTTCTTTGCCCGATATATGTTTATTTCTCGTATAATTAGTAACAGGAAACTATTAACATCATTGCTTTCCGTGTATTTATTTCCTGCATCTTATATAAATTCCAACATATATAAGTGATTAGCTCTCATGTTCAATATTGACATCACCATCATTTTGCTTGACTATATATAGATAGCTATGTACTACCACCGGGTCAAACTTAACTATGCACTTAGCTTCTAGGAATCAGAATGTGCAAATTAGTACATAGCAACGGAGCATGATTAAGGCGGTACTTGTTAATCAATTATACTTCATCCTTAAAAGGCTGGTACGTTTTTTTTATAAGGGTGAAATAATATTAATAACGGAAAAAGACTAAAAATTAAGAGTTTGAAAACACAACCAACAAACAACAAAAAAATCAGCACATAGCTACCCTCCAAGTGCACCAACAAAAGACAGCAAACAAAAGAATCTGAAAAAAGAAAATGCTCTCAAACACCTGAACCACAAAGCTCCCAAACAAGCTAAAAGGCTGGTACTCGTTAATCAATGATATATGAGAATATTTGTGGAGTTAAGCAATTGAATTGACCGACCTTAGAGAAATGTTGCAGAACTCTAGAGAATGACCAGTCAACTTTTCTTAATTTCTATCCCGAGATGTTTATTTACCCTGTAAACTACTTAAGGCATTTTAGTGCAAACCAGAAGCACGGTAAGTACTGTTGGATGTTGCTCAGTGCTCCTACTTTCCCAATGCAACGAGTTAGGCTAATTATTAACATCATTGCTTTTCCGTGTATATATTTGTTGCATCTTTTATCAATTCCAACATAATTGATTAACTCTATCTCGTGTTCTATATTGGAATCAACATCATTTTCAGCCGTACTTAACTATGTACTTAAGTAGCTTCTAGGAATTAAAATGTACAAATATATATATAGTAAGCAAAATGAAGGTGGTACTTGTTAATTAATTATACTTCATTCTTAAAAGGGCGGTATGTTTTGAGAGACTGTATCAGACCCACGACTGATCCAGCTACTGCGACGAGTGAAACCAGCCGACAGACCAAGCTCAAGGCTTGCAGGGACATCCATGAGAAGGAGAACTTGGGAAATTTCTCTCGAGCAATATACATCTCGATCGGAAAGTAGATGGTCAAAGGCCAAAAAGAAGCTGCACCGATAAGGGCCAGCAAGACGTTGAAGAATGGGAGGATGGTGGCCAAGACGGTCGTCACTGCCACGTAAGCGGACCTCCAAATCACTCTGAACCAGTTGACCTGGAAGCTCGTGCTACCCAGAAACGGAATGGTGATCTGGTGGTCCGTCGTCACGAACTTGACCTCTGGCCACCTCTGACGACAGCTGGACTCCACCAAGCTGAAAATCGGCTGCGCAAACACCTGCAGCCCCACATATATATTAATTAAATGGATACCTATACATAAGGCAATTAATTGAGGGCTTTAATTTAATTAAATTAAATTGAACTGACTTGGTACGCGCCGATGAGGTGGATAGCCACGCAGACGTTGGCTACGTTGAGTAGCCACACCGGATGATCGAATCCAGACCCGGAGAGTAAATCCCCCGGCGCGTGTTTTCCAAACGCCGCTTAGCCCACACAGCCGCAGAGGAGGTAGAAAACGGTTGTAGTCGAGACGCCCACAAAACTAGCCCGTTTCATTGCTTTGTTCTCCGCGGGGCTCGATTTCAGGGTGTCCTGCATGCATCCAGGTCTTTTATTGATTAATAATTAATCCTTCACTAATATGAAAAACGAATATTGACTAGCTACTTAATTACCTGGATCTCAATCAGGACCGTGGAGTAGGCATACGCGAAGGCAATGTCGCCAATCGCTTGGCAAATCCTCCAGAATCTCTCCGCCTCCGACACCGTCGCCGACGTCGTCATTTTCGCCTCAACTCCTTCATTCAATTAAGTTCATTTTTAGGTAACATATTATTGTGAATGTCTTAATTTCTTTCCGGTTATCTATTCATAAATGTATCTCATCTAACCTGTAACAAGTTTGGCTATGGAGAGACCCAAGCCAATAAGGGAATACGTGAAGTACATGACGGCGGCCAGGATGGAGAGCCACGACAACTTGTGGAAGTTGAGCACCTGGCAAAGGATGAGCTGGATGCTGCCAAAGATGATCATGTACGGCGTCGTGGACACGTGGCACTCGTCCTCCTCGTGGAAACAACTCCATTTCCGAACCGTCCTGCGTACATATGAATTTAATTAGTTCAGTAAGGAAATGAAAGTTGGCGTAACTTAAACAAGCTAAAAATTTGATAGCTTACGCCATGCTGATAGACGCCGTGATGGTGTAATCGACGGTGACGCCGACAAGGTTTGCATACTGGGCCAGGCCGCAAAGCCGGACCTTGACCCCACCTAAATGGGCCCGGACCGCGTCCATATAGGTGTAGTTGCGTTGGCCCGTGACGGGGTCCGGGTGGCGGTAGGCGTCGGCGAGCAGGGTGGAGGTGAAAAGGGTGATGAGAGAGAAGACGATGAGAGCGGCCGGTCCGGCCACCCAACCCAGTTGGGCGATTGCCCAAGCCAGGGACAGCACGCCTGACCCGACCACCGCCGTGATGATGTGGGCGCTCGCCGTCACCCACGTACCTGCATTGCATACACGTACAAGTGAATAAATGATGTTCAATATTGGTTGGGAAAATAAGTAATTAATCAAAGCAATTGTATTAACCTAGAGCTGATTATGTAAGCTTTAGCTAAGTGAGAAAGTTAAACTAGCTAATCATGATACATAATAGTAGCTAGGTGGGTTCATTAACCGTCGGTTTAATTTTCTTTTGTACGTCGGTTACTTTCAGTTATTCAATCGTTGAATTTGCCGACAGTTACTTTAATTTACCGCCCGGTTTTCAAACCGACACTAATGTCGACAGATTCTTCGACCCACATAACTAACCGTCGGTAAGAAGTTTACTGTCGGTTAGAACAGACATTAAGTGGGTCAATTACTTACCAGTTCGCATCGAGCGGCCATCGTCGTCGACTGATCTGTTGGACATATTCTCCTTAATCACTGTCTATGAAGCAGCTTCAGAGCAACGAACAATAACTGGAGCTGATTAGTAATGGCGCGGGTGATTCTAATTTGGTGTTGTGGAGAGGAAGATTAAGAATTTAGTTTAGTAACGATGCAGCGGAGAGATTCAAAAGGGTTTTCTCGACTTCGGTGTTTGTAATGAGAAATCCCAATGCACGTACGTACGTTTATATAGTGCATGGCCATCCTAAAGACGTACAACTCAATTTATGAGGTTTTACGTCAAACCATTAATTCAAGAATATTGGATACGTGTAGCTAATCTCCTTGGGTGGAAGAATTGTGTAGAACACTAGTTACTTGATATAGTCAAACCAAAACTAGACGTCGTGGTCCGTCCTTACACCTCCAAAAGGTTGTCACTGCGAGCATTTGGTTTTGGAGCAGGTGATAAACTAATTAATTTGGAGTGAGTCAGTTCAACCACTGATAAATTAAGTACACTTCAAACAACTGGGAATTAAGTCGATCGATCTCGTAACCTGTCAAATCAACAAGGGAATTAAGGGAAAATTAGTAGCCTAACCCTAGATGTTAACTAACCTATCAAATCAAGCAACCAACCTATCAAAGATATTCGCAGCTTCAGTAGTGTACTTGGAATGAACTCCGGGAGCAGTTTACCTTCTCGGGACTGCAAATTGTGAATTTCGAGTGTATATGATAAATTATTTTTACTTATTAACCATTTATATATTTGAGTATTAATCATGATATGCCTTGTTAATACTATTAGTTTGTTGAGTGTTACTTTCAATATGAACCTTTATTTATTTAAAATTATAATTTTTATTGCATTGATCCTGAAGAAACCTGCACCATCAGAAGATTGAATGATTGATACAGAAAAGAAGATTGAAAGACTATATAAACTTTCGGAGTTTACCTCGATCTTAAGGAAGGATCGTAATACAAAGACGAGTTATCGATTATACGCCGAGTTACTAAGCCATTGAGTGCAATTTGAATTTTATGTTTATCATGTTACATTACTCATTCCATTTACTATGATTTTCAAGTTACTGTTGTACTATGTAGGTGAACTTGGAGAGTGTGTATAATTAGAGAATAATATGATTCTCCTCCTTGCGAAATAAAATATATATATATATAATTGTCAACCGAAAACAAATAAGCTTTTAAAGGTTTTGGTTTAAAAAATTCATTGATTCAATTTTTTTCATTCCCGATGGCTTTTTGGTTCGATTACCGAACCAATGGTTTCTCAAGCCTGCAATCTGAGGAATAAAACATGACTATGGCGGCATGACCAACAAAAATTTAGGCAATTGTGTACCGTACAAAATTTTCAATTTTAAGTATTTTTAATAAGTAGTATACTCGACTGCGATCAAGTAACCTACGACGAAGAAGGGACAAAAAGAAAAATTCCGCTGTCGGGATTTGAACCCGGATTTCAAGGAAGTAGAAATTTGCCAATTTGCTACAGCGGATTAGTGATTGATAATGCAAACAAAGTTATTAAACAGTCATTTCATAGGGCCTTTAAACGTCATCAAGAATTGGGTGCCAATTCTTTTTATCCAGCAACAACATATAGCAGTCTTCTGGACAAAAATCAACGTAATTTGGAAAAGGGTTGATCACTTATGAGTTATGAAAAACGATTGATCATATGGTATATTTTGCTTTAGGGTTGAAAATTGCTATGAACTGTTTGTGACCTGTCCCTGATCCTGTTGCTGATCTTGTCCGACCTGTTCTTTAAAAGTCAAGATATATAATTAACCCGTCTCGTCACTGTCTTCTTCTTGATTCTGTTTGATCCTCAAGTGTTAGGACGGGTATGGAAGGACCGGGCCAATGGGTCGACACTATTTTTTTAAATTATAATTTGGTACCCAAATTTATTTTTTTCTTGCAATTTAGTACCTAAATTTTGTTTTTTACAAATAAATCCATAATTTTTTATGGTAAAATTATATTTTGGTACCCAAAAAATTTATGTTTACAATTTAGAACCTAAACTTTTAAAACTTTACAAGAGGTCCAATGTGATATGAGAAATTTGTTGTTGCTAAGTGCCACAGGGTCAAAAAGTGACCCGTTTCTAAGTTGTCCCATAAGGTCAAAAGTTGATCCAACCCTAAACTGACGTTGGGACGAGTCAGTGGGTTTTTATGATCAAACTTACACCCCTGCTTTGTTTGTTCCAGCGATTCTCCATCATTACAAGGAAAATAATGATCTATAACTTCAATAGATTGATTGGTCATTACCTTATCAGTGTTGGAACAAGATTTCACCACTAAAAGCATTTTCAGTATTGCAATGGGACTCCACTATTAGAAAGAAAATAATGGTTGCCGCTACAATTGAACGGTCGACTAGTTAACTGTTATGTCATTAGAATTGGAACAAGATTTCACCACTAAAAAGATTTCAGTTTAAATAAGGACTTTGCTATCATTTAACACCAAAGTATTTGTCCGTGAAATACTAGTAAATCAAAAGGATGACCATGGGGCGAGAGAAACATAAACACTGTAATAATCGAACTTTTCATCATAAGGTCAATCAAAGAATCTTAGCAGTCAACCTCTTCTCTGTTTGTGGTATTTTAATGTATATGAATTTATTTTTAGACAATGGGGCATGGGGAGATACAAAAACACGGTAATGATTTACTTTCGAAAGAGATGAAAACTACACAAATAGACAATGGAGTTTCATAGTGATTTCAAGAAGTACCATAAGTACATGCATGATACATATAAATTATGGTTGGTTCGATTAAAAAATGTCACTGAAATGATGTGTGATGGAAGCGTTGGGCCTAAAATTTCACGCTTGAAAAACAAGGCTAATGTCTCTATTTCTGCAACAGATTTATTACCCTTGTTTTGTCAAGAGTGCAATATTAGCCATCTAAACAGTGCATGCCCAACAGAAACGCCTGCAATATTAGAAGACCATACAAATGCATCACTTCAACAAATAGTACATTAGACTCAGATAAAGTAATCTACAAGTTCTTCAGTTTCTGCCATCTACATTTAGTTTGGGTCCACTATACATTCCCCAGCTTCGAATCCTACGAAACTACAACAATTTCTCTATACTGAAGTTGAGATGCTGGAAACTTTACTTGTGAATGTACTAAAAAAGCAGGGGAGGTTTGTTTAGCAAGCAAAATTCGGGTAGGATGCTGAAGTAGCACCATGAGGCAACTCCAGCTGCAACTCGACCAACGAGTAGATCGTGGCGAGGAAAAGCACAAGTAAGCTGATGGTGTTTTCTATTCCAAGGACACATTATCATGGGAGAGGCATGGGAGGTTACCATTTGGAGAACTCAACTAAATTTCTGTTCACTATCGTTTGATTGTGAAGCCAGAATGTTTCGTGTGATTGGTGGAACTGCCTCACTTTCCTCTGAAGTTCCCACACTATTCCTTGCATTGTAGAACAGGGCTGAGATTCGGAACCATATACCCACAAGCATCTTATTTGCCTCCCGTTAGCTATCATCCTCTCTATGTCTCTTTCTAGGGTAAAAGAACAGAAAAAACGGAATAAATCAAGATCGTACAATTACCCTACTTGAACATAAGGCTTCAGTTAATACAATTTTTACCTGGTATAGACTCAAGGTAATCCAAAAGTTCAGGGCCAATTCGACTAGATGGCCATTTGATTGATATCTGGAAATAGTCGATCACATTTTGGAACGGAAACTCTGCTTGATCTGACAAAATAACAGGAACACACTCCTTCAAAACACATGGCCATGAAATTACTTTGTAGGCACAACTTTAGGCATACCCAAAAGAGGAGAAAAAAGGTAGAAAGAGGACCAACCACAAAAAAGATTCATAAAACCGAAGGGTCCAGGAAGATTCTCCTCGTGGTGCAAGACAAAACTTTGCATTGCGGATATGTTCAAAGTATTCAGCCCTTCCCAATTTCTCAGGACCACTGAATTTCAAGTCTGGACATTCCAACTGTTTCCGGATGTCATTATGTGCTTCATATGTTAGCCATATAACCAAGAACAAGGAATAAGGACTAGCATGACAACCACCACAATAAAGAGAGGTGGAATCATGCAGTTTAGTTGCAGCAAGTTGCTTAACCAAGCATCTTCTTTTCAGCCATTTTATGCAGATCATCATTTAGTTGTTCAAAGGCCAATCACATACAACCAGAAAAAAAAACCGATAAACAGCCTTATCCAGTCTACAGCACTTCGACAAACAGAATGACTAACCTGCCCGACACATATGTAGAAGCATGCACAAGAAAGAGAAACATAAGCAGAGCAAAAACATACAAAAAAAAAAAAAACAAAGCAATCTAGTCAGTGAGCTCAAGTCCAAGATAAAAATGTACATTTAAAGATTGAACATGAAAAGAAGAGCACCCATTCAAGGCTATCATAGTGTCACACCGAGAGAACAGCTTACCTTATCTGGAAATTTCTTTGACATCTCAATGAGCTTAAGGCGACCAGCTTTGCCTTGTGCCCTACCTAAATAATTTGCTAAGTACTTCCTTTTTGACAAAGGTAAAGGCTCAACTGTAGTAGGTTTTTTCACGGTCATTCCATCTTCAACATTACCAGGGATGATGATATCTTTCCAATTATTGAAAGCAGTTATATCCTTTTTATCAGTTCAGTCGCCCTGCACTAACACAAATGTTCCAGGCCTGTTAGCATGCTTTGCAGTAAATGAAAAAAGAACACACGCTACAAAAGGAACCACTATCTCTGAAATTCACATATGCAGTCAAACACCAAACACTTGGAATCATAAACATGAATGCGTACTGTCACTTCAATGAATAACATGCATTAACTAGTCCAAAGAGAAGGGATTGTTCAAGAAACACGACTTATGCCTCAGGAGAAAGTATAATTGAACGATTTATGAACGTAGCTCACGATCGAAACAAGTGAGCTCCTGCCCCACTAAAGTCGAGGAAAATTATACACATAGATCAGCAACATTGAAGGGAATGCTAAGCACATAAAAGCTGAATAATAATTACTTTCTACATCCTAACTCACCCTACTTGCCAGGACTAAGGTTGAAGAATCCGACGGCTATTTATACTTCCATTGTCAATATACTTCCCAGGTGCTGAAAGGTTGTCTGTTAATGCTTAATCTGAGTTGTCCTCAGTTAAATGGTTATGATGATTACTAGCATTGGGCAGTCAGAACTTTCAAAGGAAAGAAAGCATTAGCCATGGTTGGAAGATTGGTTTGGAACCTAGTTGTGAGTATGATTTGGCGGGAACGCTGTGGTAGATTGTATGGCAGTCCTGCTATGCAGTTTGGGGAGTTGATAAGGACAGTGCGCAGGACGATCGAGCTAGCGAGACATGGCAATGCCGCTCTGGACACTGATTGTCGGATGATTCTTAGTCAGTAAATATGGAGTTTAGGGTAGTTTCTGGCTTTCTTGTTTGCTGTGTAAATGTAGTATAGTAGCAGAAGTTTCTTGTAGCTTGCTGCTGTGTAGGTGTAAAGACCCAGATGTTGCTTCCCCTGTTTTAAGGGGAGCACATAGAGCTTAATAAATTTTTTGATATTGCCCATAAAAATAAAAAAAAACCGACGGCCAGTCCTCTTTAAACATGTTTCAAATGTTCTCCTTGAAAGGAACAGAAAGTTACCTTGGGAAGACGAAAATGTGGTCTCGACCTCCAGATCTTCTAAAGTAAGGCATTTGGCTTAAGACCTGCGATTCAGCCATTAAAGGTGGGGTAACCACAATACAAAATTTGAAATCCCCAAGGTCTGTAGATAAAAATCATAATCCAGAAAGGAAATGTGCTCACTTTAACAAAGGTTTGGTTGATCTCCTTATCATTGAGACCTCCCATCATCCGCACACATTTGACATACGTCGGCACAAAGAAGAAATCGGCCTCCTCTTTCCGCCTAGTCCGAAACCTCGATTTCAACAGCAATTTGTGTATCTTAACCTAGAAAATCAATCCAATCCGCAAAATTTACCTTCAATTTCAATTCCCGGTTTGCTTCGCCAAAGCTCTAATCAAACAGAGGAACATTGCAATTCGAATGTGGCAGAAATTCAAGGACAGAATTAACATACCTGAGTTCCCCATTGGCCTTTAACGCAAGCTTCGGCGGGTATTTTGTCATCTCGACCGCGCATCAGCTCTTTCAAGCCATCAATCTCGGTCTCTTCATACACATAGATCTTGAGGGAGAGGAATGAACCGTAGCCACGGTTAGGCCACGACAGGTAGCCGGCGTCAGAGATACGGACGAGGGTCTGGGAATCGGAGGAACCGAGATCGCCTCCGAAGGAAGTGGCGGTGCAGGGAGAGAATGACTGGTGAAAGAGGCGAGTGAGGAAGAAGGTGGCGGAGACGAGGAGAAGAGCGCCGATCTGGTGAGTCCGAGTGCACGGCGGCAGAGCGTTGCTGTAGTGCGCACTGAAGATTCTCGGCTGCTTGTTGGTCAAGCTCCCCATGTTTTTCCTTCTCCGGCCACTGCTCTTGTTTTCTGGCCGCTTTCTGTTGGACTGGAAAATGGCGGCCCGGAATGGCAAGTTGGCAACTGGTGAGGAAGAAATGAAAAGGTAGAAGGAATTATACATAGACGCCGTCGTTTAACACTTGTTTACGAAGGGAGGGAGGAAAATGGGGGAAGGAAAATGGAAGGAGGGGAGAGAAAATTTGGAGTTGAGGGAAAATGTTGTTTTATAAAGGAAAATATGGAGAAAACTGAAAAGCGAGAATGAAAAATATATTGTGAAATATGATAGATATATTATTTTATTGGTTATGAAATTGTAACATAGTTTAATTATGTGTTAATGTTAGTTTCATTACTTATGAATAACAAAGTTGTCAAACCGGTTTAAGTCATAGAGCCGATCAAATAAATGATTTGAAGTTTATTGGTCTGATTGGGGTCCGACCTATTTGAGTCGTTTTTAGTCTTCTACCATTATGGTATATTTTATTACCCTGAACATATGACCATCAAATATACCATATCTACTTGGATGATGATAGACAATTTTTATAATATGACGGACAATATGCTACGATAGTAATTGAAATAGTAATCAATGTTATTTTGTGTGGGAGAGAGAAGTGGAAGTTTATGAAATATACGTATTTAAAAATAAGTATTTGATGGACTTAATTATTAGAAAATATTAAAAAAGAAAGAAAAAAGAAAGAACCACAAATGCTACGATAGTAATTGAAATAATAATCAATGTTATTTTGTGTGGGAGAGAGAAGTGGAAGTTTATGAAATATAAGTATTTAAAAACAAGTATTTGATGGACTTAATTATTAGAAAATATTTATAAAAAAAGAAACACATATGCGTCCCTCTCCTTTCTCTCCAAATTGGAGGGGAGGGTCAACAATACAAAAGGTGGAAAGTTTTCCCTCCTTCCATACTTTCCTTCCTCCAAACAACAAGGGAAAACTCATTGGGAATCCCACTTTCCTTCCTCCCTTTCCCTCCATTTCTCTTCATAAAAAACATAGTGTAAGCGTATGCTTTTGTTTTTGGGTAATGCACATTTGGTCACTAAATCGTGTCATGTTTAGTCACTAGAAAAAATCAATATCAATTTTGGTCGCTCGAATTACTGAAACAGGTCACATTTAGTCACTCTCTCATTAGTTTTCGTCCAAATCTATTAATGGAGTTGGACGAAAACTAACGGTAGAGTGACTAAATGTGACGTGTTTCAGTAATTCGAGTGACTAAATGTGACATGTTTCGGTAATTCGAGTGACCGGAGTTGGACGGAGGCTAACGGGAGAGTGACTAAATGTGACATGTTTCAGTAATTCGAGTGACCAAAATTGATATTAATTTTTTCTAGTGACTAAACATCACACAATATAGAAATCTCAGTGACCAAATGTGGCATTTACCCTTTTGTTTTTACTTTTGTTAGGAAGTGGATAGCGTACAAAACCCGACCTGCAAAACTCTGTAAATTTCGGTTGTAAGCCGAGGTATTATACCGGAACCCAGGCCCTTTCGTTATGGCTCGTTTGTTTTCGTAATGAATATTTTAGGAAAAATTACAAGTTTGGTCACTAGATTACTAAAGTTTAGTCTCTAGAAATATTTAATTTCAATGTTAGCTACTCGAATTAGTCAAACAGTTCACATTTGACTAAACATGACACTTTTTAATAAAACGATTGACCAAACATGCAACACATCATATCCATGATCTTAACTCATTGGCCCATGCTTTAATATAGTTGTCTTCATTTTAACGTGGATCATCATTTGGTCTCTCTTTCTCATGAGTTGGTGGCAGAGATAAGGAACATAGAGATTAGAGATCTATCATGTCCATGTGAGATGTTTAGTGATAGGGTGCAAATTACCATTCAAGAGCTCCCACCCCATCTCCGACACCGCCACAACACTCGATCGTTAACCCCAGTCCTATTGTCAAGTGTCAACTCTACTCATACTCTGGTTCCGCCTCTTTCGCCGGCCTTTCCGTCTGCCTGCGGTCTTACACCGACGCCTGCTAATATCTGGCAGGGCTATGTTGCCGATGGCACCCTCGTTTCATCCAATTCTACAAGTTCCTCCGCTTCTAAACTACCAAAATCATATCACGATTGGTGTTCACCGTTCAGCCTCCAGGAGTTGTTGCATGTAGGGTCATGACTCAGGGGCGGACCCGGGGTTTTAGGGACACCCCTAAATTTCGGGAAAATGATTATCCAACCCCCGGTGTTTATTTATGTATAGAAAAAAAATATAATTGATAGTGAGGGACACCCCTGAAATTTGAAAAAATGATTATCCTACTGTCATTTGTGTATAAAAATATAAATGGTAGGTTGGGTAATTCAAATCTAGAACACTATTATTATTAATAAACTTAATTTCCGTTGAGCTACAACTCATTTGTTGTTCGATTTTGAACAATGTGTAATAGTAAAAAGTCATTCCCTATCTCTAATTATTTCAATCTGAACTAATTTCAATCTATCCTTAATTTGTATTGATTTTATGATTGTACGACAAGTGTTGAAGAGTCTTTCAGATTTGGGTTACATCAAAAACAAGTTTACAAATCGAATATGCGATAAGTTCCGGAATGATTGTCTAGTAGGTTATATGGAGAATTTTTTTTTAACACTATAAACACCAAGTGTATTATGCAATTATTTTTTAATATGAAAACACATCATGGACTTTTTTAACCTGTACAAGTAAGGTATTTTCATATTTACGATTTTATTTATATTAAATATTTTTTATGGGTCCGCCACTAGTCATGAGTCATGACTTCCGCTTTGTAGCTAGTGCCTTGGGTGTGCATTTTGGGGATTAGGCCGAGGGCATAGGAAAATTCCAATCGGGTACCCGATTAGCTGTCGGTTATGGCCGAGAAAAGCTGCAAACCGCTTCTAGAAATTCCAAACCTTTAACCGACCGTTTAGATGCTAATCTCTTATCGGTTAAACCGACGCTCGTCGATTTTGGTTCATTTATCAGCCCTAGCTAACGATATGGTCTTAGACTAATAGGTCTAGAGTTGGGTTTGAGAGGTGTTTTGTAATCAGGGTCGAGATGGGTGTAGGGAGCTGGGTTTTTCAAACACATCCTTGAATTTTAGAAGAATTGGTTGTACAAAACTTGAATTCTAGAAGAATTGGTTGTACAAAACTTGAATTCTAGAAGAATTGGTTGTACAAAAGAGGGAGGATGATAAGAAGTACCCGAATTCTAAAAGTTTAGGTTTTTTTGTCAAAGTCGTGCAGCTTCAATTAAAGATTGGATAGCTCGAACCGACTGTCAAACAAACATAAATATAAAGGGATACGTGGAGATAGATACTCGCCACAATCAAGTGTGATCGCTTGATTGATAAGAATCTTGTCAATCTCTTCTGGAATCTTCAACTGAAAAACTCAAACAAGGATCTTGCCCTAGCTATGGAATCCACCAATAGCTAAACCAATAACCCATAAGCACGCTGGCTCCATATGGGAAAAACCAATGTTGTCAGAACCGAACCGGAGCATGACCCGATAATGCGAACAGCTCGCACTTTAGTGGTCCAACCAGCAATAGACCGTTTAAAAATCGTTAGAGAACCGGTACTTAATAAACGTTATCAATATAAATAGTGGACATTTCTTAATCAGAACTCATCTCTTTCCTTCGAAATTGTGAAATGGAAATAAGGATTCAGTTTAAGAGCCCGACGTTTTTGGTTTATTTCAATGTTCTGCAATTTTTAAATTAAATTTAACGGCTGAATGGCAAAAACCGGACGAGTGGCTCGATCGGCCCGAGCGGTTAACCGCCTTGGCTGCTCGGCAACCGCTACATAAAACCAGAGCGGCTTTTAGACTCTTCCGAGCCGATTTTGTGACCGGGTGACAGTTCTACTGGTCGGGCCGAGCGGCTCGGTTTGGCTTTAATAACACTGGGAAAAACACACCTCTGTGTAAAATTCTTATTCAACAAAGTCTAACCCTAAAATTCGCGTTTACAACCTTTTAAATAGGTCCAACAAAATAAAACTAATGAAAACAAAGAAAAGGAAAAAGAATTCTAACACAAAAAGGTAATTAACTCGTCATGTGAAATTCCACAGTCTGCCCTCAAGATTCCATGGTCGTGGATTTAGGTGTCTTGGACATGGAATTGTTCTGATCAAAATACACTATCTAAACTTGAATTCCACAATCATGGATTTAGGTGTCTTGGACGTGGAATTTTTCTGATCATCCACTATCTAAACTTGAATTCCACGGTCGTGAATTTTTTACTGGTCACCATACGATCTTTTGGTTGGTCGTTCGGTGCCCCAGAAGCTTCGATCTTCTCATCCGATGCCTTCACGATGTTATCAGGACTTGTACTTTCATTTCCAACTCCTAACTTCCTTCGAATGCCTCCCAATCAAAGCGAGTAAGCCTCCAAAATAGTAATCATGGACTTTTTCCCAAACTTATAAGCCAAATTTCCAGCTCCTTCTTCCCTTGACTTGGTTTCTTGTTTGAACATCAATGAAAATGATTTTGTGTAACATCCCGTTCCGGCAAAACCCATATTTCGATCGCTAGAAAATTTCACGATTTAAAATCGAGCATTTCGACACTATTTAGACGAAAATCGGATTATCGATATGTCGGATAAATATATATATATATATATATATATATATATATTCTCTGTCCATTTAAATCCCCACCCGTCCCATTTATACCCATCATCATCGCCTTTTTCCATTTCTCACCCGAGAGAGAACCGAGAGCAGAGTAGCGCACGGTGAGAACAGGGGAGCTCGGGGAGAATTTCCAAAGCTCAAATTCTTGAGCCCTAATGATCCAAAAATCCGGTAAGTAATGACTAATTCATCTATTCATCGTGATTTATCGATTTAGAGCTTTAAAACGAGTTTTTGGTTCAGGAATTTCTTGAATTCCTGATAAGCCAAATTAGGATTTTGGAGTATCCGGAAGCCGGATTGAGCCCAAATTTCATATACGAGCTTCCTGCAGCGAGGTTATCAATCCTCTAGTTATAATCCCTGAATTTCGGCTATTATTTAGATCGGAGCCGGGATCACTGAATTTAGCTCCGGCCAAGGTTTGATGTGTTTTTATCGAGAATTTGACCAGGAGCCTAGAACTAATATTGACGGGGATACTGCAGGGGATATTAGGACGGTCTCGGATTTTAATTCGTAGTTCGTTTGTGAAATTGAGGTTTTAGTACGGGAAGGTTAAACCGGTGTTTGAACGACCAGAACTGGTGAGTGATTAGCACGACATACAGGGTTTGTCGTATCACAATAATTATACTTATGCTTAGAATTGATCTAGGTGAACTAGAATGGCATGATTAGGGGTGTATGGACCTTTCTGCTATATGATGAACTATAGACTTCTGTATGATATTATTGACTTGCCCTAATCGATATGGACCTTGTTTATGTTGATGATTCCATATATGTTGTCAGATTTGGGTTTAATTGTGAATATGCCTTATGACGGTTCGAGAAGGTGATTGGATATGATTTTTCATGATTGTTGTATTTGGATGCACAAGTGGGAAAATATATATTCCCTGGTGATATTATGATGTTTTAAGGAGGATGACTTGCACGAGGGTTTATCCCGAGGAAGTGCAATTATACGACTCCTGATTTACCTATGTTGAGCCAATTGTGGCCTGGTCAAGTACATGTGCAAGTAAGGAATTATGATTAAGCAAGATGAGATATGAATCATGTATAAGGATATCATCAACAGCAGCAGTAGATAAGTGTTAGGTGGGAGAGGAGCTAGAGTTGAAGCCAGGATGAGGTATGGTCTTCAACTATTCTGTGCTTGGACGACTACTTGAGATTTTGGCTAGTGATCCACACCTTTTTGTAAAAATGTTTTGAGAACGTTTTTCATGTGCATACTAGCTTCAGATGTAGTGTGAGATATCCACAGGTGTGGAAAGTTGATGATATGTGTATATGTTGTGTAACTGTATAAGTTGTGACGATTATGGTATGTATAAGTATGGTATGCAGTTGTGGAGTATGAAAAGTGTGACTATGGCTAAGAAAACCCAATGCATATAGTTGTGAGTATATATGTTTGTGATGAATTATTTTGCAGGATAAGTTGCAAGAACTGTTAGCCCATTACGCGAGTAATTCATGTCGAAATTTTATTTGGGTAAATTTTGATAATTAATGTAACATCCGAGATTAATTCCGCTGCAATTGTATGAACAATATGATTAGACAAAACGTATAAGCTAGGGTGTTACAGTTTGGTATCAGAGCCTGGTTCCCTCTTTTTGCTGTAATGGCGTACTATACCCTATGGGAGGTTAAACACTCCTAAGGAGGGGAGTACCCCATAATGACTTAAACTGGGAAATGAGTTTGACATCATTATGTGTATTGGTATGTTGGATGAAATTACCTGCATCATGGTTTTCAAAATTGAGGTTTTGAACTTATTTGTTTTCAAGTAATTATTTTGGGAAATTTTTTGTTTTAACCAAGTGAGAGATTTGGTGAAGAATGAATTTTGTGTGGATCAATCTAAGGCCAATATTTCCTTGTAGCTCGCACGAAAGTTGTGAAAATGTTCCTACTGACCAGTCGAGAGGAATGGGGGCGGTTGATGCAAGACCGCCAGTATTAGATTATGCAAAGATGAAGAGTTTGGGTGGTAGGGACTTCAAGGGAGATGTGAGTCCAGATGCTGTAGTAGAGTGGTTGAGAAAGATGGAAGATGTGTTTGAGTATCTTTATGCGACCCGAGAGGAAAAAGTACAATATGTTGTTTTTCTCCTAAAGGGGTACGCGAGGAGCTGGTGGTCATCAGTCTCTAGAGTTAATGGTGAACGAGTTCAGTTCACTTGGGAGGAGTTCCTGAAGGCCTTTAAGACAGAGTTTCTTCCCGAAGCTTTTATCATAGCAAAGAATAATGAATTCGCCGACCTTAAGCAGGAGAACATGACAGTTACTGAGTACACCATCAAGTTTGTTCGACTAATCTACTTTGAAGATGGGCTGGCGGATACTGAGCATAAGAAGAAGGTGAGATACTTACATGGTCTGCGCCTAGGGTTGAAAGAAAAGATTCACAGGGTTGATGAAGAGAGTATGGCCACTATCAAGGAGTCAGCATTTAAGTATGAAGCCTATGAAGTTGAGGGTAGATAGGAACACAAGGCCAAAGAAGAGGAGAAGAAGAGGAAGTTTGGAGTGAGTTATTCTGGACCTCGTTACCCATCCAAGAGAGGTCCCAGCGGTTTTGGGAGAACACCGAGTCAATCTATGTCAGGAACATCATATAAGGCACCAGTTTCCTCAGCCACACCGGCTCCAGTTTGTCAAGTTTGTCAGAAGAGACACTTTGGAGAGTGTTGGAGGTTTTCTGGAGTATGCTTTCAATGCGGCCAGCCGGGTCACATCATGAGGAACTGTCCTTATAGGGGAGGAGGAAGACCTACTCAGTCCAAACCTTCAGTGCACTTTAGTAGAGCCCCAGCCAGAGGTGGTTACCAGGGAGGCCGTAGTGGATTTTAGAGTGGTCATTGTGGTTCACAGGGTGGTAGAGGTGGTGGTCGAAATCAGCCATCAGGAAGTGGTACGCAGGGTACCAGAGCCCAGGGAGCACCGAGGGTTTATGCAATGACTCGAGGTGAGGCAGAAGTGGTGACTGGTATGCTTTCTATCCTTGGCAAGCAATTATATGCTTTGATCGATACTGGTTCCTCTCACTCATTCATGTCATATATGTTTGCACATATGCTACGCTTAGTTCCATATAATCTAGGATATACCTTATGTGTTAAAACATCTCTGGGAGATACCTTGAAGGTAGACTCAGTTATTAGAAGTTCCTTCATTTGTGTGGAAGGAGCTTTCCTAGCAGCAGATTTAATTCTGCTACCTTTTGATGAATTTGATGTCATCCTTGGAATGGACTTTCTGGCAACACATGGAGCTGTTGTGGATTGTCAAAAGAAAGAAGTATTATTCAACACACCAGATAAAGGTCCTGTTGTATTCCGAGGCATCAAGAAAAAGGAGACTCATGGTTTTCTTTCTGCCCTGGAAGCTTTTCGATTAGTGAAGGAAGGTTGTGAAGCCTTTCTTGCTCAAGTTACTGTTGTAAAGGATAAGAAGGTTGAGGATGTAGAGGTGGTAAGGGAGTTTCCTTATGTATTCCCCGAAGAACTTCCCGACCTTCCACCAGAAAGGGAAGTAGAGTTTGATATTGAATTAGTACCTGCACAACACCAATTTCAATGGCACCATATAGAATGGCACCAATTGAGCTGAAGGAGCTTAAAGAACAATTGCAAGAATTGCTAGACAACGGGTTTATTCTACCTAGCATCTCACCTTGGGGTGCACCGGTTTTGTTTGTCAAGAAGAAAGATGGCTCCATGAGAATGTGCATTGACTACCGGAGGTTGAATAAGGCGACAATGAAGAATCGTTATCCCCTTCCAAGAATAGATGATTCGTTTGGTCAATTGCAGGGTGCATCTGTCTTTTCTAAGATTGATTTGAGGTCCGGATACCATCAACTGAAAGTGGCAGATGGAGCGACCTCAAAGACAGCTTTTAGAACAAGATATGGGCATTATGAGTTCCTGGTAATGCCTTTTGGACTCACTAATGCACCAGCGGTATTTATGGCTCTTATGAACAGAGTTTTCCATGAATATCTTGATAAGTTTGTGATTGTGTTCATAGATGATATTCTCATCTATTCTAAAAGTGAGGAGGAGCACAAAACTCACCTTAGAATTGTGTTGCAAATTCTAAGGGAGAAACAATTATATGCATAATTCTCAAAATGTGAGTTTTGGCTGAAGGAGGTAATATTTCTGGGACATGTAATTTCTGGAAGAGGTGTCAAGGTGGATCCGAAAAAGGTGGAAGCAGTGGTAAGTTGGACTCCACCAAAAGATGTGTCGGAGTTGAGAAGTTTTCTTGGCATGGCGGGTTATTATCGGCGGTTTGTCGAAGGATTTTCCAAAATTGATGCTCCATTGACTACACTGTTGAGGAAGATTACCAAGTATGTTTGGGATGAATCATGTCAAAAGAGTTTTGATGAACTGAAGAAGAAATTGACCACAGCACCAATACTTGCATTACCTTCAAATCAAGGAGAGTTTGTGGTGTATAGTGATGCCTCGTATCAAGGATTGGGTTGTGTGTTAATGCAAGATGGAAGAGTTATCGGATATGCCTCTAGGCAATTGCGTCCTCATGAAGTAAATTATCCCACTCATGACTTAGAATTGGCAGCGGTGGTATTTGCTCTCAAGATTTGGCGACATTATTTGTATGGTGAGACTTTTAAAATCCTCACTGATCATAAAAGCCTAAAGTATATTATGGATCAGAAGGATTTAAATAGTCGCCAGAGGAGATGGATAGAGTTGTTGAAAGATTATGATTGTACCATTGATTACCATCCAGATAAAGCTAATGTAGTTGCTGATCCTCTGAGCAGACTAGGCAAGAAGAATATAACGGATCTGGTTGATTTGAGGGCAATGAATGTTGATTTGGAAGTGGATAGTGTAACAGGGTTACTAGCTCGGTTGAACATTCGACCTTTGTTGCACGACAAAATTCGTGAGAAGCAGAAGGAGGACTCAGAGTTGGTAAAAATCATTCAAGACATTGAGGAAGGAAAAGAAAGCCCATTTGAAATGGTAGATGGCATGTTGAAGATGAATGGAAGAGCATGTGTTCCTAACGTTGATAACTTGAGGAAAGAGATCCTAAATGAAGCTCATTCTTCTGCTTATGCTATGCACCCAGGAACAACTAAAATGTATCACACGATCAAACCATATTTTTGGTGGCGTGGGATGAAAAAGGAAGCGGCTGAACATGTTTTCACATGTCTGGTATGTCAGAAAGTTAAGACAGAACATCAAGCTCCTGTGGGAAAACTGCAACCACTTCCAATTCCAGAATGGAAGTGGGAAAGTATCACAATGGATTTTGTATATGGTCTCCCATCATCAAGGGGAAAAGATGCAGTATGGGTTATTGTGGACCGACTGACCAAATCGGCTCACTTTTTACCCATGAGATGGAAACCATCACTAGAGACTTTGTCTCAACTATATATTAAGGAGATCGTCAGATGGTGTGCCAATTTCTATTGTCTCTGATCGAGACCCGAGCTTCAAATCTCTGTTTTGGCAAAGTTTACATGATGCCTTGGGAACTAAACTGCATTTTACTTCAACTTATCATCCTCAAACAGATGGGCAGAGTGAACGAACCATCCTGACCTTAGAGGAGTTACTTTGATCATGTGTAATGCAATGGGAGGAATCATGGATTGACCATTTTCCCTTAATTGAGTTTGCTTACAACAACCAGTACCATAGTAGCTTGGGTGTTCCACCATATGAAGCACTTTATGGGAGGAAGTGTAGAACACCATTATGTTGGGATGTAGAAGGAGCAAGACAAATCTCATGGCCAGAGATAGTTCAGATCACAGTTGACAAGGTCAAAGAAATCAGGGAGCATTTGAGGGTGGCTCAAGATCGACAGAAAGTTTATGTTGACACGAGTAGGCGTGAAGTTAATTTCGAAGTGGGTGAGAAAGTATTTCTCAAAGTTTCACCCTGGAAAGGCGTAATGAGATTTTGTAAGAAAGGAAAGCTTGCACCTCGTTATATTGGACCATGTGCAAGTAAGGAATTATGATCTAGCAAGATGAGATATGAATCATGTATAAGGATATCTAGTAAGAGTGATTTGGTCAATGGTCAATTACATAGTAATTAGGGCTCCCCATGTTATTACTCCGTTATGATATGTTATGTCACACCCCTGATGTGGTGTTGACCGTTGATCCATCATGAGATATGACCACACCCAGAGTGGTGTTGAGTCCGATATGACCACACCCAGAGTGGTGTCAAGTCCGATATGACTACACCGGTAGTGGTGGGTCCGATATGACCACATCCACGAGATATTTGGTACGTATTCCCGGGAGAGTAATTAGCATGGGAGTAGCCAGGCGCCTATGATTACAACATGATAAGATGCATATGCATAAGTCAAGGTGGTTGAGTCTTTTGCCTATTGGGATATGAGGATGGCTCGGGTCCGATCCTAGTGTTTTGGCTTGATTGTTAGATGTATGATAGAGGTATGCTCTGTTATGAACTCACGATGCTATGATTATCTCACTCAGCTATGAGCTGACCCCCTTTTATTCTTCTTCTCTGCTTATGCTATGTGTAAGAAGATCATCAGCAGCAGCAGTAGATAAGTTTTAGGTGGGAGAGGAGCTAGAGTTGAAGCCAGGATGAGGTATGGTCTTCAACTATTATGTGCTTGGACGACTACTTGAGATTTTGGCCAGTGATCCACCCCTTTTTGTAAAACTGTTTTGAGAACGTTTTTCATGTACATACTAGCTTCTGAAGTAGTGTGAGATATCCACAGGTGTGGAAAGTTGATGATATGTGTATATGTTGTGTAACTGTATAAGTTGTGACGATTATGGTATGTATAATTATGGTATGCAGTTGTGGAGTATGAAAAGTGTGACTATGGCTAAGAAAAGCCAATGCTTATGGTTGTGAGTATATATGTTTGTGATGAATTATTTTGCAGGATAATTTGCAAGAACTGTTAGCCCATTACGCGAGTAATTCATGTCGAAATTTTATTTGGGTAAATTTTGATAATTAATGTAACACCCAAGATTAATTCCGCTGCAATTGTATGAATAATATGATTAGGCAAAACGTATAGGGTAGGGTGTTACATTTTGGATCACAACCCAGGATCACATCAGAGGAGTGCCTGGAGTTTGGATGCACTTAATGCTCATGGTGAATAATTATTCTTACCAACACTGCTCTTTATGTTAGAAGAATTTTTGCAACGGCTTCCCTGACATTGCCTTCCAATTCCCCACATCCTTCATACCTTCGAACATCATTTCCTTACCATTCCTATCAAAGTACATATAGAGGTTGACAAAATCAAATTTGAAAGAACTAATGGTCTTCAACCAGTCCAATTCAAGGACCAAGTCATTGAATCCCAACTACAAAATCCTCACATAATAGGTGCACTAATAACCATGCATCTCCCAAGTAAAAGAGGTGCACACCTTGTCAATAAGGGGTCGTTTGGATTGAGTATTTGATAAACTTGTTGTTTGGGGCCAATTACCACACAAATACCACATAATATAAAACTTGTTATTTGGTATGTGATATTTGGTCTCAAACTTGTTATTTGGGAAATACCTGCCCCCTCCCAAGTATTTGGCAAACAACACTTTTTGTGTTATTTGGTCTCAAACCTGTTATTTGGCAAAACACTACATCCAAATAACACATCCCACTTTTTGTCAGCCAAACATGTTATTTGGGGTTAAATAACAGATTTTGTGTTATTTGACCTCAAATAACACCCCCAAATACTCAATCCAAACGACCCCTAAGCAACACAATACCATCTAACAATTAAACCCTTAGTGGTGTAGCTTCCTTCATTGCACAACTCATTGGCCTTCCTCGCATTGGAAAGCGGGTGGATATTTTTAGTATCCACCAAAACCAATTTTTTTATTTTCCCAACAAACCCCGTGCATATTAATTATTTCTTATTATATTTTTGATCACTAATAAATTAGCCACTACACCACTGCTTAAGGCATGTATCGAGACCTCCACAAGTTCTTCATTGCTAATAATGACATCAAATGTCTCTTCATCTATACTCTCCTAGTTCTTCAGCAATCACAAACTCATCTTCATTGTGGAGGGCATTGAGCTGGTCTTTCTGCTCACCAACATGACCATAGTAGTATGAATCCCCACATTTATAACAAGCACCCTTGATCATATTACTTTGAGCATTGGTATTTGGAGTAGTAGGTTTTTTTCTAAGTTGGCTTACTTGTTTCCCATTTCCTTGGCTCCTCCATTGAATTAATATGCTTGTTCATATGCATACCAATTTCATGAAGCCTCGTCTCCACTATTTTTGTACGATTTATGGAGGAAACTAAATTCTCCTTTAGTTGTTTCTTTGTCATCCTGTCAAGAACCAGACTCTGATACCACCTTCCAACGTCCCATCTTGGAATTGTGCTTTCGATGAAGAAATTGGAATGGCAAATGAAGTAGAGGAATGAGCTCCGAGAGAGAGACGTTAGAAAAGGGAGGGAAAAGCTGAGAAGAAGGAAGAGAGAGGGAAAGAGAGATCATTATGTCTGTTATTAGCACACGCAGCAATTAGCATAGTGTGGAACTATTTGTATGTTGCGTTCTGTCTTAGGTCACACAATTCGCCAGGAATGGGTCGACGATCCCGACTTGGAGCGTTGAAATGCAAATTAGGGGTTCACACAAAATTCATGAATTACTTTATGTTGGAGCATGATTTTTGTAAACTAATTCGCGACTTTATTTCTCAAAAACAGCATAAGAGGAACCACCGGCATTAGTGACTGCCGAGATGGTGGATGAGATGAAATTGCTGGTTGGGTTGACGAAGGAAGGTGGGCAGAGGTCGGAGTCTCTGCATGCATCCGAAAAGATTTTACCAATTGAGGAGATCGTGAAATATGTGGGGATAATGCGGATAAGAGACCTCCTAGAATGTTCAGTGGGAGAGAGAGGGAGACGGCGGCGACGGGTTTGGCAGTCTCCGTCGCTACACTACCGTGAGAGATCCGGTGGTGGAGTAGAAAGAAGAGATGAGAGAGAGATCTTTGCGATGGTGAAACTCAGTGTTGAAATTCTACCAGACTTAATTTTAGGGATTTGACCTTTTACAGAGAAAGGGGTGAAGGGGAGAGTTTTTTTTATAGTGAAGATCCTTTCAATATATTCATCCCGAGCCAAGAAGCAGTACAAAGAGGATTACAGCAGGTGGGAGATGAGATTAAGTACAGTAATCCAATCAGTAGGGAGTTCATCTCTAACAAAAGCTCGAGCAACTCAGTCAGCTTTCAAGTTGAGCTTACGTCGGAAAAAGGAAATCCTGATGCAACTGGAATGATGAGTGAGACTAGAGATGATCCCAAGCCAAGCCGAGACTCGCCATGGCCAAACAGGGGGGTCTGAGGACAGTGCCAACACAAGGGCCATACAATCCATTTTGATCATGCAAGGAACCTGGAGAGACTCTGCCAGACGGACAGCTTCCAAGAGAGCTCTGGCTTCTACTTCAATGGGGGATGAACACAAGACTGGTCCAGCCCTCCCATCACAAATTTCTCCAGGATTGTCAAGAACAATGACAACATAAGTTGCCTTTTGGGGGTCATAAATAAATGACCCATCACAGTGTAACTCAAAGAAATGAGAAATCGACGGTGAAGATTATTGGATCAGGGATGTCCTAGCCTGGTGGTGTGATGAATTCCGGAATGGTGAGGACATGCCACCCAGGAGACTACATCTTTGGACGCCTTATCATAGGTGGCCGGTGGCCAAAGAGTGGTCCCTCTGAAAATCTTCTAATTTCATGGCCTTCCAAATATGCCACGTAAGGAAGTTGATGGTCTGGATGGAATTGACAGGAGTGTTTGGAAGAAGGCTGGACAGCTACTCCAAAATCGAGACTCTCCGGGGGAGCAGGAAAAGAAGGGAACATTGCCATCCACGATTGTTGTGCATGTTGGCATTGGAAGAGGAAGTGATTGATGGTTTCAGTGTGTACAGTACAGAGTGGGCACATCGGAGATGGGGAGCATTTCCTTGAGTACAACTTACTTTTTGTTGCAATAGCTCCCCGTGAACATTTCCAGATAAAATTTTTAATCTTCTGAGGGAGTGAGAGGCTCCATAGCCATTTCTAACGATCCCTTTCCATTTGGGAGGGTGGGGGCTCAGTACTTGTAGCATTCCTTTTTATGCTCATAGAAGAAGTGGTAGGCAGAGCTAACCGAGAAGTGCCATTTGGGTGGGGGGCCCAGGCCCAGAAGTCCTCTGCTTCCTCCGTTCCAATCAGGATGCTTTCAATACGTTGAGAGAAAACAGGATTAGTCGATGGCGGAAATATGTGGGAGTTCCATGAACGGATCTGGCCATCGATCCAATCAGCCACCAGAGTGTTGTCATTTGTCCCTGTCGAGATGGCCTCCCCATTCATCCCAGGAATCCATGGGTCTTTGAACGCTCTAGTGCTCTGGCCATTCCCAATAACTCTGATTGTCCCTTTCCTCATCAAATTTCTTGCTTCCCAGAGGCTTGCCCATATCCAAGATGGACGTGATCCTTTTTTAGCTGAAAGGAAGTCCGTTCGGGGGAAGTACAACCCTTTGAGAAGTCTACCCCATAGAGAGTTTGGGTTCGTGAGAAGTCTCCACGATTTTTTTGCCAGGAGGAACAAGTTGAACTCTCTAAACGAGCGGAAGCCGAGGCCACCCTCCTCCTTGGGGTCACAAAGAAACTGCCCCTTAATCTAGTGGATAGATTTGTTGTTTAGGGAACCTGACCAGAAGAACCTTCGGAGAAGAGCATCCATCTTATTAATGGTAGCGATAGGCAGGAGAAAAAGGCACATTATGAATGTGGGTATGGCTTGAAAGATCGCTTTCAGCAAAGTTTCCTTTCCCCCAAGGGAGAGAAGGAGGCTATTCCACCCCTCACCTTTTTTCTCCATTCTTTGTCACAAGAACTTAAACGTCTCCTTCTTAGATCTTTCCCACTCTGTTGGGACTCCAAGATATTGTGAGTGGCAATTGGTTGGCGCAAAGCCAATAGTGTCAATGATCTCCTCTTTCTCTGCGTTTGTGACATTATGGCTGAAGAAAATTGACGACTTTGTTGCATTAACTTCTTGCCCCGTGGTTGCTCCGTACTGATTGATGATGTCCATAATTCTTGTGGCCTCATCTGTGGTTGCTCGGCCAAATATGACTGTGTCGTCAGCAAAGAGTTGAAGAAGAAAGAAACGAAGAAGATGACAGAATGCAGGGAGAATAAATCCTTACTCTTCTCATATGTTAACTTACTTATGAGCTCCAAATAGATATGGGCTTCAAATGGATACTCTAAGCCATGGTTAAAACCTAAAACTAAAGCCCACTTTTATAGAAAACCAATCTAACTAAACGAACTGGAAGGCTCAAAAGTTGGCTTTAGGACATTATCTTACCCTATGTATAAAATTAATTAGTAGTTTAGTACAAGTAGCAATTACAACTTTGTTCTTTTGTACAAGTTTTGTCAGTATATTATATAATATATTAATTAAAATAATATAATATGAACACTCTCTTCATACTCTCGAAATACAATTCTCGCAAAATAGTTGCTTTCTCGCTCTCGCTCCCGCTCCACGAATCGATAAGCTAAGTTCTGACCTATTACATAAGATTCCTCTAACCTATTCTTTATTACCACTCTGTGTGACTACCCTAATTTATATTTATTTACATTTTAGTCCAAATTATTGCACACAAGAAGGCAGATTTGCTGCGAGTGATTTTCAACGGGGAGAAGGAACGGTGGCATCGAGCGGGACTGATGAGAGAATCCAAGAGGATCTCGAGGCAAATTTGCTGTTTTGTTATGATGGAGCTGACGAGTTTCGTTGATGAATGAACGTGGGGGTGCTGGGTTGGGCTGAGAAAAAGGGCTCAGTGTAAATTGTAACTCCCAAAATATGTATTAGTTTTTTATGCAAAGATAATAAGAGTTGGACTGAGAGGTTATGTGAGTGCGACCAGCCGACCATTCATTTGTTATCTTAATTTTTCTTTTTTCTTAAAAGAAATATAGTGCATCTTTCTTCTCTTTTTTATTTAGGGTAATGACTATTTATTAGTAAAATATTTTTCAATTTTTTTATTATTCAAACTTATTTAGTTACTTTTAAGTTAATTAGAATAAAAATGCCGAAATTCGCTAGTTGGCAAGTCCACACAAAAATGTTGGATTAACATACTTTATTATATTTGTTATTGTCTGTATTTTGTCTAAACTAAACCACACATACAATTTAAAATTTCATGTTCAAATCATTGTTATTTGAGCTTCGATATCAGAATTATTCTCTTTTTATAAGATATAGATAACTTCAAATAAAATATAAATATGAAGTCGTCAACAAAAAATATGTTTCTAGAGTTAAATAAAAATTGCATTAAATACAATATAGCCTAGTTGGTTTTAGTGCTCTTCTTTCATTTAAGTGCAATTTCATATCCCAATAATAATATTTTAACATATAAAAAGAAATTGGGCACAATTACGGAAATGACGTTCATAGACACACTCTCAAGCCACGAAATTTGAAATAGGAATTGCAGTTTTCCCATTCCAATATGTGTAGAGATAGAGATAGATAGTTCATTCACTCTCAAACCACCTTAACAATCCTTTATCCAGACATCAACAAATTGAAATTGTTACGTGCTACAATATTGAATGGAAATACAACACAACCACTAACAGTAAAGACAATTATATTTTTTGGGGAATTTTCATTATTTTATTGTAAAATTATTGAAGGGAATCACATCCACATTATCATCCATTTAGAAAATTACAATCAGCAAAATGCAATCATTTAGCATATGAGAGAACCTTCAAGTCACCATTGTGCCTCTCTAAAATGGTTGCTTCGTAAAATTGAGTGTTAATTTCGAAGGCCCTAAAAACAAAGCGATAGATAACACCATCTTCAACGTTTTGAAATAAGCCTTTATCGACATGAACTAGCTTTAAGTCAGCTCCACCAAGTGCTTTATCGATGTATTTTATTGCGAATTACACAATCTCAATTGTGTGATTGTCTTTTAGATTCGCTACAGAATGACATTCGTTGTCCATCCTAGTTTTTTATTTTTTTATTTTATTGTCCATCCTAGTTGCTGTTGCTACTCCTGTGACAAAGAAGACGAAAATGAGAAAAGAAAATGAAACGATTGGCTTCATATTTACTTTTGATATATATGCTCAAAATATTAATCTGAATGAATTGAGAGTTTCAATGTAAATCGATATTTATAGTTGAAGAATATAAAATTTTTTTTGGAAAACATTGATTCGATACTCTTACCATTTGTGTGATTCAAATAAAGTATGATACGTATAATGTATTGCTTATACTATTATGAAGATTTATGCACTTGCTGAAAGAAAGAACCATGAAAACGGAGATTTAATAATTTGGCATTTTATTGGCCACCATTCTTTTCTTATTTAATCTAGTGGTTATCTTGATCGAAGCACTTATTTTGGGAACGGATCAGGTCAGTAACCTTATGGTGAGTAACCATGAGTAACCAGACCACATCAGCATGACATCAGCATCCTCTCTCTCCTGGAAAGCCTTTAATTTCTCCCTCTTTAATCTTTGACGGACGATTTCTCACTCATTTTAAGTCGAAATTTAATTTTCTTTGCACAGTCATATCAGATTAATTGTGCTCTTCAAAATGATATCCACTTTAATATATTTTTCGAACAAAAAAAATTGAGCCATTTTTTACCAGTCTATACCATATGGTATTGACTGGTATTGAAATAAAAGCATACCTATGGTTTGAGAAACGTACCATGGTGGTATGAACAAACCAAGACTGTAGGATGGTTGAATGCATGATAGTAGAAGTATATTAATTGTCGTTTACGACTTTTCACATAGTATACCATACAATACCACCCCGTACCAGGGTGGTATTGTGTGGTATTTTTTGGTCCTGTAATTTGTTCACTCAGAAATTTGTAGATGCAATAGATCATGATGAACTCGTCCTTTCTGTGCAAACGTTTTTAAAAACGAATTAAAAACGAAGAAGATACCATACAATACCACCCCGTACCAGGGTGGTATTGTATGGTATTGTGTGGTATTTTTTGGTCCTGTAATTTGTTCACCAAGAAATTTGTAGATCCAATAGATCATGATGAACTCGTCCCTTCTGTGCAAACTTTTTCAAAAGCGAATTAAAAACGAAGAAGATACCATATGGTATGCAGTTGGTACCGAGATGCCATAATTTTTATTTCTAAAAAAATATTGAAAATTATTCTCATTTGGTAGAGCACGATGAACTCGTTCCATCTGTGCAAAAAAAAAATTCGAGTTAAAACGAAAAAGATATGAGCCGATTAAGAAAGCTAGGAAACATAAAAATGGTCCTTAATTTTCCATCCTTAGATCTAGATTTTCTAAATGAAGGGTCCAGATTTGGTTATTGATGGATGCATAACCCATGGTTATGCACCCTATCTTGAGCCCTTATTTTGGGATGTGTTATTCACTTATTTGAGCCGGGGGTTATGCACCCTTCCATTACTAGATTTGGAGTCTTAGATTTGATGGGGTAAGAAAATCCAGATTTAATAGGTTATAATTAATAATTTTTATTTTCTCTAATTTTATTAATAGACTCTTATCTTTTTGTTAACATAGAATTCAATTTTGTTACATAGATAAAACGAGTTTGTTGTGATCAACAAAATGATATCCATTTTCAATATATTTTGATAAAATATATTTCATACCACTCATTAGTTGGTACCACCTTCGTTTCTAACTCAAATTTTCAAATTCTTTGCATAGATGGAACGAATTTTTTTTGTGATTTATTGGATCTACAAATTTATTGGGGGGGGGGGGGGGGGGGGGGGAGGGGAGAGAACTGGACTATAACGTGCCACTCAATACCACCCTAATATAGGATTGGTAACTAGTGGTACACAATGATGAATGTGGTAAATGACAGTTTGTGTATTTCTACTATTATGTATTCAATTATTATACACTCTGGTATGTTCATACCACCTGGAACACTTCAGTACCGCATGGTATGACTTTATGCACTACCAAGCATTATTACCATGGTATAGACAGGTACCATGTCTGAATTTTTTTATTCCAAAAATATATCAAAGAGGATATCATTCTTAAAAGCATAATTTTCTGATTTATTTATAAAAAAAAAATTCAAGTTAGGACTTAAAATAAGAGAGATATAGCCCGTTAAAATTTATATAGGAAAGGGTTACGGGCCTTCCATTCATGGTGATCTAGTAGTGATGTGGCATTTCTGCATGGTTATTGACCATCATGCCTCTAGGTTGATGTAAGGATTCATATTCTAACTGGATACTCATGTGAATGGGTGTTAGATTCTCTAAACTGAGCTTCTTAAACAAGCAATATGACATCATATTAATGTTTGCGCCAGAATCGATGTAAACTTCTAGAAATCTTAAAAGTACCAATATTGCAAAGTAATGCAAAACTCCCTGGGTCTCATAGCTTCACTAAAAATCTTCTATAGCTCAATATTGCTGATAAAACCCAAAATGGTGTTATCTGACCTTTATTTTTGGCGCATTTTTATGCTAAAATATCATGTCTAGGCCACGTTGCAAGCTAATTTATGCTAATTTTCCTTCCTATTTGTAAATCAATAGCTTTAGCATGGGTTATTTTGATATGAAGGCTTTTATGGGAAAATAGCATCACTTAGTCATTTGTTTATCCTCAATTTGTCATATTTTACGCTTGCTTTGTGTTTTTGATGATATTCCAGGTCTTTTACTCGTCTACAATCAATCGGGGATCAATTTGGAGTTAATCCGGTCACTTTAACACTTCAATTGAAGTAAAGTAGGAAAGAAGGCAAAAGCATAAGTTCTCTGCCGAGGGATACCAAGTTTACGGCTGCGATCGTCACTACAACAAATATGCCTATTATGACAGATAGTTTTTGTCACAATAACTGGCAACTTTGTCAAAATATGACTATTGTGACAAAATCCTTTGTCACAAAGTTTCGTTGCAAGAGCCCAGTCGTATTAGATCTAGTGTGACAAACTATTTTACGTTACATCACAACAATGTTTCCTGTATTGTGCCCAAAACATTACGTCAGAATAGGACGTCATTGTGACAATAATTTGTAACAACAAGGTGATATCTTTGCCACAACGCAGTTCTATTTCGTCACACTATACGTGATTTATGGGCACCGTTTGTGACAAATGTGTAGGTTATAATGATATAGATGGTCGCATTTTTTGTCACAAAGTTATTTTTTGTCACAGTTTTAACTAGTATTATGACAAAGCATATTTGTCACAATTTGCTCTAACCTGTTTTGACGAATTGTTTGCCCACATTTTGTCATTTTAAATTAGGTTATAGGGAAAAAATCATGTGAAAAAATATAATTCTATCATCTGAGGTACATCAATAGCTGTTTGACAGAACAAAGTCCATTTTTATTCATTCCACAAAAGAGCCCAAATCTGCTACTACAAAATATTCAATATATTCTGCTCATGAGTGAATCCATTATCCTAAACTTATAGAAGAGCTAATATCTAGCAATATCCGTTCACAGAAGAGCCAATATATGCTAATAGTTCAGTTTAACAGCCTAACCCTTCTACCCCAAAAACAAGCATCAACACATAATGCTTCTCCACCCAAAACAAGCATAAAAAACAAGCACCAGGCCCTCTGTAGCTTCTCCACCCAAATGCAGCAGTCCACCACGCCACTCACATGTTAGTACATAAACACATATATGGCATCACAAACCTTTCTACCTCACCATCCAAACAATCAAGTGAAATTACTTGTTGGAGTTGCTTTGCCGAGTAATTTTGGCTACCAAGTCGAGAATAGTAGCTTCAAGGGCATTGTCAGTACCCGCACTCGTGATGGCAAGTGTGGTTTCAAAATCAGCAAGCATGTCACAGTAATCCAAGTCATCATGCATATGGGAATGTTTTGCATTATCAGACACATAAAATGTAGCTTGTTCATCCCCAGCCCTGAGCCCACAAAATTAACTTGCCACTATGCAATCAACGCCTTGGCGGTGTCGAGAAATGGTCTACCCAAAATCATAGGCACATCCACATCCTCATTTATATCCAAGATAACAAAATCAACAGGATATGTGAATGCACCCACATTAAGAATCAAGTCCTCTATGATACCCCTAGGATGCACAATTGACCGATCAACTAACTGAATACTCATCCTAGTGGTTCTAGGTTCACCTAGGCCTAGCTTCTTAAACAGTTTATAAGGCATGACATTGATGCTAGCACCTTGGTCCGCCAATGACTTTTCTACATGCATGCTGCTAATAACAAGAGGGATAGTAAAACTCCCTGGGTCTTTGCGCTTCTTTGGCAACTTGTTCTGCAGGATTGCAGAACACTCCTCGCTCAGCATCACTGTCGAGAGATCCCCAAGTTTCTTTTTGTTAGTGAGGAGATCCTTCGTGAATTTTGCTTACTTGGGCATCTTCGACAGTGCCTCCATGAACGGCATGCTGATGTTGACCTGCTTCAACATTGCCATGAATTTGGCAAACTCAGTCTCCAGCTTGTCCTTGTGCATACGAGTGGGGAAGGGAAGCTGGGGAACATGCTCCTTAACCACTTGTTGTGGCTTGGGAGCAAGTTCTTCCTTCTCTATCCCCACCTCTTCATCTTCAGCTGGAAGTACTGGAGCAGGTGTTGGTTCCTCCTGTCTGGCCAGAGCAGGTATAGTAGACGTCGTCTTGCCACTTCCAGTAGTGATTGCATCTAACTGCTGGTGAGGCTCGTGAGGATTTGGGATGGTGTTGCCAGGTAGAGTTCCCGGTACCCTGGTGTTATTGCTATGAGCGATTCCTCCAATTTGGTTCTGGAGGTCCTGCAAAATAGCACTCTGGTTTCTCTGGCCTGCCTCCAGTGCATTGCATTTCCCCATAGAGAATTCCATGAACTGGTCCATCCTAGCGAACTTCTCTGTACTAGTGCTCACGAAAGTCGTCACCATGTTTTTCAGCTCCGACATCTGGTCACCCTGTGCTAGGGCTGATGCCGGCTAGGCAAATTTCCTCTGTTTCTGCTGGAAGGATGCCCCTGTTTGGGCTGAAACGGCTGCTGCTGCAGAAATGGACCCTGTCAAGTCTGGTACTGCTGCCTCTGTTGTAAACAACCAGGTGGTGTTGTGAAACTGGGAGGCTTGGTGATGCTGTTGTTGTTGCCCTCTTCTCCCCCTAGGTGAAATTGAGATGTTGGCACCACCCCTCATTATAGGTACCACTATAGGGGTCAAGGCGCCGAGCATTGGCGATAAAGTCCAACTACTCCTGGGGTGTGGAGGACTCCCGCATAGTCTGACAATCCACCACCAAGTGGTTCGAACACTCACACCACTGGCACTGTGCTACAGGAGGTGCGGCCATGCCTCTGCCTGGAATGAGACTGTTAGGCTGCTTCAATGTCTGAACCAACTCTGCTACCTCTCGCTCAAGCCCTAACCTTGCCTCCATGGCATGCACACCTCTGTCGCGAGAGTTCCTACCTCTGGTGATCTGCCCCCAAGAATGATCTCTGGCGGTCAAAGTAGTGATCATCTTATTCAGCTCGTGTGGAGTCTTAGTGAGAATGTCTCCACTCGGACATAAAGACTCAATCAATCTCTGACTCTCCGGAGACAGAGCACTATAGAAATTCCCCATAGTGAATGCATCACCAAAGCCGTGATGGGGACACTTCCAGAACAGACCCGAGTACCGCTCCCAAGCATCTCGCAACTATTCATCATCTTCTTGGCGGAAATGAGTGATCTCCTGTTGAATCTCTGAGGCTAAGAGGCCGGATAGTACCTGTGTACGAACTTGTTGGCCAGATCATCCCAAGAAGTGATGGACAATGGTGGCTGAGTCTCTAGCCACCTCTTCGCATTCCCCGCCAGGGAGTGGGGGAAGAGGTGAAGACGGATCGCGTCATCTGGGACACCGTTTAGCTTGACCCATTGGTCAGTTGCAAGAATCTAGAAAGATGCACCCTCGCTTCTTCATCCTTGAGCCCATGGAACTGGATGTAGGATGTAATCAACTGGATCCAGCATGGCTTGATCTCGAAGTTGTTGGCAGGGATGGGCAAACTGGATGAAGGGGCGGATATCTGCGATCCGTAGAATATAGAAGTACTCCATAGTGGGCCCCTAGGGAGGAAGCTGTGGGTTGGCAGTAGGGATGGCAATGGGTCGGGATGGGGCGGGTTTTGTCAAACCCAAACCCATGGGTTTATCCGCCAAAAAAAACAGGGGTAAAACCCGCTGGGTTTTAAAAACTTAAACCCAACCCACTGGGTATCCGCGTGTTCATGGGTACCCATGGATTTTTGTGGTAAAAAATTTACAATAACAAGTATTTTTTCAAAATAAAAGTTTAACATCAATTTTCTCATACAAATTATTCATACAAAAAACACCAATCTAGAGCATACAAGTAAACCGCAAATGATCAATACAAATTGTTCAAAATTAAAGATAAACATCTATAAACAACAAGATTAATTGAAATTTTCTTCCTCGTCAACTAAGTTTCTTCACTCTCCACTCCATAATATCAACTTCATTCTAAACAATTAGAAAGAACAAATTATACATGTCTCCACAAAAATAAAGAATAGTAGTTGTTTAAGGAAGATATATTGTTTAGAATATTAAATATACCGGGAAAGTAATTATATGTGTGTGGGCGGGTACCCATGGAGCGGGTTTACCTAAACCCAAACCCAACCCAACCCGGTGAATAGTGTAGCAAGTTTAAACCCAAACCCGGCCCAAAACCCGTCAACACTGTTTTTACCCGCTTTGACTGGGTTGGGTCGGGTGGGTACCCGTGGGTTCGGGTTTTGTTGCCATCCCTAGTTGCAATGTCTGTTTGTGGAATACTGCCATTAGGTGAGACTTGATTCACTAGAGGAACCTGGAGTGGCATCCCAGGGGCTAGGGGCTGTCCCAGATTCATGTTGTTCATCCGGTTGTTCTCGTCTCCCATGTCGTCATCCTGCTCGGAGTTGCTGCTAATCCGACCGTCAATCTGCGCTTCTGCCATAGCCAGTCTTGCTCACTGCACTCGCCTAAGCTGGCGACAAGTGCATTCTAGCTCCGGATTTAACGGTAGTAATGCTCTCGACTGGCTACGGGTCATGCACTACCTGAACACAGCTAAGCAAGCAAACCTGTGAAGGCACACAGGGGGAAGAAATAAAATACTGGAAAAAATGCTAAAGTAACAGATGTTCAGGTTTCTCCAATAATCTAGAGGCATCCACAGAAACAGCGCCAAAAACTTGACACACTACGACACAACACCAAACTGCAACCATGTATAATCGCAGAGTGGAAATGCAAAATAGTGCTTAAGTCTAACTATCGACCCGGGCTCTAGATCTACTGCCTACTCAGTGAACTCCTATTATCTAGCAGGACTAAGCGAGTGAAATGATTTTAGTGCAAAATAAACAAAAGCAAGTATTGGTCTAGTTCTTTTCAGGTTCAAAAGGTCATCCATGTATGATTCCCCCTAGTGTACAGGTAGTTCAGGTTATATGGTCCCAAATTACTCAGATTGCTAGATAAACTGTGGGAAGTTCTTTACTGGTCTGGACTCTTGACTGAAGTTATCCAGACCCTCTTGATTCGAATACCCGACGAGCGACTAACCTCCACCGGCATACACTAACCAAGGTTAAACACGTGAAACTTCCTCTATTGGCCTTTGTTCCAGTACGGAGCAGTGAATCAACTTCTCGACTAAAGCAGTTAATTCACCACTTTCAATTATAGGTTGCTCTTTTAACCTATGCAGAGACTATCGTTCTAGGTTAAAGTCGGAATTACACAGGTTTGATCAGGACTCATGCAATTCTGAAGAATTCCTCAATTGAATTTGTCAAATCAATCATTCATAACATGGGGTTCATACACTCATTCCTAACATACACAACTAGGGTTCTTCATCGAAGCATACACAAAAGTTGCATCGAAAGACGTATCTCCATTCACCTACACTTGGATAAAATTGATCAGTCCATAGTTTCACTAAAATATTCACCTTTTTCTCCATATAAGCCAAATTTTGCCAAGACCCTTACCATCATTACTAACTTTTGACTCCCAGTCAAGGAAATGCTTCATCAGTATCTTACAAGCCTTGCCTGCTCTAACCCCATGTTCAAATATAGCTACAATATGGATATTATTCTGTCTAATAATTCTAAGTAAAGTTGTAAACTTACTATCATCATAAAACCCTTGTAGATTCCAAGTTAAAATATTCATCTCATGATTCTTCCATGACTGCCACCCCTCATTTACCCTCTTTCTTCTTAATCAGAGAAGGAAACTTCGTTGTTACCTCCAAAACTGTCTCCTCGTGACCTGCTAGAGGTGCCGGATGAGGAAAGCTCCCAGTCTTTAGGAGTTAGGACGTTGACTCTCCAGCATAAGGCAATTGCAAAGGAGGACGTGAGCTCCCTGACCCCCTAGGTGACCCACGTACTACCTCTACAAAGCTCATTGCAGGACTCATGAGGAGAGGTAGAGGATCTGACAAATTCAGCTCCTGTTATATATCCCAAAGCACTTGAACCACATTCTCACTACCACCATGCTCATCACAAAGAAAAGACGAGCCAACAATATCCACATCAGTATCAATTGTCTTCCCTTTATCTATTCCAAAATTAACCACTTCCCTATCCTCCTCAACCCCATTTCCCAAATGCGGAGACAGATCCTCCATCTGTTGCTTGCTAGGTTAGGCCTTCGGAACCCAAACCTTGCCATCGTATCAATTACTATTGCAATTTTGACTAAACATCTCGCACTTTAAAAAACAAGAGGTAAATGACTATACTACATGCTAACCTCAAAATCCACTTCCTCATCAGGGTACTGTCGGACCAAGCTAGGAAAATTGGAATCAGCACTCATCTTCAGACAATCCCTTGTAATACCAAACTGATCCCCAACCTTAGTTGACCGATCCATATGAAGCGACACTCCAATGGTGCTAACCACCCACTCCAAACCCTCTAGAGAATTGTATTCCAAAGGAATACCAGAAAAACGAACCCAGATGGGGAGATTCTCCACCTTAGGCTCAATCGATCGAATCCCCGGACTCCACTTTCGAAAGAAGATAGAGTCCCCCTGAAAATGCCAGGGACCCGACTTAAAAACTCAATCACTCGTACCCAGAGACGAAAACTGAAGCACCAAAAGACACGATCCTAATAGAGAGACTTGAATCAAACCTTCTCTTCCCCAAAAGAGATTAGCCCAACTCTCCAACTTAGGGAGGCGAAGGATCTCACTGAGAAATTGTCCGATAAGGTTATTCTTCCAACGAATCGCCCCCTTCTCCTTAACTTCCTTAGGAATTGTGCATCCATCTTTGATACATTATGGTGGTCTCTAGCAAAGTCGATTCTCCGGGGCAACAACAAATAATTGAGTCCATGAATTCGCCTCACCTACAGGTTTTGCCCCCGATGGCGAGACCACCATGCCTGAATTGTCAATAATCAGAGAGAACGGGAAGTGAGGAAAACATTTGGTAGAAATTAAAAAAGAATATTATTTTCTGATTAACACGAATTGACTTAAAATGTTACTATCACTCAAGGTTCAAAAAGGCGCTATGCGTAAGGCGGGCGTTGAGCCTTTGCCTAGAGCCTAGGTGTTGGAAGAAAAATAGTTATTCGCACTCTGCATGATGAATAAAATAGTAATCTAAAACAATTCCTCACTTAAGTTAAAATAATTAATAAATTACTCAACACTTAATGGCAAGAACACAGCTCACGAATTCATTGAATCATAGCTCAATATCTCACAAAGTTCATAGAATAATAGTTCAATAGCTCACAAAGTTCTTGAGATATTGAAAATATTGATATAGAAAATTGCTTTCGTAGTTGATGTAATTTTCTCTTTTATTATTGACTTCCTAACTCCATCTAGTAATGTTTAGGAGAGATTTATACGTCACCTTACTCCATTGATGTGTTCCATTATCTAATTAGGCGCGAAACCCCTACACGAGGCATTTTGCCATTACCTTGCATCTAGGCGTGTTTAAGCATAAGGTTAACCATGCCTTTTTGAACCATTCTATCACTATTAGAATTTTTATCAAAATTGAAAGGAAAGTGATTAATAATGGAATATATATGTAAAGTTAGTGATAATTGCACAAAAAAATAGTGATAATAAATAAATTAATTAAAATATTTCAGTGGTAAATGTGAAACAAAATAATAACTAAATTTGGATTTTATTCATAATTAATTCTCTCGTTTAGCGAGGGCTGGCTCTCTGGCGGCGGAAACCCTAGGGTTTTCCGGCTGAAACACGGTGACTGGATTCCTCTTATCGCACGACAAACTACTATTTTCCGATCTCAATTATAAGCTCTCTTAGAACTCTCCACAGCTTACGCTGCTCTGGTGATACAATTTTCATACACATCCCCTTTTGATTCAAGCTGCTATAGAAAGAGTGTTCTACAAGTTTTCTGTTGCAATGTGAGAAGGTTGATTCCTAGTGTGCTTGACGAAAGCACAATGGCGTCCACAAACAATAAGGCAAATGAAGAAGCTCAAAAAGAGTCCGAAAGAAAGGAGAACGCCCCGACGGGGGGATTGAAGAACAACTCAACCGGATCTTCCTAGAGGAGGAAGAAGAAGGTCCCCTTGAGGTTGAGGATACTGATGTGAATGTGGTTCGAATGGAAGCTGTTTGCCATCACGGTCTGGTTGGGAGGCTCCTGTCCGATAAGGCACCAAATATTCAGTCCATGAAGATAGCCATAACAAAAGCTTGGGGCTTAAAAAAGAATTATGACTCACTTCTACTGTCACTCCAGGAATTGGCCAAGTGAAACCACTTCCTAAAGCGTAGTATAGCGGGTTTAGGTTTAAATGTCAACCCGGGTCCTAGATTTGATGACTACTCAGTGAATTCTTGTTATCTAGCAATGAAACTTTAATGCAAGTCTAAACTAACAAACTAACAAAGCAAGTAAACGATTGTATTCAGGTTAAGAGAGGTCACCCGGATATGGTTCCCCCTAGACTGCAGTTAAGCCGGATTGCAATTACCAAGTTCAGTTTCTATGATAGTTATACTGCAGAAGGTTCTCAAACAGCCTGAAGTCTCGACTAAAGGTCTTCAGACCCTCTCAATCTGAATCTCTAGCGGGCGACTAACCTCCACCGGAGTAAACAGATTGAGGCTCTATGAACAAAACCTCCACTACCGAAGTGAATTCGGTACAGAATAGTGAGTTGGTTCCTCGACTAAAGTCACCAACTCCCTACCTTCAATCAAGGATGCTCTATCAACCTAGGCAGATATTCTCATTCTAGGTCAAAGCAGAAACAACAGGAATTTGATCAGGATTCAAGTCATTCAATCATTCAAACCTCAATCGAATATAATCAAATCATAGAATCAGTATTTGGGTTCATACAATCAAAGCCTAACATACAAATTTAGGGTTCTCCATACCCAGATGAATGGGAGAACTACTCCATGGAGAAAGAAGCAAAAGCAGAATCAGACGCGGAATTCATACTGTGAAGGATGGATTCCTGCTCCTGGACGTTGATCGGCACTTCTCTAAGCTCAAACTGGCCTCCAATGGTGTTGAAGATCAAGCTAGGGCACTTGGAGACTCTTGTTCGTCACTTTCTCTCTCTAGGAATCGCTCTATCTCGACGAAATGACTTCCGAATGCCCCAAAACTCGTGCTTAGCCTTTCCTTTGACGCCTGGGACCTGAAATATGACAAAATAGCACAACCCGGCGTAAAATAGGCCAAAAATACGACTATGCCCCTCAAACGGATAAGAACTAGGGGCGCAAATACGTGTAATTACATCGTTATCAAATTCCCCCACAATCATACTAGGGGCGCAAATACGTGCAATACAGCATAGTTGAGAACACAATCAATGGTTGAGAAAGTGGCTAACAGGATTGGTGAATTCGTTTACTTTAATGATGGTGCAGAGAAGATGTAGGATGACTTTCTACGGATTAGGATCAGCATCTCCATCAACAACTATTTAAAGAAGAAAATCAAGGTGAATGTTGGTGGGGAGCTGATGGAATTCAAAATACAGCATGAGAAGTTGCCTTTATTCTGCCACTCGTGTGGTAGGATAGGCTATATAAAAGTGAAGTTTCCAAAACCCTCACAGTTAGAGGTTGATCCTTATGGATTTTATATGAGAATAGCGTCCCCAACTCCTAGGAACTAGCTATCACATAGGGCGCGAAAAGAGGAAGCAGATATATGGAGACAACTCCGACAAAAATTTGATATGGAGAGTTCAAGATCAAATTCGGAGAAGGAAACACCTTCAAAACCAGAAGAAAAATAGGCGGAGGTGGTTTCTAAAGCATAGGAGACTGAACAAGAGCATGTCCCAATGGAGACAGGACAAGAGGGCACTACTCAGATACCACAAACACATATTGAAGCATCTAATGGTGCAGGGAAGGCAAAGGAAGATATACCAGTGGACAATGATACCATTAAGAAATGCAACAATGTAGCTGGTAGAGCAGGAGCAGTGAAACAACTTACAGCTTGTAATATTAAAGTACAAACGCAAAGGAAGCTAGGAGGGAGGGTGTGGAGAAGACAAGAACAAGGGAGGACAAGGGAAACAAACCCTCCACAGCTTACCCTGCAAAAGAGAGGACTAAAATCTACGGAGGAGAACATCTTTCAGGGGGAAAATGAGAGAAAAAGTCAGAAGAAGGCGAAGACTTTAGTTTTCCCCAAACCAGCAGACACAGAGGACCTCAAACACAATGAGCAGATGGTTGGCGATGTGGCGGACCCTGATAGTACTCAGGGCCGCCTAGCCCAATGATCATCCTAAGTTACAACTGTCGGGGGCTCGGGAATACCCCGACAGTTGAGAAGGTGAAGACGTTGTTAAGTCAAACCAATCTCGAAGTGGTCTTCTTGATGGAGACGCGACAGTACAAAAAAGAATGGAAACAAAAGATAAAAGAGTTTGGCTACTATGATGGGCAAGGAGTAGCAACAAGAGAGAATAGAGCTGGAGGACTACTCCTCATGTGGAAAGAAGAAGTTTTAGTGGAGGTGAAAAATTGTACAAGAAATTACATAGATGCAAAGGTCAAGTGGACTAACTCTCAGAGAGAATGGCGCTTGACTGGCATTTATGGATGGCCAGAAACAAAAAACAAGCGTAAGACCTATGAACTGCTTAAAGAGCTCTACCATAGAGTTCAAATGCCTTGGTTGGTGGTGGGAGATTTCCACTTGATAACTGATTACCTAGAGAAGAATGGAAACCACAGTTCTGAGGTTAGAGAAATGGACATGTTCAGACAGGCCCTAGACTACTATGGCCTGGAGGACTGTGGGCACTATGGTTGAACCTTCACTTGGGATAACAATAAAAATGATGGGGATTACACTGAAGAGAGGTTAGATAGGGCATTGGGAACAAAGGAGTGGATGGACTGCTTCCCTAATATGAGGGTGTATCATTTGGATCGATGTGGCTCAGACCACATCCCAATACAAGTAAAGTTGGACCTAGAAGACGAAGAAATTACCTGGGGATGATGCTTCAGGTATGAGCCTTACTGGGAAAGGCACAAAGACTGTCGAACAGTAATTGAGGAGGGATGGATGGCACAGAGACCTGTTGGCATAATGGACAGAGTGCAGAGCTGCAGGGATAAACTCCAAACCTAGAGCTCTGAAGCTTTTGGATCCCTGAAAAAGAGAAGAAAGCAAGCTGAGAAAGCTCTGAGGATTCTGGAAAAGAGGAAAAGATCAAAAGCAGTGTTACTGCAAAGGAAAGTAATAGAGAAGAAACTTAATGATATTATTCTACAAGAGGAAATTAAATGGAAACAGAGTTCTAGGGAGGATTGGTTCAAAGAAGGAGACCAAAACACAGGCTATTTCCACCGAAAAGCATCTGAAAGACGAAGAAGGAATACAATCAGAAAACTTCAAGATGAAACGGGGAAAGTTTTCACAGGTCAACAGGGGTGATCCACTGCCTAGTCACTTATCTGAAGACCTTATTTAAGGCAGGAACAAGACCAGGCAATAACACAATCATGGAGGCAGTAATAGCAAAAGTCACCCCAGAAATGAACCAGGAGCTTCTTTTGCCTTTTACGGATGAGGAAATTTGGTATGCTCTTAATTCTTAAACACATGGGGCCAAATAAGGCTCCAGGGTCTGATGGTATGCCAACAAGATTTTCCAAAAGAATTGGACAGTCGTGGTGCCAGCAGTAAAAGAGGAACTTAGAAGCTATTTAGAGAGTGGTGAATTTCCCCTGAGTTGAACCACACTCTAATAGCTTTGATACCAAAAACGAAAAAACCTACAACTCGTATTGAATTCAGGCCAATCAGTCTATGCAAGGTTTTGTACAAGATTATGTCCAAAGTCCTAGCCGTCTGCACAAAGTTATTGGAGAGGCACAAAGTGCTTTTGTGCCTGGTAGGTTTATAACTGATAATGTTCTAGTTGCTTTTGAATGCTTTCATGCCATGAAACAAAAAGAAAGCAAAACAGGGGCTGATGGCAGCAAAACTGGACATCTCTAAAGCTTATGATAGGGTGGAGTGGTCTTTTCTTCAGGAAATGATGATGAAGTTAGGTTTTGAGGAGTGTTGGGTTAAACTGATTATGAACTGCATCACCACTATTTCTTATTCGGTGTTAGTCAATGGCCACCAATCTGAGACTTTCACCCCGGAAAGAGGTTTGAGACAGGGAGATCCTATCTCTCCTTATCTATTCTTGATGTGCGTTGAAGGTCTTTCTGTTCTCACTAGTAAGGCAGTTAATGAAGGGAGGCCACATGACTTGAAAGCATCTGTGAGAGGACCCTCCATTTCACACTTGCTTTTTGCAGATGACACCATCTTCTTCCTAAGGGCTACCCCTCAGGAGTGCCAGCAATTGAAAGAGATTCTAAAACACTATGAGAAAGATTTTGGCTAAGTAGTGAACATCTAGAAATCTTATATAAGCGTTAGCCCTAGTGTGAAGACCGAGAAACGTCTATTGTTGACCAACTGTTTGGGAATGAAACAGGTGGAGAACCATAGCAAATACCTGGGATTGCCTACTGTAATAGGCAGAGAAAAATGAGTTGTGTTTGATGTCGTAATAGACAGAATAAGAAAGAAAATTAAGCATTGGAAAAGGAAAACGATGTCAGCAACAGCCAGAGAGGTTTTGATAAAAGCAGTAGCTCAATCTCAAGCTACCTACACTATGTCAATGTTTCAGGTGCCTATTGGTGTTCTTGATGAGATAAGAAAAGCTATTTCTAGCTTTTGGTGGGGATAGCAGAAGGAAGAGAGGAGGATTCCTTGGAAATCTTGGAAACAAGTGTGTAAACCAAAGGAGGAAGGCGGGATGGGTTTTAGAGACCTGAAAGCATTTAATCTAGCTCTACAGGGGAAACATGTATGGAATCTCTTTAACAATCCAGAATCCCTGGTTGCTAGAATGCTCAAGGCAAAATACTACCTTAACTCAAACATCCTACAAGCTAGAGTGGGGCACAACCCGAGTTACACTTGGAGGAGCATTATGTTAGCACAACAATTGGTGAGGAGTGGCCTAAGATGGAGAATAGCGGATGGTTCTCAAGTGAACATAAGGGGGGATAAGTGGATAGCAGGAGGAGAGGATTCAGGTTATAGGCTTTTAACACCTCCCTTGGAATCAGAGGAGATAGTTAAAGTCTCTGAGTTAATTGATCATGAGAATAGAACCTGGAGAAGTAATCTGCTCCAACTTTACCTAAACCCAGAAGATAGAAGCAGGATCACAGTGATCCCTATTCCTAGACAGCCTGCAGCTGATGAACAGGTTTGGAGTAGAGAGAAAAATGGTGTCTACTCAGTCAAATCAGCTTACAAGCTTGCCACAGGGGACCTAGCCATCTTACACGAGGACGTCTCTCAAGATGGGAATCTAGCAGAAGAGGATGGTGAGATTGAACACTATGACCCTATGAACTGGAAGAGGCTGTGGAGTCATGTGATTCCCCCTAAGGTTAGAATTTTTCTATGGAGAACTGCTCACAACATACTCCCTATTGGGGAAAAAATCGAGGGACGTAAGAAGGATGCTGCAACAGAATGCCCCTTTTGCCACCAAGAGGAAACACAGAACCATATCTTTAGGGAGTGTCAATGGGCAATAAGGGTTTGGTGATCCTCTATGTTTCGACCCCCATTCGAATTAGAGCCTGAACTGTCAATGGGCAGTTGGCTATGTGAAATAATGGAGAAGATCGATGATGATACTCTCGCTCAAGTGGGTTTGAAGATCACCATCGTCAAGCTACTGTTGAGAAGGTGGAAGAACCACGTACCTGGAAGCGCCCACCAGCGGGCTGGGTAAATTTCAATGTGGACGCGCGATGCTGAATGAAGGAGGAACGGGTTTAGGGGTGGTAGCTCGTGATTGGAACGGGAATTTCGTCATGACGGCAGTCCGCAGGGAGCGCAGGTCCTGGACACCGGAGCTGGCAGAGCTTCGAGCCATCGAATTCGGCCTGGAAATGGCGAGGGAAGAAGGGTATCGTCGCTGCGCTGGTGGAATCGGATTGTCAAAATGCCATTCTCAAGCTACAAAGGCAGGAGTCTTCGAGACTGGAGACAGGTGTGCGTGTGAGGGAGATTCAAGATCGGGCGGTTCAGCTCAGTTCGGTTGAATGGCAGTTCGGTCGACGGGAAGAGAACTAGGGAGCACATGCAACGGTCCATGTCAGATGTGATTGGGAAACCCATGAGAAATGGGCTGAAAGACCACCAATTTTTCGGTTGGATTTGTTAACAAATGAGGCTATAGCCCATTAATAAAATTCCAGGAACTTTCTATAAAAAAAATTAATAATAATAATAACTAAATAACCAAATTCTCATTTTTTATATTAGGGAAAAACCCCCGATAATTTTGTATTGGAACTAGCAAAACGTCCCCTACCAACAATCTGAACCAACAAAGTAAAGGAGCTCTCAATCCTCCAGCTTTCTCTCCACTCACTCCCTGTTTCGGCTTATCCACAACCCTCCTCCTCCCTTCTCCCCCAATCTCTAAAATTCACAACAATGGCGGACAGCGGCGTAGTCACCGTCTACGGTAACGGCGCGCTTTGCGAGAGCACCAAGAAATCCACCTTTTCTGTCAAGGTCGGCCTCGCCCAAATGCTCCGCGGCGGCGTAATCATGGACGTCGTTAACGCCGAGCAGGCCAGAATTGCCGAGGAAGCCGGCGCCTGTGCCGTCATGGCTCTGGAGCGAGTCCCCGCCGACATCCGCTCTCAAGGAGGCGTCGCCCGGATGAGCGACCCCCAATTGATCAAGGAAATCAAGCAGGCCGTCACCATCCCCGTCATGGCCAAAGCCCGCATCGGCCATTTCGTGGAGGCTCAGATCCTGGAAGCCATCGGAATCGACTACGTGGATGAAAGCGAGGTCCTGACCCTGGCCGATGACGAGAATCACATCAACAAGCACAATTTCCGGATCCCTTTTGTCTGTGGTTGCAGGAACCTCGGCGAAGCCCTGCGCCGGATCCGGGAGGGCGCGGCGATGATCAGGACCAAAGGCGAGGCCGGGACGGGCAACATAATCGAGGCTGTCAGGCACGTGAGGTCGGTGATGGGAGACATTAGGGTTTTGAGGAACATGGATGACGATGAGGTCTTCACTTTCGCCAAGAAGATTGCCGCCCCGTACGATCTGGTGATGCAGACCAAGCAGCTCGGGAGGCTCCCCGTGGTCCAATTTGCCGCCGGGGGAGTGGCGACTCCAGCTGATGCGGCCTTGATGATGCAGCTCGGCTGTGACGGCGTTTTCGTCGGCTCTGGGGTGTTCAAGAGTGGGGATCCGGCCAGGAGGGCTCGGGCAATTGTGCAGGCCGTGACCCATTACACGGACCCTGATGTTCTTGCAGAGGTGAGCTGTGGATTGGGCGAGGCCATGGTAGGAATCAATCTGAGTGACGCTAAGGTTGAAAGGTACGCCAATCGATCAGAATAAGGAAGGAGGAGAGCCTTTGGCATTGCAGAACCGTTTGGCACATCCATTTTTGTTTTATGTTCTCTGTTAGCAACCTCGAATTCATATCATCCATCCCCTTTCACATTCTTAAGCCGTTACTTGCTAGCTCTATGAAGCTTTCTGAGACACATCCATCCATGGTCAAATGTCGATTTTCCAAGTGTTAGTTTGGCTGCAATTGACATCAACTTCTCCAGTGTTGGTTTGGCTTTATGATGAATAAATGTGCTTCATTGTTCAGTTAGATTCGCAGCATGCCCATCTGCATATATACAACAAAAATGGGAACTTTGGGGCCTTTCTAGATCGTAGCTAGTGCTGATGATGCAGTAGTAGTTCCTTTCTTGTCTGAGATCATGTTTTGTTGGTGCATTTAGCTTGCAATTCATACGAGACAGACATCTGAGAGGTGACTGGTCTTTCTGGGGAAATCTTGTCGTCTCAATGCTGTTGTTTGTTCTTTCACTTGGCTGGTCAGGTGATTGAACAGTATTGAACGAATATGAAACTATGTTTGGATCTTTGTATGCCTGCCTTATGTTTGGAGGTTTCTGTACTGATAATATTCTCTTTCGGCATAGTGAATACAATATAGTAATTTTGGTTGGCTTGCAGTGCATAGGTCTCTAGTAAGATAGTAGGATGAATGAGCTTCGACAGATTTAAAAGGTTGCTTTAGCCTCAGGGAGTCTGAGAAGAACAGCAATCGGAGAATTTATAACCATATGCAGGTGTAAGGAGCATATATGATATATCCTATTTTCTCTAAAGGGGGCATATACATAATTGTAACTTTTAGGACAGCTAGGACTTGCACCTACCAAACGTGACTTAGTGCAATTATTAAGGGGTATGGCTAGTGCCTCAAATGAGGTGCATTGAACTGAGTTTTGATGTTGATTAAGCTCAATTCGTTAATAATCGATTCGATTTCGAGTGTTGAACGAGATTTACTGAGCTCCACGTCGAGTCGTTCTTGAGCAAGTTGGCTCATTTGCAACCTTAGTTATTGGTATAATATGTTCATCTACTAAATATTTTTTCAAACATGTCCCTCTATTATTTTTTAGATAAAAAAATAATGATGTACTTTAGAAATATTATCAAATATGCCAGTGTTTTGAAGTTTTTCGGAAAAATTTGTTTGGTGTGTTCGCTTCCAGTATGTTTTTTTCATTCATGTCATCAGAGAAGGATGACATTGATGATGCTATCGATTGTGGGATCTACATTGGGGTCTAATACGTCCGTGTTGGAGAGTGTGTTGAAGAATTTATGCATGTTTTAAGCAAGTTTATTTCACATAACAGGCAATACGGTTAGTAACATGACTCGCTCGGAACTACACCATGAAGTAATCCCGATTAGAGCCCAAGTTTTTAAATTCTAGTCATGTGCAGTGTAGGGCAACTATTTCATTGTCAAACCCAGGGCGGTCCATGTACCTCTACTTCAATCGCTTAAGTTGTTATCTAGCAAAACAGTTTTGGGTTTAAAACTATGGAAAACTCTAAGTGAGGAGCTTCACTCGTGTGTTGCTTTCCCCTAACCAACTACCAAGAACCGTGGGATTGAATGAAGTGGCGTGCGACGAGGCAATTGTGACACGTTGGAGGCGCAAGCAACAATGGTTGGAAACTATTCTCCCAATCGCTAGGCCAAGGTAGGGGTCAAAGGCTACAATTGTAGCCCTCTTGGCCCAAGCAATTTAGGGTTGACTTATCTTCTCCCTCAAACCAAGGGTTTGGACGATATAATCACAATTAACCCAGATGTCTAATTCAAACTTAGAGGTTTGCCCTTAATCAACCTAGAATAGAAGACATGTAATGCCCGAAGAAACCCATCTCTAAAAGAGCCTCTTAACCAAATGAGGTCTCCTCTCTAAACTAGGTTAGAATGTCAATTAGATTGATAGGCTTTCACACAACACAATCATTCATGAATAATACATCAAACCTTAAATTAAACACCTCCAACACACAATCATTCAATCCACACAACCAATTAGATGATAGGAGTTTGGGGTTCTACAACACCCAAGTGAAAAAGGAAACTACTCCATGCTAGATAAAGGAAGAACACAAAGGAAGAAAAAAGAAACCATCATTGTGATGCCTCCAACCCTCCTTGTGCTTGTAGAACTTCTCCTTGGGAGAGGTTCTTCCAAAATCTTCACTTGGAGCAAACCCTAGCCTCTTCTCCCTCTTGGTTTGTTACTTTTTCTCTCCAGGGTTTCAAGAAGAAGGCTCCCCCCCTCCCCCTTTTGGGGCTCCCCCTCTTTCTTCCTTTCAACTCAGATTTTATACTGGGATCGGGCTCCGTTCACGGCTTCAGTTCACTTCCGTGAACTCCTCAATGCGTCCATGAACTCGGCGTGTTGTGTCGAAACGCACCGCTTCACTCACTTGAGTTCACGTTTTGCACTCAACGTTCATGGTCTTGGTGACCATGAACTCACGCGGCGTCAGTAACCTCAGAAATCGCCATGGACGCTTCGTGGTTCACAGTTTATGGCTTCAGTTCACTGTCTTAGGAGACCGTGAACTCCAATGGGAAACCGTGAACATGGCCTGAAACCTGGATGCATGCACTTCACTATTACAGGGCAATTGTCACGGACTTGGGACTTTTCTTTGGGTTTTCGCACTTTTTCGACCTCTAATCGTCCCAAAACTCATCCTCGACCCTTCCACACTTTCTAGGACCTGAAATGTATCAAAACAAGCACAACCTAGCGTGAAATATGTCGAGGGACGATGAAATTCAAAGCCGATCTATTAAGAAATGAGGGGTAAAATGTGTACAATTAGGCCCGAATCACTCCCCCACACTTGAACGTTTGCTTTTCCCCAAGCAAACCAATCTCAAACAAGGCAATATTTCAACCCAACAACAAAACTTGGGGACCAATCAAAGGGAACACAATAGATGTATCTCAATGTTTAATTGGCATCAACAAATGAACCGACACAATCAATTACATGATAGGAGCTAGGGTTCTACAACACCCAAGTGAAAATGGAAACTACTCCATGCTAGATAAAAGAAGAACACAAAGGAAGAAGAAATAAACCATCATTGTGATGCCTCCAACCCTCCTTGTGCTTGTAGAAATCCTCCTTGGGAGAGGATCTTCCAAAATCTTCACTTGGAACAAACCCTAGCCTCTTCTCCCTCTTGGTTCGTCACATTTTCTCTCTAGGGTTTCAAGAAGAAGCCTCTCCCCGCTTTTGGGGCTCCCCCTCTTTCTTCCTTTCAGCTCACATTTTATACTAGGATCGGGTTTAGTTCACGACTTCAGTTCACGGTCGTGAAATCCTCAATGCGTGCGTGGACTCGGCGTGCTGTGTCGAAATGCACCTCTTCACTCACTTGAGTTCACGATTTGCATTCAAAGTTCACGGTCTTGGTGACCGTGAACTCACGCGGCGTCTGTAACCTCAGAAATCGCCCTGGCGCTTCGCGGTTCACGGTTTATGGCTCCAGTTCACGGCCTTAGGAGATCGTGAACTCCAATGGTAAATGGTGAACATGGCCCGAACCTGGACGCTTGCACTTCACACGTGCTAGGACCTGAAATGTATCGAAACAAGCACAACCTAGCGTGAAATATGTCGAGAGATGATGAAATGCAAAGCCAAACTATCAATAAATGAGGGGTAAAATGTGTACAATTAGGCCCGAATCATAACACAAGCGTGTTCAAGGGTGTGTCAACTCAACTAATCGACACTCTAGCATAGTTGACAAAATAGAATTGAAGAACAACTATAATACGACATGGAACACAACCGTGTTCCAGGGTGTGTCAGACATGGTGTCAAAAATAGAGAGCTTTGGAAGAGAATGGGTATTGGTTTTAATTCTTTTGTGATAAGAAACGATTGAAGTTCCTAATATCGATGACATATGTTCACCATGGAAAGTCTAAGTGCATAAGTGAACGAGTAACATGTCTACATCACTCTCAGGTTGAGGTATTTACTGTCGTATATATGTAGTTACAAAAAATTAATAATTGAGGTCAATTTTCAGTTATTGTCATCTATGGCTTGCTTAAATTCACATAATTCATTTGTCATTTTTTACAAGGAGAAAGTGATGCAACTGGCAACTCTCTAACCCTACGAGTTCCTTTTGAATCTTATGAAACTTTTTCATCATCTATTGAATTCCTATATCTGTGATCTAACATTTAATGACAAGTTCAAATACTTACAAGGGGTTGATGAGTTAGAAAAAAATTGTATCCATCTATTTCCTTGCTTATCAAGTTGGCACTTCCTGTTAGAAAAGCAAATGTGGAGAGATCATTTCCATCCATGAAATATATCAAGAACGATCTTTGAAATAGGATGAACGATTAGTGATTGAACGATGCTGATGACATAGAACACGGTTTGTACGTTAGTTTGGATTGTTCTAAAATGCTTCCAGAATATGAAATCTCGCCGCGGTAACAGTGTGCGCCGAACTACGATTATGTAATTGTACGAATTTCAGTATTATGTAATTGTACGAATATTGAAGTTCTTGATATACGTAAAGGGAATATACATAGGTTTGAGTCGAGGCAATGAATAAAATATTGTTCATTTTCATGCGAGGGATGACTCTCTCTGCTTCATATGAACAAGCTTTGTATTCAAGTTGGTGGGCAGAATTAGAACGTGAGCTTGTGAATGGTCCTAGTGAGGGGGTGTATGAGCCAAAACTGTCTAAACATAAATGTTGCCCATATTTCATTGTTCCTTTCCTTTCCTTTCCTCTATCTATTTCATCCTGACTCGTCTATTCCCGAGAACGGTAATGAGACATTTAATAATCTTAAATGCAATGTAGTCAAAATCCCGATAATAATCTTAAAATCTTACGATTTTACGATCTTACCTATGAGTTCTGATCCTGATTTTACTACAAAATCTTTGAACAAAATCTTATAAAATCCCGATTTAAAACTGTAAAACCCTTAAAATCTACGATTTTGTACGATTTCAAAGTTCATGTCAACTGAAGCAAAATTAGGTCGACCAGGTTGGGTTTTGCCCATGAACCAGTTCAAGTTCATTTCCCCCAACCCAACATAATGAAAAACACAACCCTAACCCGATAGTCCACCTTCAATTGATTTTTATTCCCTTCCTCTTCAGCACACCGACACCCAACTCCTTCCATCAACAATTTCCTCCACCCTCTGAATTAGCTAGTAGTTTATTCCCCACCACCCTCGCAATTAGCCTAATTCCCATTCCGTTGCAAGCTTTCGTTCATCTCCCAAATCGTCAACACCACAATCGCCGACCGTTTATCGATCACAAAGTGAACATGTAACATCCTTACCCTCATAAGTATATTTATTTATGATAGCGTAATTAATGACGAGCATAATCGTATTGTCCCTTAAGTCGGGAATGAAATGATCATGGTGATTTAGAAGAAATTAGTAAGTTAATTTGGTGGTATTCAAACTTTGAGGACTAAACTGGTTGTGAAAAGGAAATTGGAGGAGTGAATGGTAATGGGTGCCAAGTGGAGGTTGTAGATTGGAGAAGAAGAGTGTTCTAGAGGGATTTTGGGGGAGGCAAAAATTTGCCCTCTCCTTCCCTTCTATCTCATCTTCCATTTCCTTCCTTTCTCTTCCAAACAGCCACCACCACCTCCCACATCACCACCATCATCAATCATCCAAAAAATCTAGAACTTAAAGTAGCTAAGACAAGTTGGGAGTTGGAGAATAAGGAGGGTAGAGCTTGAAGAAGTAAGAAACAATGGTTGCATCATCTTCTTTCTTTCTCCAAGAAAATAACCTAAACCCTAGAAATTGTTCCAGAAAGAAATTTATGGATTTGTTTCTTGAGTTCATGCTATGAATCTACTTTAAAGATGTTAGAAATCAAGGGAATACAGTTAGAGTTAGTTATGGTTCAAAATGACAAAATTACCCAAAAACCGGGTTCTTGGCCATACCATGTTGGACAAATGAAGTAAAGGGTTATGATGATTTGTGTGAGTGTGTATAGAAATTATTAATCATGGAGATTGTCCAAGAAGTTATGTTTTGGGGTTTAAGAGTGGATTGGATCAAAGGGGAGTACTGGAAGAGGAAGTAGAATAAAAACAGTTTTGAACCTTTAACTTTGATTGAGTTCTAAACCTAATAAACTAGTCTAAAATGGCCTGAAATTTTGATATGTTGTATCCCTATGAATCTAGTTTAATTATAAAAAAGAATTACTAAATTTGGTTGAATATTAAGGGAGAAATGGCCAAAACCATGAACGGAGGTAGTGATTTCCAGCAAGGCTTTTTAAAAATCCGGCTTCAAACACAGTCGGGTTTTGACCAATTAAGTTCGTGATTTTGGGGAGGAATATGCCAGAAACACCTCCTAAAAACCCGTTCTCTAGGCTCTAAAAAATGTCATGGTTTGTGACCATAGATGCCGTGTTTTCCCTGTTTTGGGCTAAAGAAGTGTTTCGTTTCAAACTTCGATGCATTCCAACCAATATGCATTCATATGATTTCTCTATATGATGTGGTTGATTAAATGTGAATAAATGGATTAATTAAAGGAAAGGAGAAGGTTGTGGAGTCCTCAAAGGGAAAAGGACTTGCGAATTAGCGATCAAACTGTGAGTAAACCTTAACCTATCAACCATATTAATATGAATATGGTACTCAGGTCATGAAGTGACCTGAGTATAAGAAATGTGAATGTGATAAGGAGTCAAAGATTGACTTCATTTTGATGGTATGAAATTGAAAATGCATGGATGGTGGATGAAATATGAAAAGACATTTTGTTGGGTTGATATTGTGTATGCCTATGCGAATTGCTATTGTGCCACTGCAAATAAAGGTTGCCTCTACAACTGATGTTTTGTAAAATTAGCATGGTTATGTGATTTAATGATGAAAAATGGTTGAATGATCATGAAGTGGAATGAAATTATCATATGTGATGGTTTTGTGATAAATTATTGATGTGATTGCATGACTTAGGTGATGGTGTACTATTATTGAATACATAATGTATTGTCATGCTTACATGGAATATTATGAAATGATTCTTTATGTCTGTGATTGAGATTGTGAGGCTCGAATGAGCTTTATGATATGTTTCTATAATGATATAGCATCAGATGGCCTAAATGGCGATGATGTGACATTGGATGGCCTAAAAGGCCATGATTTGGTATTGGCTAGCCGAAAAGGAAATTGTATGGTATTGGAAAGCCGGAAAGGCAATGATGTGGTATAGGATAGCCGTAAAGGCGAAAACATGTAAATGACTGGTTGATTTATTTTTTGGGATTAAGTATTAATGGCTTGCATGTGTTATATAATTGTAAGACTAATAAAGAAAGAATTTCTTGATAACCTAAATCAACCATAATGGTGCCTTGTCATGCATTATATATATTGGATTGATGGCTATAAGCCTAGCTCTCTGGGAGAGCGATATAAGGCCTAGTTATTTGCGATGTTAATGCATCTATTGGGCAGTGCTCTATGCATCAATTGGTGGTGCCTAATGCATCTTTTGGGTGGTTCTTTATGCAACTATTGGCGTTGCTCAACGCATCTATTGGCGATGCTTTATGCATCTACTAGTTATACTCGGGGGAGTGTATGACCTGACAAAATTAAGGCTAAAAGACATGTAATCTGGCTAACCTCAACGTGTGTATATGTGTGTATGTATGCATGATTGATCATTGGACTATGTATGATTTTATGAGTGGAATGCAATGGCCATGTGAATGAGATAGTGGTTAGCTAGGGAAAATATAGATAAGAGCGAGGTTTGACTTCACCCAGTTATCATGTTTGTGTTGATATCGTTGGCATGTTAGTTTTTGCTCATTGAGGTGACGTCTCACTCTCGTCAAAAAATTTCCCCAGATTAGAAGTTTTGGACTTGAAATGAAGGGAACTCAGCAAGACTCAACTCGACATCAATGAGGTGGGCTGGTGAACTTAGACTCCGACATGACTTGTTTATAGTATTTTGAGAGAAGATTATCTTCTCTATTGTCATGTGTTCTGAAGTTGTAAAAGTTTATGTAAATTATGATGTAAATTAAACGCGTTTGTGAAAGGTTTTAATCGATATGATCTTGTGAATGTTTTAAAATATGTATGGGTGTTACAGAACACATCAATCAATGAGTTGCCTTTGACAAATGATGGTGATCAAAGAAATATGGGTAATGGTGAAAGTACTTCAAGTGTCCTGAGAATAATGATGAGAGTGAGGATGATGACGTGTGAGAGATGTTAATATTGATCTTAACGATCTTATGTAATTTCTACACTTAACTATTAACTATATTAAGTGATTTCTATGAGGTTTTCGGTTGCTTATTTGTGTTAGGGTTAATACTTTAGTTTGGCCTAAACTATAAACAAACTTTCTACTTTGCCCCGTGGTTTTCGAAATTGCTATCCTGGACTGAACTATGTACCATACTTCCTAACTTGGCTAGGAGCCGGGTTTGACCGTCAAATTGGACGGTCAAATTCGTTGATTGTTAGTCAATGTCCAACTTTCTTTCCACGTCAGCGAGAACAGAATAATTTTTTTATTTTTTGAATTTCTGTATTCATTTTCTTTTCTAATAATAATAATAATAAAAAATAAAAAATAATAATAAACCCCTATTTATCTCCTCCTTCGCTCCTCCGGGTGAAACAACAAGATCGGAAACCAAGGGAGCTCCTCCGGTTCTCCAACTGCGCCTCCCACACCCACTCCCGCTGCGCTCCCTCCCACCCTCTCCTGTCGTTCCCTTCCTATTCCGACCCCACCTTTTCCTTATTCTCTCCTCCCTCTGGGGCTCGGGTCTCCATCGATGCCAAGATGGCCACGACTCTGCTCTGCGCTGCCAAGATCGTCTCATGGTCGATGGCAGAGGCGGTCAAGGCGGCGAAGGAGGAAGCCGACTGGAGGGCTAAAGAAGCAGACATATGTAGGAAGAGGGTGAAGGAGGCGCTAGATAAAGTCTCGACCGTCGCCGCAGCGACAAAGAAGAAAGTGGTGGCACCGCCGAAATCCGGGAAGCCTACGAGCACCGCCTGAAAGTAATCATCTTTTTTTGGCTAGAAACGGGCGAAAGAGTGGATGGAGGAGCGTGGTGGCAGTGGGGAAAATGGAGAATTTTTTGGTCTCTGAATGGGTTTGTCATTAGAAGTAGTGTGTATTAGATTGAAAGAAATTAGAGAGTAAGAGGCGGAGAAGAATGAGAGGGCGCCGCCGCTGCAGTTTTTCTTCCTCCAATGGCGGTGACAGCGCGTCGGAGAAGGGGAAGGGTTTTGGGGAAGAAGGGGGTTTGGGAAATGGTTTTGCCCAATTGAGGCGACAGGGGAGGGGATAAATTGGATTTTTTTATTTTTGTTTGTTTATTATTATTATTATTAGAAAATAAAATTAATACAGAAATTCAAAAAATAAAAATTTTATTCCGTACTTGCTGACGTGGCAAGTGAACTGGACATTAACTAACAGTCAATTTCTCAACTAGTTTCTCCCACTCGGCGACGCGCGATTCGCCTCCAGCTTCTTCATCTCAACGACGCTCAATTCACCAACTACTACTTCCTCCTTTGACGGGCGATTCCCCAACCAAGTTATTTCTCTCCAACAAACACTAAATCCATGTCAATGAGCTTCAATCCATTGAAGCAGACCAAGTCGCCGTCAATCCATAAAATTCCGCTTCACTAAAGCCCACTGGACCCTATTTTTTCGAGGCCTCATGAAGCTCGTCCGTCACAACTCTGTGGACAAATCACCATGTTCATTCTTCATTCGTGAACTAAGGGCTTGTTTGGAAGATGTGATTTCAAGTGAATGATTTAATGAATACATGTAATGGTGAGATTGAGTCGTTTTTCTGGTTTATTTTGAAGCAAAATTCATGTATTACCTTTTTCTGACCCCACCCACAATCATTCAAATTGAGTGATTTAAAAACTCTACTCAAAGTTGAAATTGTTGATGAAGGATTGTCTGCTAATTTTTTATTCCATCTTTGTCCCTTCTATTTTTATCTTATTTTAGAATTGCCCTCATAATTTGCTTCTCTCCCATCGTCGTTCCTCCGCACACTGACTGCATCTCTTCCTTCCTCTCCTCTAGCGAAAGCAACAGGAGTCTGCTCCGGCAAGATTGTGTCTCGTACCTCACCCACACAACCTTCAATTTTCAAAACGACCTCCATCCGGGCTCGATCCCGAGCTCCCCATCGTCTACTGTCGCCGAGCTTTGCTGCAAAAATCTGCCACTCCAAGCAATAATAAAGTCATAATGGGGAAAAGCTTCACTCACTTTGTCTCACTATTTCTTTCCGTCTCCAAAAGTTTCAAATTCCAAATTTTATTGTTTCAATTGTTGGTTGCAGGGGCGGTGAGGGGAAGGGGACTGGTATAAAGAATCTGGGTTTTTGGGTTCTCAAGTGAAAATGTGGCAACTCTCGGAAAGGAAGTTCGAGTCGTAAGGTTGATGACAACGAAAGGGCAAACTTGACTTTATTTACTAAAATGAGTGTTGTTTTTTTATTTGCAAAAAGTAGAATCACATTAAACAAACGATGTATTTGTCAAATGCATCTATTCAGACAATACATATAATTACAATACACAAATTGATAGAATACATCAATTATATGAATCACAACCTCCAAACATGTCCTAAGTTGCTTGGGATCCCTCTCTATTCTTCGTCTCCACTCCTCGAACGAGCCATAAAATTTCAATCTAGGAGCGACGCTCTTTGTAAAAGTGTAAGGAGGAAGGGTTGTTGGTGCTGGTGCTGCGACGACGACGGGTGAGGTTGCTAGAAGAAGAATTGCTGAAGTTGAGAGAGTTTTTTGTAATTATCATGAACTTTAGTAGCAATTCCATTTGGTCATCCAAAAAAACCTCCACCTCTCCAATTGCTGATAGTTTCTTCACCGCTTCTTCAATTGCTAACTAACTTTTCACCATCTAGAGAGGAAATCAACAAATTTTTAGATGTCGCCCGACCATGCGTATTCCGATTATGATGCATTTTAAATTTTCAAATTCGTATAGATTAATAATTTTTGTGAGTTTTACGGCTATTCAACTCAAATTTGACTTATCACACATATTTTGATAGTACGTATTTCGAGAATGCATTTCCGTTAAAAATCTTATCAACTGACAATCTTTGAGAGTTTCCTATTCAAATAAATATTTTGTTTTTTTTTTCCTGCATAGAGTCCAATTTTGAAATCTGAGACATCATTGTCCATGGAGTGCTACTGTTATAGCTTATATGTATATTATATTATCTTAGGGTCCGGATAGTATAAGAACACTCTTTTTGTTGTTATAATAACAATAGGATTCATTAAGGGCAAAAGGGTAAATTTATACTGAAAATAATAAAATAAATTAAAATTCAACCCTCCCTAGAAATTGGGCCGGATGGATTGGGCGTCATTAAACTAAAAAGGCCTATCTCCATTAAAGCGATTAGCTTAAACTAGTTACGGCCCAGGTTTGATCACGGTTCAGGCTAGCACCCGGTGATGTGACCCAGTTGATCCTTTTCCGTCGACGGAATCGAATATGCGGTCGTCGCTGCTGATGGCCTGGCTGGCTTCAGCTGCATGTTACTATACGCAATAATGGGGAAGAAGACGAAGGGAGGGAGCATGGAGCGTGAGCCGCACATGGCAGAGTTTGGAGAGAGAGAGAGATAGACAGGGATGGAGGCAGAGACTTCTTCTGATACAGTGACGAGAAAAAATTCAAACCCACCCTAATCCCACACCAGACCTCATCTTCCTTCTCTCTTCTGTTTCCGATCAGTAGTGGCACCCGACCAACGCCGGAGCCAAGAACATCATCGCCTTCGTCCATTTTTTCGACGCGAACTGGAACTTGGACAGAGACGGAGACTGCTCCGCACGGTGATGCTGGTGGGCGTCGAGATCTTCCGGCGCCGGCAAATTAAGGTCCAGCGACAGCACATGATTCTTCTGCTGGTTATTCAGATCCTCATAATTAACCGCGGCGCTCGTGTCCACAATACCCGCCGCCGTCGCCGTCACCACCCCCGTCGCCGTCTGGGAGTCTTCGTCGTAGAGGCGTTTGAGAGCTTGAGGGGAGCCACCGATTGGCCATTCGCTGCGAAAAATGACGCCGTCGATATCGAACGCAATGCCAAAATTACGACGACGAGGAGACCTGCGCCTGCATTATCGAAAATCACTGAGAATTTTAGGCGGGTGATTTTGAAACCAGAGATTAGGGAGCGGGAAGAAGAGAGAGATAGTGAGAAATCAGGGGGATCGACAAGCGCACTTTTCCGCGGACTAGGACGACAAATGCGCGAAGGATCGCGAAAGGACGAGCGGCGGCTGTGGCGGGGGTGAAATACTGCTCGTGGTGCGCCGCCGCACCGCTTTTGCGAGAGTTCGGTACTGAAACCGCATTGCTCTCCGATCACTGCTTCCTTGCGAACGTTCGGTTGAAGAAGCTTTGCTCTGATTACTGAACGGACTTGGCCATTTACGAGCGTTTAGTTAAGCCAAAACTTAATGTTGGTGTAAGATGAAATATAGTTGGGATGTCGAGTGCTTAAAATTTATTATGGTATGCAGAACATGAGCATTTCAATACCAGAAACCTAATGCAACTATAAATATGGTAAAACAAACCACAAAAAGCATATCATGAACCTACTAATGCAAAACACAAGTCTCCTAAAACATACCAGAAATCCCACAAAGCATACCATAAATATTTCTAATGGACACCAGAAACCTCATAATGCAAACCACAAACACGATAAAGCAAACCACAAAAGCAAACCAGAAACGTCCTAATGCAGACCACAAACGTGATAAAAAAACCACAAAAAAGCAAACCAAAAACCTTCTAATACATACCACAAATTCCCTAAAACAAACCACAAGCCTTACAAAGCAAACCACAACATTTGCGAAAATACACCAGAAACCTCCTAATGCAGACCACACACGTGATAAATAACCACAAAAAAGCAAACCAGAAACATCTTAATGGAGACCACAAATCCTCTAAAACAAACCACAATCCCCACAAAGCAAACCACAACATTTGCGAAAGCCCACCAGAAACCTCCTAATGCAAACCACACGCACGGTAAAACAAACCACAAAAGCAAACCAGAAACCTTGTAATAAAAACCACAAATATATTAAAACAAACCAGAAACCTCACAATGCAAACCACAAACACGATAAAGCAAACCAGAAACTTCTCAATGCAAACCACAAACACGATAAAGCAAACCACAAAAGGCGTACAAAAATATGAGAAACCAAACCATAAATCTCACAATGCAGACCATAACATCCGGTGATCGTTGACCGTTGACCGGTCAATGAAGACCGTTGACCGAACTCCGGTGACCGTCAGTGACCGGATTCCGGCGCCTATAAGCATATTTCGGCCCCGATGACTAGATTCCGATGCCGGTAAGCATATTCCGACGCCGGTAAGCATATTCCGGCGACGGTAAGCATATTCCGATGACAAAATAGCATATTCCGGCGACAAAAAGCATATTTCGGTGACCGGCGACCAGTGGCAGAATTCAGGCGACCAAATTTTTGGGCAGAAAATAAAAATATTTTTTTATTTAAACAGATTTTTCATAATGACAATTATACCCCTGCTTTGATTTTACACTAGGTCAACTCATCTAATAAAAAGTCATCACAATCCTAGCTTCCTATTGGTTGGAGGCTAGTGTTGTTACAATAACAACACAAGGGGTATTGTTATAGTCTCTAGTCCCTAATAGAAGGTTGACTAAGTAGTTTCAACATGGTTTTACTTTTTCTTGAATCGATCTTAGATTATATTGTTTCATGTATGGATTCGCTCGGTTGGACAATTGTATTATGTGAAACTGATCATATTAGTTACTTACTATTTAAAAACATCAATCTTAATAAACAAAAATAAAAACATCCTGTTGGGGAAGTATAAACAGGCTCAAGCCCATGAGGATAGAATAGTGAAACAGGCCCAAAAACAAATAGGTTAGGCTTAAACGGGCCCAAACAATAGGTTAGGCTTCTCAGTGTAGGGTAGGCGCATGACGACAAAGGAAGCATGAGGACAAGGGGTACGGAAGTGCGGCAGGGAAAGGAGCCACATGGCGACTGTGGTCCCTGCTGGGCGCCCCTTTTGCGGCGTTCTGGAGCGGCCACGTACAGGCGCCTGACTGCTGTACCGTACCATGCATTAAATGAAGAGATGACGTGGGTTGAAGTGCCAGGAAGACCGCTGGGACCTCGACGAGTATAAATAGTACCCGATAGTTGGCATTTACGCAGGTTGGCTTCTCTCACTAAAATCCTCAGCTTACTTCTCTCTCTAAAAGCAGACTCTGACTTAAGCTTCGGAGTGCTAACGGGCGAACCAAGCCCACTAGGCGTTTGTCTGTGCAGGATCTGTGCGCCTGGTGGCAATCGCAATCTGTAAGGAAAGAGAATCTAGGTACGGAGCGTTGCACGGAGTGTTGTGGCTTAAACATTTGGCGCGCCAGATAGGGGAAGAAACTAGGCGCATGGAAAATTTTGATGAGGAGAATGGAGGAGAGGGTGTTATTCGATCAGAGAGTTCCAATTTGGGAGATGATGGATGTAGAAGGAGAAGCTAGCCATGGGCGCCTGTCACCGCGTGAAGATGAGTCGTTGACGAAAAGAGAGTTGTTCCGAATCATCGTTGATCAGGATAGGGCCATTGCAGCGCTTAGGAGGGAAATAGAAGGGGGAAGGAGTGAAGACATGATGACGTATAGTCCGGGTATCAGAAAGAGGGAGAGGGCGAACGAAGACTCTGAGTCAATGCAATACGGGCTTCCGCACCATGCTGACTTAGGCGCTGGATATCAAGCGCGCCCACGCACTTGAAGGCAACAAGCTGAACCGCAGGCAAATGGCATTGAGGAACCTAATATATGGGCGCCTAGGCGTCTTGAAAAACGCTTTGGTGTTCGACAACCGCTTGCGCAAAACATCTTGATGGAGCCAGCCGGAACAACGATACCACCATTGCCAAGCTATGATGGGGTGGCCGACCCGTAGGACCACTTGAATAGCTACTTCACCAAAATGCAATTGCACAATAGCTCAGATGCAACGTTATGCAAGGTGTTCCCGTCCACGTTCGCGGGAGTTGTTTTGGACTAGTACCATCAAATTGATGAAGGGCGCATCGAATGCTTCGAACAATTCGCTGAGTTGTTCTTGTCTAAGTTCGCTAGCCGGAAGCGCCGAACTCTAACCATACGCGCCTTATTCAAAGTAAGACAGAAGGAGGGGGAAGCGCTAAGGGAATTCTATGATCGATGGATTTCAGTCGCCATGGCGGTCAAGGATTTGCAACCAGCGGTTTTGGGAGTATGTCTAGACGCCTGCACGACCAGTGAAGAGTTGTGCCGAGCCCTCTCGAAGCGAGATATAGTGTCTACAAAAGACTTGGATCGAAGGGTGCAAAAAGTAATTATGTTGGAAGAAACGTTGGCAGCGCGCAGAGCCGAAAAGAGGCGCATGAGAGGCGAAGAGATAAAAGGCAGGCAGGCGCCAAGGCCAGCGGTAGGGAGTGGCATGCCTCAAAGGAGACCGGATGTGCAACGCCAGACACCAAGATCATCGGGAAGTTTCACGGAATACAATGATACACTGAAGAATATCTTGCAATACGTCAAGGAGAGAGGGTATCACATACGATGGCCGGGACCAATGCGTGGACAACCAAACAAGAAAAATCTTGATCGGTACTGTGATTTCCATCGCACTTACACGGCAAGAGTGGCAGAACGGGCGCCTATCACGCGCATCGAATCAGAGGTATTCGGGCCGCTCACAGCGCCCAAGAAGCAAGAAACACAAAAGGAGGCAAGGGTGCAACAAGCGCCCGAGATACCCCCACCACCCTTTGAGGTGGATCAAAATGGTGACCCCAGCCGCGTGAGGCTCACGATGGAATCGATTACCGGAACCCTTGATTTGAGGGATAAGCTGGAGAGGACAAGGAGCCTAAGAGCGGCATCAGTTGGAGCAAAGGCGGCGGTGCAAATACACTTCAACCAGGAACCCGATGAGGCATGTCAAGTTCCATTAGAGGAGGCATTGGAGATACAAGGCGTGATAGCGGGATGCAAGGTGAAGAGAATGTTGGTGGATACGGGTAGTTCAATGGATGTCCTATTCAAAAGCACGTTTGAGCGCATGCAGCTGGCGCCAGAGTTAGTAAGACCTTCAAGCTCGGTGTTAATAGGGTTTTCAGGGGCGCCCGCCCAAGTCATCGGGAGAGTGCGGCTTCCAGTGACTCTGGGAGATGAAGTACATTGTGTAACTCACTCGATAGAGTTTGGAATTGTGGATTGCCCCTCACCATCCAATGTTATACTAGGGCGCCCCTTGTTGGCACAATTTAATGGGGTAGCTTCTACGTGTCACCAGTCATTGAAGTTCGTGGCACCACAGGGAATAGGCATCTCGCGAGGAAGGAGCGCCCCACGTTATGCACGAGAGGTGGAGCGAGGCGCCCGACGACACAGGCTGAATGTCATTGACATCCGACCTGAGGAGGCGCCCAGAGCTGAATCTGTGGACGGGGAATTGGTTGTGGCAATTGATGAAGGGCGTCCGGAACGACAAGTGAGAATATCGGAGCAGGCGCCCGAGGACATGAGGGCTCCATTGATCGAATTGTTGCACGAATTTGGAGAGTTATTCGCTTGGAGTGCGCAGGACATGCTCGGCGTGTCGCCCGAGATAGCAGTGCACCGGCTGGCTGTGGAGGAGGGCAAGAGGCCCGTTCAACAAAAACGTCGGAATTTGACCCAAGAAAAGGAAGAAGCACTCCGTCAGGAGGTAGATAGGTTGCTTGAGGCAGGATTCGTGGAGGAAGCAAGATACATTACTTGGCTTTCGAACGTAGTGTTTGTCCCAAAGCCATCGGGAGATTGGAGAATGTGTGTGGATTTTACGAACCTTAACCGCGCATGCCCCACAGATGCTTACCCTATGCCACGTATTGACCTGCTGGTGGATGCGACGGCTTAACATGAGGCGCTTAGCTTCCTCGACATGTTCTCGGGTTACCATCAAATCCCCATGGCAGAGGAGGACAGGGCGAAGACAGCTTTCATGACACCTTTTGGTAATTTCTGTTACACAGTGATGGCATTCGGTCTAAAGAACGCGGGGGCAACTTACCAGCGAATGGTCAACCAAGTCTTCCGAAAGCAACAAGGGAGAAACGTGGAGGCATATGTGGACGATCTGATTGTGAAAAGCAAGAGGCGCCTAGACCACATCGAGGACCTACGAGAAACTTTTGAGACAATGCGCTTCTTCAAGCTGAGGCTCAATCCTAAGAAATGTGTGTTTTTGGCAGAAGCGGGGAAGTTCTTAGGATTCATGATAACCAAGAGAGGGATTGAAGCAAATCCCAAACAAGTGGAGGCGATATTGGGTCTGGCGCCCCCCCGAACTCCAAAAGAAGTGCAAGGATTGACGGGCAGATTGGCTGCGCTTGGGCGCTTCATTCCCCGAGCTTCCGACAAGGGCGCCCCATTTTTTAAGGTGTTGAAAAAGGCCTCCAAATTCAAGTGGACTGAGGAGTGTAGCAAAGCATTCGACGACTTGAAGAAAGTGCTCACGGCCCCTACGGTGATGACGGCGCCCAAGGCCAAAGAAGTGTTGTATTTGTATATAGCAGTGTCCCACATTGCTGTGAGCGCAGTTCTCATATCCAGGGACCCATATACGAATGAAGAGAGACCAGTGTATTATTTTAGTCGTACCATGGTAGGCCACGAAACACGATATGCGCCTATAGAAAAGGCTGCACTGGCAGTGGTGATGGCGGCGAATAAGCTCAGGCCGTATTTCCAAGCTCACAGCATTGTGGTTCTCACAAACCTTCCTCTTCGAACCGTCCTTGGATCCATGGACGTATCAGGGCGCCTGGTGAAGTGGGAGGTACAACTGAGCGAATTTGATATAAGCTATGCGCCTCGCCCCGCCATCAAGGCGCAGGTTTTAGCTGATTTCATTGCTGAAGGTGTCTCAGATGGAGGAACAGAAGCCGAAGACTTTTGGCAGGTGCATGTGGATGGTGCAGCAAGTCGAGTAGGAGCGGGGGCGGGAATTGTCCTTGTGAGTCCCTTAGGCGCCTTGCATGAAATAGCCTTGCGCTTTGCGACGCTCAAAACAAACAACGCGGCAGAATATGAGGCTGTTTTGGCAGGGCTCCACATGGCCAGGGAATTGGGCGCTCAGAAGGTGAACATCAAATCCGACTTGGCACTAGTTGTCAACCAACTGAATGAAGTCTATGAGGTAAAGGAGGAAACGTTGGGCGCCTATGTGGACTCTGTACGCAAAAAATGCGCCTGGTTTCGTGAAGTCACATTCACACATGTCCCAAGGGAAGAGAATGCGCATGCAGATGCCCTGTCCAAACTGGCAACGACGCTGGATTTTGAGGAGAGTCGAACGGTGATTGTAACGAAGGAGGTGCCCCACGAGGATGTGATAATGGCGTCCATATCATCAGGGTTTGAAGAAGGTTGGATGGCACCAATTTGGCTCTTCCTCACACAAGGGGTGGTTCCTGAGGACTCGAAAGAGGCCTGGCGCCTACGCCGAAAAGCAGCTAGGTGCACCATAGTGGATGAGACGTTATACAAGAGATCACACTCAAGCGCCTACCTGCGATGTCTCACTAAGGCTGAGGGCTTGCAGGCGATCAACGAGGTTCACCAAGGAACTTGTGGCATGCACGTAGGCGCCCGAAGTCTTGAAAAGATTTTGCTCCGCCAAGGATATTACTGGCCCACAATACGGGCGGACGCTCGGAGGCACGTGGCGGCATGTCACCAATGCCAAATTCACGCTAACGACATACATCGCCCAGCGGCACCCATGCAAGGGAATGTGGGCGCCTGGCCTTTTGCCCAGTGGGGTATGGACCTTTTGGGACCGTTACCGAAGGCGCCTGGACAATTCAAATATTTAATTGTCGCAGTGGATTACTTCACCAAATGGATTGCAACAGAACCATTGGCGTCAATCACGGAAGCGCAGGTGCGGAAGTTTACCAAGAAGAATATCTTCGCGCGGTTTGGACTCCCAGAATCCATTTTCACTAATCATGGGAAACAATTCGATTGCAAGAAATTCGTCGAATTCTGCGATGAAAATGGAGTGATCTTGCGCTTCTCGTCTGTGGCCTACCCTCAAGCCAATGGGCAAGCTGAAGCAGCTAACAAAAGCATATTGCACGGGTTGCATACCCGGTTGGAGGAGGCAAAGGGCAAGTGGGTTGAGGAGCTGCCGAGTGTCTTAAAGGCGCACAGGACTACCTTCAAGGTGGCATCGGGAGAAACACCTTTTGCATTGACTTATGGCAGCGAGGTCGTTTTGCCGGTTGAAATGCGGGTGCCTACCTTCAGAATGACCCACCGAAATGAATCAATGGATGTTCAGGAGCGCATCAACGATCTGGACCTGTTGGATGAGCGCCGAGAGGTGGCAGCCTTACGTCTGGAAGCAATGAAAGGGCAGGTAGCAAGGTATTACAACAAAAAGATGCGGGCACACAACATTGTGAAAGGAAGCCTGGTGTTAAAATGTGATTTTCGCCCCAAGACCATCGAGGGAAAATTGGCCTCGAAGTGGAAGGGTCCATATCGTGTTCAGGAGGTCGTTGGCCCAAGTACATTCAAGCTGGAAACCTTGTCAGGTAAGAGCGTGAAGCGAACATGGAATGCCCAAAACTTGCAAAGATATGAGGCCGGGGAGCTAAGCATGATGGACGATGAGAGTGAAGAAGAAGTGGGTACAATGTCTGATGTAGCAGAGTAGGCGCCTCAGAAGGAGGTAGTCAGCGGCAAATCTCCAGTGGTTAGTAGGTTTTTCTTAGTCTGTCTCCAAAAGCACCCTAACGCGCCGTAGAATCAAAGCACCCTTCCCTATTGCGCCCATTATTTTGTAAAGCGCCCTCTTTTGCGCCCATACTTTTGGAAAATCGGATTAATTAATATGAAATAGAGCTTTGAGAAAAGATGCAACAAAAGCGCCCAAGCCTCTTTAAAGCGCCCTAATCGTATAAAGCGCCCAACTTTGCGCCCACATATAAAGCGCCTGTCTTTGCGCCCATGTCATGTAAAGCGCCCATCTTTGCGCCCATATCGTGTAAAGCGCTTGCTCAATCGCAAAGAAGAAATAACTTAGGTTAAAGGAGAAATAACTTAGGCGAAATAAAATGACTAGTTCAAAAACCACAAAAGAGTCAGCAAGCAAGGAAAAGTGCAAGATGAAATTGTCATTTGATACATAAACAATGTCATTATGCGCCTACAACTACTCGGCTGATCCGCTGCCGGACTCGGAGGAGGAAGAGTCATCACCATCATCATCTCCTTCACCACCATCATCAGGCGCTTCATCCACTATTGGGCGCCCGCTTTCCATGTAGGAAATCACGAAACTCACCATGGAGTTGACATCCCAATCAATGTTGGGGTGATCGGCCAGCAACTTCTTGCGCAAGATCAAAATGCTGTTTAAAGACGCCGAAGCCTTAAGCGCCTGTGTTGAGTCGGATGAGCTACCATCCATCGCCCGCGCTTCGAGCGCCTGCTTCTCATCTTCAAGCGCCTTCTTCTCCTCTCTGAGCGCCTGTATCTCCTTCTGATGCTTCTCATTCTCTCTCCCCAACACCTTCTTGTCTTTCTTCAGAGCACGCCATTCTTGGCGAAGGATGTCGATCTCACTTCTATAGGCGCCTGACTCTTTCTCTGAGTCGAGTAGCTCTTTTTCCAGCTTCACCTTTGTCTCCTCATGCGCCCTCTTTTCATCCTCAATCTGCGCCTCATACTCTTTGCGCAATTTCGCCTTTTCTTCATCAACTGTGCGCTGCAGAAGCGAGGCGCTCTTAGCGGCCTTGAGTTGGGCATCCTCGCACATCTTTATGAGTTCTTCTTGACGATTTCTCGCAGTCTCGAGGTTATCCTGGGACACGCCGAGTGAGGTGGTCGCTTCAGTGGCCTCGGCGCGCAAGGCCTCATGTTCCTTGATGGCTTTCTGTGCAGCAAGCATCATCTGCAAGGGGTCAGCAGCTGCCAAGTCAAGGGGCGCCCGGAGCACATCTCCAGCAGAAAGCGCCATGTGGACGGCAGCGCTCCGCTCCAAGGCAGAACGATCCGAACAAACCAGTGTCACTTTGTGCTTCGGTGGTTGAAGCCATTTCTGCAGTGACTCGGGCAGGTCCACATCGTCGTCAAAACAGGTGCGCTTGTTCAACTCACCAGGGGCGCCCTCTACCTTCCTCTTCAATTTTTGAGATAAAGATATCTCATCTTCAGCAGCATCATCCCCTTGAAGCAAGTCAACAACAGGCGCCGAGGCGTCGATGGCCTCTGTGACGTGGGGCGCCTCCCATGTATCAATGGTGTCATCCACAGCATCGGACGCCGGAGGACTGAGAATTTTCTTTGCCTGAACCCTCTTGGGAGATTTGCTTTTTTTGGATGGGCGCCCCTTGTCCTTTCCCCCCGCAGGCTTAGGCGCCTGTTTCTCAGCAGCAGCAGACTTGTTCGATTTGGAGTTCCCCCCTCTTGAGGAAGTGGATTTGCTAGCCCCTCCGGATTTTGTGGCACCCTTCCTTGAGCTGGGCGCCTTCTTGGGCGCTAAGCCTAGCTTTGCAAACTGGGACTTCATCAGGGACGCGACTGAGGTGAAGTCCGAACCTGCCAAACAAGTGCAAAGGGAACATGTAAAACAGACGTGCAAAACAATAAGGAAAGAGAGCAGGCGCGTGTAAAACAAGAGCCCACCGTCACGATAATATTCGTGTAGAACAGGCGTCCGAGCCTCAGTGGACTTAAGGCAAACAGGGTACAATGATATAAGTCGGGCGCCTTCCTTCTCCGATTTCGTCAGGGACACCTCGACGTTGAACGCCTCATGATCACCCATCACCCGCCCTTTCGTGAACGGGGCGCCGCTTTCGTAAAAAGACTCTTTACGTGGTTTAATAAAAAAGAAGCTCCTAAACCACTCTCTACCTAATGGGCGCCTCTACTAAGAAGTGGCCGGGGAGGTCTAGGCGCCTCTGAATTGACAGGCAATTGTCACTATATTGCATTTTAAAAAAGTGGTGAAAAAGGTTAAACGACGGCTCGACGTTATGTTGCCTACACTTAAGTCTAAATAAAATATGGACAAGAAAAACGGAGGGAGAGAGGCGCCCAATGGAGCACTTGCATGTAGACAGTATGCCTTCAAGAACTTGGTCCAAGGGAAAGCGGAGACCAAATCGGAAGTATTCTCGATAAATACCAAGCCAGCGGGGACCAATCACGCCAATTCGGGCCGCGCGGGGCGCAGACGCAAAGGACTAGGTGAGGGGAAGTTGCATGGAGATGGCCAAGTTTTCTAACTCAAGCGCCTTCACAGTCGAAACATGGTCAGGACCAGCTTCGATCACGGTCAAATGACCGGTCTCAGCAGGCGCCTGCCCCGAGGGGAAAGTATCCACCCACCTCCTAATCTTGACGGATCCATCCTCGGGGGCGCCCGAATCAGAGGACATCGGCGACATCACTAATGCAGCCGATAGGGGAGGACTGGGCGCAGCGCCTAAAAGGGTCGAGGAAACGGCCATCGTCAATGCTAAATCCTAGTGGCTATGGGCGCCTTAAAAAAAAAAAGTGTGCTGATTTAAGATCTTAGAACCACTTACTCGGTGCGGGGTTTGATGGCGCCACCGCATCGGGTGCAACATCCGTTGTCGGCGCCTGTGGGCGAGGAGTCTCCTCAACCTCGATTGAGGGATCTTTCATAGTGGGCGCCTCCGAGGTAACAGTTGCAAGGGGCGCATCATCCTTTGCCGGCGCCTCCGCGGTAACTGATGCAATGGGCGCATCATCCTTATTAGGCGCCTGATTCCTGGCGCGAGGTGTCCATCCGCCCGACTCGCGGAGGGGATCTGGTGAAAAATGTTTCTCCAACATCGACAGAACATCAGGCGCTGAGCCGGTATCTTTTGTTGCATCAGCAGAGGGGGCGCCTGAGTCGGATCGGCGAGACATATTCGCTTTTTATTGTAGGTTACAACAGGCGCACAGGGAGGCCGCGTTTAGAGAGAGAGATTTCGTCAGAATGAATGGAGAAGAAAGCGACTAGCGTATTTATATGGGCGGGGAGTCCAACGGGCTGATGTTGGAAGGCGCGCCCGACCGTGAGATTAGATCCTCACCGTCCGTTTCAAATTTCAAAAAAAAAAAAAATTTCAAATTCAAATTTCAAAATTTGAACCGCACGGTGAGGGGGGCAGGTATAGTCTGTTAGGCGCCTGCTATGTGGAAGTGCATAGGCGCCTGTTAAAGAAAGATGATAGGAAACGACACAGTGGGGGACACAGGGGGACAAGAGCATATAAGGAAATAGTCTGAAGAGGCGCACGAGAAGTGGGCATGATTGTGATAGGCGTGCTAAGAAAGGGGTAGGCGTATCGGTCAATAGTTAGGCGCCCATTGATTATGGGCACCTAACTGGGGGACAATTGTTGGGGAAGTATAAACAGGCTCAAGCCCATGAGGATAGAATAGTGAAACAGGCCCAAAAAGAAATAGGTTAGGCTTCAACGGGCCCAAATAATAGGTTAGGCTTCTCAGTGTAGGGTAGGCGCATGACGACAAAGGAAGCATGAGGACAAGGGGTACGGAAGTGCGGCAGGGAAAGGAGCCACATGGCGACTGTGGTCCCTGCTGGGCGCCCCTTTTGCGGCGTTCTGGAGCGGCCACGTACAGGCGCCTGACTGCTGTACCGTACCATGCATTAAATGAAGAGATGACGTGGGTTGAAGTGCCAGGAAGACCGTTGGGACCTCGACGAGTATAAATAGTACCCGGTAGGTGGCATTTACGCAGGTTGGCTTCTCTCACTAAAATCCTCAGCTTACTTCTCTCTCTAAAAGCAGACTCTGACTTAAGCTTCGGAGTGCTAACGGGCGAACCAAGCCCACTAGGCGTTTGTCTGTGCAGGATCTGTGCGCCTGGTGGCAATCGCAATCTGTAAGGAAAGAGAATCAAGGTACGGAGCGTTGCACGGAGTGTTGTGGCTTAAACACATCCTATGCAGAGCACGGCTTAAACACATCCTATGCAGAGCACGAGTTTCAGCCTAGTAGGAATTAAAATATGATTTACGAGAGTAAAGATGAGTGAAATACAGAAATACAAGCAAGCATCACTAGAAAGGTAAGATATGGTATATGGACGATTTAAAATGAGGTGGAATAGGATGACAACTTAGCCTATATTTCATCTCACGTTTGTCCGATGAAACAGAAGAGCTCAAAACGAACTGGGATAGATGGGTGGCGCCCATGCGTAAGTTGCTCCACACATGTGTCTGTTTGCATTGAGGGCCAGCCACCTCGCTAGCAGTTGCAGGATCCTACCTAACACCTGCACTCATTCATCTGCTCTGCTCTGTTTGTGTACACTCCTTGCACTGCCTCTCCTGCCACGAAAAATCGCTAGGCCGTTTGAATTCTGACCACTCTGGTTTCTGCAGCACTTACATCTGAAAAGTCGACGGCAGAGTATATTATGCTGAAACCATAGTTTAACCATGGTTCAATCGTTTCATGCCGGTAAAACTGTCTACCGGTTTAAACCCCGGTATGTGACTTCAGTGGCGGACCCAGGATTTTTATATAGGGGTGTCCTCTTTCAAAAAATAAATAATAATTAATAAATATTAAATAATTCTTAAATAAGAAAATAGTCAACTCGTACAAGTTAAAAAAAATTCATAAGTATTTTCATATTCTGAAAAAATTGTAAAATACACTTGGTGTCTACACTGCTCAACAAAGTTGTCTCGGTATATCCTACTAGACAATCATTCACGAACAAATGCATATTCGACTTCTAAATTTGTTCTTGGTGTAACTCAAAGCTGAAAAGACACTTTCAACACTTGTCGTACACCCATAAATTAAGGGTAGCTTGTAATTAGATTAAGTGTTAGGTTTTGAAAATAATTAAAGATAGAGACTAGGGTTTTTGAAGGAACTATGATTATGCGGTAACTTGTGATAAATGTAGCCAGATAGATTAGAAAGAGATTTAGGAATTGAGAGAAATAATTAGGGATTTTGAGAAGAATAATTGGGAAATTGAGATAGGAAGAATAGAATTGGGAATTAGGGATTAGGAGAAGAAGAGGGATAAACTGAATAGGGTTTGATTACTGATTTCTGACCAAATCCAACGCAATGACTCAAATACATATTTATAGGGAAATAAGCCCAAAAACCTAATGATACCCTACTAATCTACTTGGCACTAATCGGCTGCCTAACTTCCTAACCACCCCAATATTTATGTTTCCTACAATTTTGCTATTACACAGTGTTTAGAATAGAACCACAAAAATTTTTGTAGCCTAATGAAAATTATATTTATTAATAATAGTAGTGTCCCGGGTTTGAATTACCCAAACTACCACTTATATTCCTATGCGCAAACTACAAACGAGAGTAGTATAATGATTTTTTTCAAATTTTAGGGTGTCCCGGACTATTAATTATAATTTTTTTCTATACGTAAATTACCACCGGAAGTTGGATAATCATTTTTTCAAAATTTAGGGGTGTCCGGGGACACCCCCAAACCTCCCTGGGTCCGCCCCTGTGTGACTTTCTTGGTCGGACTGCCAATACAATACGATTTTACAAATACGAATTTCTAGTTTGTATACAAGTTAGATCAACAGACAGTGAAACCAGTTAATGCAAGCACCAAGAGAATAGACAAAAAGTCCACAACTTCTCTGTTCTTTTCTGTCCTTTCGGTTTCAGCATTAATCATGAAACAATGCAACAACTACTTACTACCTTAAACGTCTGTATTTTCTTCTTTTTGTTTAACTGCTTTTACAATTGCCTCAATTATACGTATACTTCAATGAAGAGAGAGAGAGAGGAACAAATTTTCTCTTTAGGCCTCTTTATTGGTTGTGTTTTTTGGTTGAGTAGTAGCTACTAGCTAGTGACTAGTGCAGTGCAATGTAGTCAAATGTGCATTTTTACGCGTGTAATGCTGCCACCATGAGGATTCAATATTAACCCCAGACCCTCTGAAGGTAGAGAGTCGGTGGTCGTTGAGACGTTAATACAGGAAGAAAAAGGCGTCGATTTAGCTGCTGATCAGCAATTTTGGATGTTGTTCAGAAGCGTAAAAGAACGTACGTTTTATTGCATTCTTTGACGTTTTTTGCACACAAAACGTTTTTATGTAGAAACTGATGGGTTTGGCCTAGTCTAAAACGTAAAAAACGTACGTTTTTACATTTTATGACATCGTTTTTAAACTACATTGGTGAGGTGGAGTGAGAGTCTCACTCTCCTTCATCTTGACTCTGAAGAGGAGGGACTCATCAGTTGGATTTGGGCTTGGCGTTGTTGGGCTTGGAGAATGTGAAGATCTCAGGGTCTGACTGATAGAAGACAACCTCCCCTGTGTCGCTGACATAGTGATCTTCTCCAAGGGATCTCACCAAGTAGCCGAACAGATGCCATGGGAATGCCCCTGACTTCTTTGGCTCTCTGTAGTACTTCCCCAGCACCGGCTTCGCCGCCTTTGTCTGAAACAGTGCATGTAAGAAACCAGTAAACAAAAACCCACCAAGAATTTACTGTTCACACATCAGAGCAGTAACAATGTCGTCTTTTTATTTATTTATTTTTTTACCGCTTCTATGAGGTGGTAGTGTGGGATCTGAGGGAAGAGGTGGTGAATGACATGGGTGCCAATGTCGTGGTGGATGTTGTTGATGATCCCGTAGTCTCGATCAACGGTTGTGAGCCCTCCACGCAGGTAGCTCCACTCTTTCCCTCGGTACCATGGCAGCTTCTGCTCGTACCCGTGGTGGTGAAGGTATGTCACCATGTCCAGCCACGCCACAAATATCTGCAACCACCATTTCGTTACAGGACAAGAGAGACAACACAACAAAGCCAAAGAAAAACCCCCAATTCAATATGATGAGACGTATGAAATCTCAATGCTTACAAAAGCATAATACAAAACACCTCTAATAGTCAAAGCTTAACAATAATGCATCATCCAGGCGGCTGGCAGACAAGACAGTTCAACTTGCTTGCTGTAAAAAGTGGTAAGAAAGAAGAAGGGAGGGTAGATAGAGGAGAATAACTTACGAGGTAAGGGAGGCCATAGATCTTGAGGACAGGAAGGAAGCCAAAGAGAAAAGAGGAGTAGAGGAGGAGTAGGACCATGGATGTCCAGCAGAGGGTGGAAATTAAGACGGCTTGCCTCTCATGTGGGGCGAACAAGTCACTGTAGGGATTGAAATGGGACCCTTTCTTCCCTGGGCTTCTTCTCCACTGCACCATTCACTCAAATTCGTTGGTTTCAAATCTAAAAATGCAATCCATAACCCACCATAGCAACACAATAAAAGGTTGGTTTGCTTACCAAGTAGACAGGGTAAGCGAACATCGGGAGAGGGATAGTGAACCTCATGAACTTGGTGCTTGTGTCCAGCTCCTTGTACACTTTCTCTGGCAGCTGCAATATTTCCAACCCAAATGAGAAACCATTCGTCAAGAGAGTTACAGTTCCGTACATGAACATTGATTCATTCCTAGGCATCCATCAGAGTCATAAAACAGAGGAAGTAGGATGAAGGGAAGGTGTAAAGGAACTTGCCGGAACCCAGGATTCATCTTTCTCAACATTGCCATGGTTCTGGTGGTGGGTCTTGTGGCTAATCCTCCTGTTCCAATTAAAAATAATGAAACTTCAGATTCAGCTGGGGGAGCCAGAGAAATTAACAAAGAAAGATGAAAGGGGTAAGCCTGGTAATTCAGATTTCAGTGGCGTGCATGTACCATCCGTGGTAAGGTACAAGGATTGAGGAATGCAGGATATGCCCCACCACATTGTTCAGCATCCTGCTATCCGAGAAACTCCCATGTCCGCTGCAATCAACCAAAACAAAATTCAATCCCCAATACACACGAATGCCAGACTACAAATTGAACCAGTCCCCAGATAAAAAAAAAAACAAACAAGTTTAGGGATTTGAGCCTACGAAGAACAACCAATCCAATCCAATCCAATTCAATCTGAGGGTGCATGTACAAAACAAAACAGAACAATGGTGGCTGAATGTCATGAATTACCAATCGTGCCCGAGGACGAAGATTGCCCAGAACATGGTCCCCTGAGCGACCCAGTAGAGCGGCCAGAGAGCCCAATTGTCGAGCTTCGCGGCGGCGAAGGCGAAGCCGAGCACGACGATGGCGTCCCTGAGGACGTAGCTCATCGACCTCCATGGGTTCTTGACCCAGCAATGCGGCGGGATTGCAGCGCGGATGTCGGCAATCTTGAAGGGAGGCGCCTCGCTGGGATCGAAATCCACCCTGCCCCCATTCATCAACACGCCATTGCCGTCGCCATTGGCGTTAGCCATGGAGTTAGGAGGGCTCATCGTGGCGCTTGAAGTGGTGGCGTGGTCGAGAGCCACAGTTTTGAAAGTGAGTCACTGTAGTATGCAGCAGAGGCCAATTCCCCCCTCTCAGCCCCCAATATTTATATCCGAATATACCAATGCAGCAAAACGAAAATAAATAAATAAATAAATTGGGCTGGCTGAGTAGGGTTTGGGGAAGGCAAATTAGTAAATTACACCAAAAAAAAAAATAACAAACAAACAAATGAAAAAAAGAGGGGGTTGTTATTTCTGTTTTGATAATTTAAGGTGAACAGTAAATGAAATGCACATGGACCAAATTCAGACAACACCACAGCTTAATAAAGCGGCTCGTGTTGGTGTTGTTGTCTCAATTCGAGGCTTTTTCCCCCTTTTGGGTACTAGAATGCTGCCCAAATCTAGGGTTCGGCAAATTACGACTTACCCTCTTCTCTGTGTTTTCCTTCTCCTTTCCTTTGTCTAATTAAGATTGCAACTTGCAATTTCTTGAGTCCAAGATTTGGCCGGCTTGGGTACCGTAAGGGAGCAGATTGAGTTGACCTTTACCAAATATGGAGGCGGCCAATAATTTTGTTAGGCAGCAAACTCTTATTGATAACTCTTGAGGATATCAAATGTCGATTTTCAAGTTCGGTTCGTGCTACTTGATCTGTTTCGGTACATTTAGTGTATGTGTTTTTATCGCTACGTGTCATGTCAGGTTGTCACGTTTAGTTTTTTAGTCGTTCTATTGTTATTGTTTTCAATGTTTACACATATCTATGCTCTTTTTCTGACTGCATGATGGCTACATGGGATGGGAAGACTAACAAAGCTCCTAATTCGAACTTTTGCAGTTGATTAAAAATTTCTTTTGTAAAAATTAACACATTCTTTGGGTTAAATTTTCATCTTTTACTTTTTTATATATAAAACTATAATTTATATATTCAAAATTTTACTCCTCGGCTATATAAATCAAACACACGTATAGTTATTTTATTCATTTTGTAACTCCCACTGTCCCACATGTTTCTTTAAATATCCTAATTTCATAGATGGAAATCGGTATACTATTGATATCGCAATATCGAATAGTAAAATCGCAAATAATGACAATAATTAATTTCAATCCCAAAATAAATTTGGCATTCCAATCGCAAAATATTTATGTATAATATTGGTATTTACCAATAACAAATTAATAATTAAATATATAAATACATAATGGTTCAAACATCCGCTAATTTTCAACTTTTTATATGGTGTAGGATTGTAGAATTAATTTTTTAATATTAAAAATATTGGTAATGAGAAGTTGACGGTGAGAAATTTATAATATAAAAGTGCTGATCAAAGCATGTTTTGAATAAACCAATCAAATTATTCATCAAACATATTTATTCACAAGTTATGATTGTGGGCCGAGAGGCTAGGCAAAGGGTTTGAGTTTGAATAAAACTAAAACAGAGACAAGGAGAAGTGATGAGATGGTAATATATCAATTTATTGCTTTTGGTAGTCTTTAATTCGATGATTGGAAACTAAGAGAGCTAGAGATAACTTGCGAGATTGTTTGCTATTTGGTTTTCTCAAAATAACAAGAAATTGAATGAGAGACCAGAGTTGTAAGAAATGTAAATTGTGTGTTTGTATTGATGTATAGAAGGGGTATTTATACCCACTGGAGTACAGGTTTACAAGTATGATACATATATACAATAATATATACAATTATACATGGACACGGAAACTAAGGTATGCTAAATACTACATGGATAAAGTCTAATCCCTAATACGCCACGTAAGATGGAGAGTGGTTTGGTGAGCGTAACAAGTGAAACCTAGTAGCCGAGAGTGGTTTGGTGAGTGCATCGGCAAGTTGCGAGACAATAGGCAAGTGGCGCATGTGAAGTTGCCGAGTTTGGATACGCTAGCGCACAAAATGATAGTCCAACGCAAGTTGTTTTATGCGGGAGTGGAACACAGGATTCGAGCTGAAATTGAAGGCACCCTAGTTGTCCCAGATGTGCAAAGAGCAATGGCATGGTACTCAACTTCAGTACTAGACCGTGCAACTGTGCGCTATTTCGTGGATTTCTTGGAGATCAACATGCCGCCAAGATAAATGAGAAAGCAAACATGGTGGTGTGATCATCAGGGTCACCAGCCCAGCCTGAGTCGGAGAAAACACGAAGTGATAGTACAGAAGACTGGTGGCAAATGTAGAAGTTGAGAGAGTGAGTACTAGCCAAGTACAAGAGTAGTCATTTAACATGTTGTTAGTGAAGTGACGTGGGAGCATGCATGTATTGTGACATTTTGTTGACAGCGGAGGCCACATCAGGACGAGTTGTAAGAAGATACTGGAGAACACCAATAGCTTGTCGATAGAGAGTACCATCAGCAGCAACTGACCCATCCCGTAGAAGAAGACGAGTCGTAGAGGCCAGAGAAGTGGACGATGACTTGGCCTCATGCATTTGAAACCGAGTAAGAATGTCCTAAATGTACTTGTTCTTCAAGAGAATATAGCATGTGGAAGTAGGGATGACTTCAATCCCTTAGAAATAATTGACCTGGCCAAGATGCTTCAGAGCAAACCGGGCGGACAACTGATCCTGTAATTGGTGTTAGAACTCGAAGTTTTTGCCGGTAAGAAGAAGGTCATCCACATATATCAAGAAGTAAACAAACACCACAACACATTGATACACAAATAGAGAAGCTTCCGAGTGAGTCTTTGTAAACCCACACTAAACAAGGTAAAAGCTCAGTTCATCATACCAAGTGCGCGGTGCTTGACGCAAGCCATAGATAGCTTGACGTAGACGACACACATGATTGGGAAACTGAGGATTACGTAAACCCGGAGGTTGAGCCTCCTCATGAAGATGAACCTAAAGAAATGCATTGTTCACGTCAATATGATATATCGTCTAATTGTGGAAGAGAGCTAACGTGAACACAGTGCGGACCGTGACGGGCTTGAGAATGGGACTAAATGTTTCGTGAAAGTCAACATCTGGGCACTGAGGGAAACCTTTAGGCACTAGTCGAGTCTTGAAGCGCTCAATGCTACCATCAGGTCAAAATTTGATTCGATAGAGTCACCGATTACCAATGAAGTTGTAGTGAGGTAAACCAAGCTCTGATACCATGTAATGAATGTAAACTGTGTTTGTTTTGATGTATAGAAGGGTTATTTATACCCAATGGAGTACAGGTTTACAAGTATGATACGAAAATACAATTATACATGGACAAGGAAACTAAGGTAAACTAATTACTACACGTAATTCCTAATAAGAGTGACCTAGGAGAGTTGGAAAGTTTGCACGCTATGTTTATTTAATTGTAATTTTTTTATATATATCGATATTTTGGTACATACTGAGCTCAATTTCTTAATCCAAAAGCCAAATATTAAATAAATTTCCAAAATCAATCTCGATAAAAAAAACTCAATATTTAGAAATAACAAAAAATGATAAATTCATTACAATATTCAGTGTATCTCAAATATCCAACTTCCAACGCTACCTATTTATATTATGAATTGGTTCTGTTGCCCTGGAAAAAAACTAAACATAATGTAGATTTAATATCTTAGGTACTTAATCATATAGCTAGTTTTTCACTAAAAAATTACCAGAAGAAAAAAGAAGTCATAACTTCTCCAGGTAACACACTTGAACATTGATGATGTAGAGGCTGAAATGCTCCAAATCGGTCGACGGAAGCCAAACTGACACCATCATCTGATATAAAAGCAATCAAGCAACTGCCACTTTAGATGGTTGTTGACTTGTCGGGGTGTGAATGGAACTTGACTTTAAATTTCCCATGGTACCAATTACACTTTCTTCACAATAGAAAACTATTACACTTTTTTCGTACTCGTATTTTGTATATCAATTTTTTTTTGGTAATGAAAAGAGCGGTAGGGGCACTCAACCCTTAAAACATTAACAAAGCGGGGGACTACAACTCCCACACGGTCGTAGAGAAGCCAGTGGAGTAGGTTCGGATTAGAACCCGGAAAGGGGTGAATCCCGATCGGGTATTCGTGGCCCTGCGAAGCTAGGAAGTCAGAAACAAAATTTCCTTCACGAAATGTATGAACGATATTCACCTGCCATTCCCTCTGTAATAGCTGCCTTGCCGTCGATATCAATGTATGGTGCGGGTGGAACTCTGTCGCCGATTGAAGAAGCTGGATGGCTATGCGGGAGTCCGATTGGACTTCAACTCGCCGAACTCCAGCGTCCCACGCCATCTGTAACCCAAAAACGATACCTGCTAGCTCCGCATGAGTGATGGAGCCCCCCCCCCCCCGGTTTGGCTACAAAGGCTCGGATCAGCCTCCCATCTTCATCCCGCAGGCATCCACCCGCCGCTGCACTTGCCTGAGCAATAGCTACTGATCCATCTGTGTTCAAACATGTCCATCCCGACGGCGGAGGTTTCCAATGGGTAAATGAGCTCTGTTTCATGCGATTACCTCCCATGACTGCGCTCTCCCTTCAAACGCCCAGCGCACTTGCTGCACATAGAGCGTCACGGCAGCAATCATCTCCTCCATCGTAGCTAGCTTCTTCTCAAAGGCTTGGATGTTCTTATTCTTCCATAATTTCCAGCACAAAATAGCAAACAGGGATGCATCTATAACCCCACTACGTCCCGTTACATAGTAACGTATCCAACTCGATAAATTGCTCTGGAAGAACAAATCGTTTGGTTCCTCAGCTAAGAAATGCGACCAAACTCCTCTGGCATACGGGCAGTCACGAATGACGTGTAGAATGGTCTCTGGCCCACCCCTGCATATCGGGCAGGTGGCATTAGGCACCAGGTGTTTCCTCGATCGTTCAGCATTAGTTAGTAAGCATTGATGCGCTGCAAGCCAGAGGAAAGAGCGCGTACGTTGCGGTGACGGGGTTCTCCATATCGCCTTCCAACATGGCTCTGGCTGAGGCTGCACCGCCGCATCTACTTGTGTCAGCTCGTAAGCAGTCTTAAGAGTGAACCTTCCCGAAGGAGTGAAGCGCCATATGGGGACATCAACATCACTCCCTTGGGGGAAAGGATGGAGACGGATCTGCATCACTAGGTTTTTCGGGAGAACGGCCTGCAAGAAATCAAAATTCCAATCCCCATTTAAAATCATTTCAGATACCGTGAGGCGGCGAGCTTCATTCGGTAGATTGTTCGCAAAAACAGAGAGTGGCGGCCTATCCTGCAACCATCTGTCCTCCCAGAACAAGACCTGTTGTCCTCCTTTAACTTGACACATCGTAGCATCCGGCAGTAGGTGAAGCACTTGTCGAACTCCTTGCCATATATTTGACATTCTCCCTGAATTTCTCACCAGCCACCCCGTCTCAGTTTGCCGAAAGTACTTGCCCTTGATAATTGAGTGCATAAGCTGTTAGGTTCAGTAAACAAGCGCCAGGCAATCTTCACCATAAAGGCTTCGTTCACCTTAGTCGCGTTCTTGAAACCCAGCCTGTCTTCCTCTTTACTACTGCACACTATCTGCCAGTCTACTAGATGAATTTTTCTCTCTACTTCCGAGCTCCCTCAGATGAAAGCTCCTATCTTCTTGTCAATGTAGTCCCTCACGGAAGCTGGTAGCTATGTAGTTTGCATCGTATAGGCTAGGAGAGCCACAAGAACTGACTGGGCCAAAGTAATGCAAGCTGCTAGAGACATTGAGGCAACCTTCCAACCAGCTAGCCGTTTATCAATTCTGTCAATCAGTTCCGAGTAGGTAGCTTTTGAGACTCGATCATGGATGACCGGGCCCCCCAAATAGCGGCCCAGATTTTTAGTTTCCGGGATAGCCAGCGCCGAACTGATATTGCTAGTCGCGCCTTGTAAAACATTACGCGAGAAAAACACCCTTGACTTCGGTCGGCTAACCTGTTGGCCTGAGGCTGCTCCAAATTCGTCAAGACAACTAGTAATAACTTGGACCTGTTCCAAAGAAGCTTCACCGAAGAGAATTAGATCATCAGCAAAAAATAGGTGAGATAAGTGGGGACCTTTCATGGATATCTTTATTGTCTTCCAGCTACCATCTGTGACTCTCGCCTTAATTAGATGCCTCAGTCTCTCCATACAGAGGGTGAAGAGGTATGGAGACAATGGGCATCCCTGTCGGAGTCCTCGCGAAGGTGTGAACTGTTCCGAGAGCCCTCCGTTCTACTGTATCTGCATCATGGCGGAGGTTGTGCACTGCATGGTCAACTCAATAAATTCCGGGGGGAGCACCCACCGCTTGCAGCGTGTCACAAACAAAGCTCCACTTGATACGGTCGTAGGCTTTGGCTAAGTCTATTTTCAGCACCATCCAGCCTACTTGTCCTCGTTTGGCCCTCATGGAATGCACCACTTCCTGCAAAACACATTGATTATCAGTGATGTGTCTCCCTGGTACAAAGCTGGTTTGTGTCTCCTCCACCAACTTTGGCATAAGAATTTTGATCCGTTCGGCCAAGCACTTCGTTAGAGTCTTGTAAGACACATTACATAGACTAATCGGCATGAATTTATCAATTAACCATGGCTTCTGAATTTTGGGGATCAACACCAATGTCGTCTCATTGACCTCTTTAACACGCTCTGGGTTCGCCAACTAGCTTGAACCAAGGCTATCAACGCCTGACCCACTGTATCCCAGCAAGGCTGATAGAACATCGGATTAAGGCCGTCCTTACTGGGGGCCTTCAGAGGCCCCATAGCTTTAATGGCCGAGTGTATCTCTTCTTGGGAGAAATCCCTTGCCACCGTATGCCAATCATCAATCGAGAGCTGAGGAAAAGCAGCTGGTAAATCGCTTGTAGGGCTGCCATCATCAGTGTACAAATTCTGGAAAAAGTCCCTAGCCATTTCCAATAAGCTTTGTTGGTCATCAACTCAGTTTCCCATTGCATTCTTTAGTGCAGAGATCCGATTCCTTCGGCGACGGCTTAACGTCCTAGCATGAAAGTATTTTGTATTGCGATCCCCCGACGCCATCCATTCTAACTTGGCTTTTTGGCACCACAAAATTTCTTCTTGCACCAACACTTCCTCGAGTTCTTCCCTGAGTTGTTGTAGCTGCACAGGTTCGACGTTTCCCCGCTGTCTTTTTTCCAAACTTTCAATCTGTCTCAGTAATTTATCTTTGCGCCGTAGAATATGGCCAAAAACATAGTAGTTCCATTCATTAGCTTGTCGTTGGAAAGATTCAATCGAACTTAGCAGGTCAGTGCCCTTGGCCCATGCTTCTGTTGCCATATCCTTGAAACCGTCATGCATCAACCAGGCTGCGAGGAACTTGAACGGCTTCGCACCCGCCGGTTGGAAAATGGGATCAAGATTCAGAAGTAAGGGCCGGTGATCAGATTTCACCCGTAGAAGGTGGCAGTTCGTGGCATTTGGGAACCTAGTCACCCATGCATGGTTAGCTAAACGTTGATCCAACCTCTCCTGCATTCCACTTTTGAACCATGTAAAGGTCGTCCCCACAAAACTGAGATCAGTTAATCCCGTATCCATCAAACAATTCTGGAAATCTCCCGCTCAACGAGCAACATATGGTGCCCCTCCCAGTTTTTCCGAAGGATGTAAGATTGAATTAAAGTCCCCAACGAGAGCCCACGGCTCTGTCATGTCTTCCGCAATATCCCGCAACGCGTTCCAAAGTTCTCTACGTTGAATGAGTGCAGGATTGCCATATATTGCTGTGAGAAACCAACTCTCCATTCCCACCTTTACATTAACATGCAATAGCTGATCCGTTCGTTTCTCTTCCGTGATGGTGATCATCGACGGGTTCCATAAGATCCAGATTTCCCCGGAGAAACCCGCTTCATCCACTATCAACGACTCGACAAACCCCATCTCTTGTATTACTTTTTTCGCTGTATCACCGCTGATCTTGGGTCGAAACTGGCATCGATACTCCTTGTAAACACGCAGAAAGTGTTTGCTTCCCGCTCCCCTACAATTCCATGCAAAATTTTTTATGTCCATAGGAGACATATGGCGTAGGGTTGGCCTCAAACGAAGCTACTATTTCTCGGGTACACCCTCCTTTAGGAGGGTCTCCGTTTCTTTTCCTCCCACCTGGCTAACAAAAGTAGGCTGTGTCTCTTTCTCTTTACCCGACCCGCTCGGTAGTGTGAAAGCTGTTGGTGCCTGAGCAGTCGAAGTGAGGGGGTTGCCTTCTTGTAATCTTGTGTCTGAATCAAGGTCGGGAGTATCAGATAATGTAGTAGTTTGGGTATGTGAATGCTCGTTCTTCGATCCCTGTGACCGCCCGGGGTCAGTGGTATGATCTTCATTCTCTATAATCATTTGTTCACTGGCCCCTCCCGTTGAAACTTCTTTGGTCTTTGCTGGGCTAGCGTTCGTTTCCAACGAGGTTCCACCATTCAAGGGGCTCGCTGCTCCTGTTTTCTCCAAGGGCTTCACCTTTGATTGTCCGTCATTGCATGCCGATCGCGCATTTTGTTTCTCTACCCACACTTGGCGCTCTTGGGGGTTCCTTTGTGTGTCCTTTTGGTGCCCCCATCCGTACTATCCGATTCAGTGTTGGCCCTCGTGGAGTTTCCACTCTGTCTGTTGTCTCCGATTCAGCCCCTCCTTCCTTCGATAGAACCGTGAACCTAGAGCCATTGGGGCCCATTCTCACCTGGCCTTGGGTCTTGGTTGCTTGTGAGTTGTTAGGAGTGTTCGGTCGCCTTTTCCGCCTCTTTGCTACATCCATTCACCATAAGGTTCAGATCGCTTTGGGAGCTCTTGGCTTTGTGCCTCTCTGCCCTCCTCTGCTATTGCTTGGTGTAACGCGGGGCAAGTTCCCTTGGAGTGCACATACTTACCACACTCGAAACAAACATTCGCCATTCCCTCCTATTGGATTGCATACTCTATCCCCTCAATCTTGAACTTATTAAGGAGTGGTTTTGTAAAATCAATTTCCACACAGGATCTAGCGAAACCACATCTGGCTCCCAATTCTGTAGCATGATCGACTCGGATTGGGACCCCCACTCGTCCTGCAATGCGCATGACAGCCTGGGGGTGAAAGAATTCTATCGGAAGGTCTGGTAGCCTCAGCCACACGAGAGTGGATTTGATCTCCATGTTAGGGTTGAAGCTTTTTTCCACTTTTGGACGGCCAAATAGTGGTCTCCGATCATCCAGGGTCCCCCATTAAGAGCGTGCTCGTAGTCCAATTTGCTCGTAAACCTAACAAAGTAGAATCCCTTTGATCTGTTCGTGATTTGGATGGAGCCTTGCTTCGCCCAAACCATATTCAAATGTTTAGCGATCATTGGGTACGGGAATGATTGCCCTAAAACTTCCACCACAATAGCTGATCTCCATTCTCTCTGGAAAGCACGTAGCTCCGCCGCCGTGAACTCGATGTTAGGTGATAACGGGTCTTCTTCCTCGGGGGGCTTCATCCCTCACATCTTCCCTCATTGCATCCGCAATATCTTCCGAATCTGACTCTTCCACGTACCAGGATGTTGTCTTGACCGTCTCGCTAAACAACTTTTTTTCCCTTCACCCAACGCCATAGGTTTATGCATGGGGGCCCGCTGTGTAAATCAGCGTGTATAGTGTTGGCATTCTTTTCGTTTATTCCATGCTCATTACACTCGAATTTGTCTTCCTCTTCCGTTATATCTTCAACAAGCACATCATCTTCTATTCCCGCTAAGCCTTCAAGATCAATAGCCCTTACACGTTTCTTCGGGTGTTGGGCTTCCCTTTCTTTCTTTCCATCCCGGAAGGATGACACCTCCGGAGGGCGGCGTACGCCCGAGACCAGTTCCGGCTCAGGGATTTCCCTCGATCTGGTGGCTGCGCTGGCGAGGCTGCCGCCTTCATGCTGCTTGCGCTACAACCGAAACCCTACGCCGATTTCCTTGTCTCCGCAAAACTCGGAGCTTTTTTCGCCCAAAAATTTCAATATTGATCTAAAAATGTTAATAATGACATCGTATTTTGTATATCAATTAATTCCGGTGTCTATTTTTTTGAGTATTATAGTTCTTCGGAAAGTAAATGAAATTGAGTATTAGAACTAGATTGAAAAGTATATTCACATTTTATTTGGTCCAGTTTTGTCCAATTAAAATGACAGTTTGGCTCGTTGCAGATCGAACCATATTGCTATTGCGCACCCTAATAATGAATATTAATAAACGATAAAGGGGTTATGACATTTTTAGTCCATATACATCATATGCTCCTGGGAAACACTTGCGTGTACTCCATAACTAGTTCCTATGGCGAAAAACTCTGCACGAATGTATTACTGTTGGTCCACCCATGTTTAGGTAGCAGGTCCTTGCTAATTAAGCCAAACACCAAATATGCTACAAATTCTCCTTTTCACTCTCTAATTGTACTTCAGATGGAAATATGCATCATTGAAAACGAGTGAAGAGGATTCATAGTCAGGACCGTCCCATAGATATTGAAAGCTTTGTTTTAGAACTAAAAAGTGTCCTAATTTTCTTTGAATATATAATATATGGTTCAGGCTAGCGTACGCTAGGCGAGGCATATACTTACTTTATTGTACGTCCATCAAGTTTTATTATTTAGACCATGAATTAATCGGAGTTTGGGGAATGATACTATACCCTAACCTATAATGGATGAACCACAGTCCCCAATTGTCTAACCCAAACCATAAGATTCAATTAATCTTAGAATAAAAATTAACGATTCTGATTCGTCAAAATTATCAAAGTACAAATGATGAACACATGCGTATAGTGTACGTCAGGCGTACACTAGGCTTTGCCATAGTATAATGATTTTAAACTACTCAATTCAAAATTGTCTTATAAAACATAAACTTTTGGGTTATATGATTTAAATGGATTCATTGGACGTTTGAAGTCTAAATTTACAATTAGTCATTACAAAATTGTCTTAAAAACACATATTTTCATATAATGACGGCTAAATGGACACATATGAAGTTTAAGAACTAAATGATCAAAATATTAAAACGGAGACTAAACATACATTTCAGTCAGATTAAATTATATAAATGGCTATTCATATAATGTGAGTTAAATGAATAAACTTGAAATTTAAGAATGAAAACGATTAAAATATTAAAGTGTGAGACTAAACTTACATATTAGTGAATCTAAGCTAAATAAATAGGTATGTAAAACATTTTTCAAAAATACATAAAAGATATTTGAACCCATGACCAAATATGCAATATTCAACATGTTTACCAATAAATCAAACACAAATGAATAATTTAATTTTGCACTACAAATTATGTAGACCAAACTATAAAATTCTCGAAAACTCGAGGCCCCAAACAACTCACGTAATTTGGTCCCTACAATGAAAGTCATGTAGGACCGGCCGACACATGCTAATGCTCGGCCCTGATTATAGGACGAGACAAATTAAGGAAGAAAAGCTAAATTTCAAACATATATGACACGCGAGGGAGTAAAATTTTACCGACTAAGCATGACAAAAGGTCATTAACTAGTAATTAGTTAAAGTTTGGTGCTAATTTTAACGGAGACCTAAAAATAGATAACAGGTTTAATACACATAGAGGTCGTTTGGATTAAGAATTTATTAGTTAATAGAGATGCGGCCCACAATCACTCAATTACTATTTAGTATTTTAAATCCAGGTTTTGTGTGAAATATGTTGTTTGTTTATGAAGAGGGATTTATTAGTTAGGAAATTTAATTATGAAAGCAATAGTAGAAATTACAGTCATACCCTTTACTGTATTCGTTGTCACTTACCATTGACTTTCAGCTAACCTTCACCGAATTCTTCTCACCAACGCTGCCTCCATCATAATTCAGACATGGAGCCTATCCAATCAACAGGTCAAAATGAAGGGCAATCAACAACAAAATACATAATCCTGCCTACATAACTTCTCACATACTTGATTGTTTGACATAAGTAAACTAGCATAAGTGCATAACTAAAAACAAAAAAACTTGTCCGAGTTCTTTAAACAACAAACAAAAACCAGCATACATGACTTCATCCAAGCGCCTGTCACGAACATCAACTTGTTGGCTTTGTCTTCTAAGCCATAGAAGAACATCAAATTTCTAGGGAAAAAAGTACAAGACCAAAAAGTATCACCTCATACCATCCTAGTATGAGGTGGTATCTTGTGGTACACAATGTTGAAAGTTACCAAACAATATCACCATGGTATAGATTGGTACTAAATGTCTCATTTTTTTATTCCAAAAATATATCAAAGTGTATATCATTTTGAAGAGCCATATTAATCTGACTTATATGCACAAAAGAACTAAATTCTAACTTAAAAAAAGATATATTTCCTATTAAAATTTAGAGAAGAAAAGGTTAGAAGTCTTCCAAAAATGATGATGTGGCACTGATGTGACAGTTATGCATGGTTATTGACCATGATAAATTATTTGATACCCCTGTGTACGCTCCCTCCCTATTATAATATTTTTCTTCTTCTCTCCTATCAATTATTATATAATTATCGTTAGGGGTGACAAAACAACCTGCAAATGGACCCATCCGTCCAACCCGATCCAACTCATCCGTATTTATCATTAAAATTAAAGGTTAATGTTGGGTGAGATTTTTCTTTTGTACAACCCGCCTCTATTGGGTTGAGTGCGTATTTTCGCTAATACACCCCGTAGATCCCGACCCAACTCATGTTGAACTATTATCATAAGTGTTCGTGTCCTAAACATATTTGTGTGAAAATTATCATCTTCTCATATTTTTCTCTTGTAGTTAACCTAGCCTAATAAATTCATCAACTTAATATTTAGATGTAACTTTAATATAAGCTATGATTCACGTGTACAATTTTCTTGTGTACAATTTTAGAAGAACAATATATTATGAATATGTTAGTTTATCATGATTTGCGATGCTTGTTTAATGAAAGGAATTTGATTCAACTGGGAAAAAAAGAATGCGTTAGTTTATAACCACTTTAGCTTATTTTGATAAAAATTTTATGAAAAAAACTAGACATATGTTGATGTAAATTGCATTTTATTAAAATTCAAACAACATTTAAGGATATTGATACTCATTGCCTCAATTTATTTGTTTACATTTTAATTAGTAATATAATATTTTTGTAATGTAGAATAGTTGTCTTTTTGAGTTGGGTTAGGTTTTAAATTAAAAGTATCTCCAACCCGACCCAACCCAATTATAAACAAACCGTAGGATTTTAATTTTTTTAGGTGAATTTGAATTTAATATTATCAAAACCGTAGTATATAGGTCGAGTGATTAAAATGACCAAACTCGAACCATACAACCAATATACATCCCTAATTATCTTTTTTTTTTTTTTTTTGAAAATCCCTAATTATCTTCATTACTCTCTTTCTATCTTCCTATATTGTAATGGAAAAATATTATTATAATGGGAAAGGATTATACATTGTGGGAGTAACTAATAATTCCTCACTGACCATAAGATTATGAAGGAAATCCGTTCGCCACACCTGCCGTGCTTTAGCAGACGCCAGACAGCCATAGCAGTTTCCCTTCCAAACCTTGGAACCCCTTCTTCTGGGAATGGGCCATGAATCATTTGTACGAGTACTGGGTGGGTGGGTGGAAAGTGGGGGTGAGAGCAACGGTTGGAGGTTATCGACGCTTTGAAAATTGTGATTGTTAAATAAATGTATGGTAGTAAATATATGTATAATATTATACATGTATTGATAAATTCGATAATTATAAATTACAACATTTGTATATGTGATTGTGTATGTAACATCAACTAAAACTTGAGATAAAACAATTACAACTATCTCAACAATCTAGCTAAAAGTTGGGATATCACATAACAAGAGGCTTGCTATTTGCCGCCAACCAAATTGCTATTTCCGCCAACCAAAAAAAAAAGTATATATATACATCTTTGGTTAAGGAGTTTTACAATCTACAACATATCCAACTTTCAGAGAACGTATTGAATCAGAAAAATTCAACGCTCGCCGGAAAAGTCGCCGGAAAATCATCGGGAAAGCCTATCCTCAACATATACTGCGTACACGCATCCATGAATCATCAGTAAGCACGTGCGTAAATTTTTTGTAGTTTCGAACAATTTTTCCGACGATTTGAAACGAACAGACGGTGGGCCGAAAAATTCCGGCGGCCAGAACCTGGCCAGGCCGAAAAATTCCGGCGGCCGGAACAAGGCTGGGCCGGCGGAAATCGGTGGCCGGAACCAGGCTGAGCCACAAGATATTTTCGGGCTCAGCCTGGCTCCGGCCGCCGGAATTTTTCGGCCCGGCCAGGTTCCGGCCACCGAAATTTTTCGGCCCGGCCAGGTTCCGGCCGCCTGAAATTTTCGGCCCACCGTCTGTTTTTGGAATTTTTCGGAAAAATTCGATTTTAGGAGTTGAATTTAGCGTTTAAGAGTTGAATTTAGCGTGTAAGAATTGAATTTAGATTTTAGGAGTTGAATTTAGCGGTTAAGACTTGAAATTAGCGTTTAGATTCACAGGAATATTGATGTATTATATTGTAATTGTAGGAAAAATGTCAGAGTGGTTACCGGCTGATCATGATTACACACAGGAATTTAGCTGAGTTAGCTGCAAAAGCAATCGCTCAGGAGTGTGGGTTCTTTATTGTTAGAGGAGCATGGAAACCGAATACTGCTGGACTACATCATGTTACTGCCCTCTGTATGTATTGCGACAGAAGTAGTAGGATCGTTAAGTCTTATAAACCAGACCCTACGAAGGAGACGCGTGGGAATATTAGTTCGAAGGGTACTGGTTGCCAGTTTCAGATATGTATTAAGGAAGTATGGCAAAAGAATGGTCCAAACACATGGGTCATAGTGGGAGTGACAAGTCGTGAAACCGGAGCTAATAGAGGGTTTCACAACCATGAAAAGGTGTTGTATCCAGAACATCACCGACACAACAAACAGTTTAGTGAGGCTGAAAAAGAGAGGTTAAGATTAATGAGGAAGGCGGGGGTGAGACCAAATCAGCAGAAGACGACACTCAATACTGAAGGGGGTGTGCATCATGATATCAAACAAATGTACAACATCGTGGGTACCATATCTGTTTGCAAAAGGACTATAATAATGTGCTCACTAATCTGTTTTTTGCGCACCCGACGTCCATTCAGATGTTGCATGCATGGCCGTACGTCATCCTCATTGACTCGACCTACAAGACCAACATGTACGGCTGGCCATGGGTTGAGATTATTGGGGTTCCGCACCACCGGGGCGATGGATGGATTCTGAGGACTTGTTCGTGTTTGCCACCATCTACAACATCGCAGTCATGGTCTTCTCATACCAGGTGCTTGATGTCAATAATGCAAACCGTCCACTACCCAACCGCTACGATGATGCCTATACTGTATTGCCTATTGATGCGGAAGCAGGTACTTTGCCACCAACCATGTTCTTATCACTGCACTATGTGAACAACCACTACATTCGATTGTACTTCAACAAGGATCAGTTTCCTATACCCCCTCTGCATCCAATTTGTTAGATCATCAATGATATAAACAATGAGTTATGGCTCAAGAGGCCCACACTTAACCATGTGATAACCTTATTCCTTACTTTCTTGTTATTAATTTCTAGGTGATGGCATGAAGCAAAAGCACACATTAGCTAGTTATCGTTCCTTTCGCATGCGGCGAAAGCTCGATTGGGAATGCATTCGTGGAAGGGATAGGGTATCATAATAGTTGATGCATTGAAGCATCTTGTTAATGAGATTGTATGCATATGATCATTTAGATGAAGATACCTAGACAATAGTTTTAAGTACTTGTTTTTTCATCGTTTATTTTCTTTAGTAAAGTAGAATTTTAACCAATGGCACTTTAGTCCATTGCTATTACTTTTATTTGCATTGATATCTCAAGCATAGGTTGTTAGTTTTGAGTATGCTAACCTGACCGTATGTCAGTCGAGTTTTACTATTTAGATCATGAACTAACCGGAGTTTGGGACATAATACTATACCCTAACTTCTATGGTAGAACCTCAGTCTCCCATTCTCTAACTCAAACCATAAGATTGATTTAATCTTAAAATGAAAATGAACGGTTCTGATTCGTCGAAATTATCAAAGTACAAATAATAAGTGTGAACGCAGGTGTACGCTTGTGTTTGCCATATTTTACACACACACACACACACTAATACTACGCTCTAGTTTGTTTTGTCTTGTAGGACTTGAAGGGCATTGCAAGGCACACAAGGACGAGCAAGATGGTCATTTGATATCTATTCAAGTACTCTAGGCCAAAGGCATCAAAGTTTGAAGCAAGAAGATGAAGAAGAACTTGACACCTTTGATGCAAACCTCAAGAAATGGAGCCAGGAGTAGCAGTCTCCATGTTGAGGAGCCAGTCGATGATCAATACCGAACCTCCTAAAAGCACCAATGCTAGCATCAATGATGAAGGGCTAAAGCAACTGCTTGAATGTTCAAAGCATCCAAGGTGGTCAAGAAAGCCAATGAAGGGCACCCTAAGGAGTTGTAAGAAGGATTTGGAGAGCTCCATGTTGAGGAGCCAGTCGATGATCAATACTGAACCTCCTAAAAGCACCAACGCTAGCATCAATGACAAAGGGCTAAAGCAACTGCTTGAATGTTCAAAGCATCCAAGGTGGTCAAGAAAGCCAATGAAGGGCACCCTAAGGAGTTGTAAGAAGGATTTGGAGAGCTCGAGGAGACGAGGACCATGGAGAGGAAGGCTATCTAAAGGTTATCCCATTTGATGAGGAAGATGATGATGAGCTTGAAACTCTATATTCAGAAGGAGAAGAATATGCAATGGATGAAAAATGTTGTAGTGCTGAAAAATACACACTAATCCAAGCCTTATTGGATTCGTTGGAGTATGTTGAAGGCATCACACCAGTTGAAGACTTTCATCAGTTCGCACGCTATATTCAATTTGCATCCACAAGAAATCCACCTACCAGTGATTCCTCAATCATTGAAGATATCCAGGAGAGACAAGCTTAGCTTGATGATCCCCATTCACCTCTTAGGCAAGGTTTAACACAACCAACTGTTGAACAAGAGCAAGTGGAGGAGAAGAGTTCCATCAAGGTTGATCAACCTAAGAAGGAGCATAAAGTTGAGGAGTCATGAGAGGAGCAACCATCTCAACCTATCTAGTTAAAGGAGGAACCCCAACATGAGTCATCATTCAGAAATGTTGAGGATCAGACCAATATGGCATCCACCCAAGGAAGGAAGGAAGTTACCACCACCATCCAAGAGATCGTGGAGGTTCATCAATGAAGAAAGAACATCTAGCTCGATGGGTGACTTCAAGCTACACCCATCTCGATTTAAGTTCGAGTTGGGAAAAGGAAATTGACAAAAACTGTAACTTTGATCTTGGAAAAGAAGGATCATCTACATCATCCTCTACATCAAAAACAATAGTAGAAGAATTTCATCTACTCTAGAAACTCTTGATGTAAAGAAGGATGATGTCATTCCCAAAATTGGAAATCATAAAGACAACTGCAAAATCTTGATGAAAATGCATCATAGAGTCAAGCCAGACCTCTCCCGACCCCTTTAATTAGATCCATCGCATCATTTCTAGAGAGTCATGAGATGGTAGCATCTTATCTAACCCATATAGAGGAATACATAACTCTATCCTTGCATCTGAACCTCTACTAAATTCACAAGTCACAATCAAAGGGTGGGATAAATGGTGCAAGGTGGAAACTAAGGTAGCATCTTTTACATGGTTCATCATAGGGTTGGCTATTTGGTCCGAACTTTTTGGTTTTACCCAAAATTGGACAGTATAACCAGGACCGGGACTAGATAGCAAACAATCCAATCCCATCTTCGGGTTTAGATTTGAGGTAAAAAAACTTTTGGGACCGGATCGAAAACTGGATAAGAGAGCCCAACACCCAAAACCTAACCAACTTCTCACCCTTTGAGGCCTCAAGCCACTCAAATCCCCATAAGCTCAATCTAAAATCAAGACCGAATTGGGACCGAACCGGGTCAAGACCGGACTGTATCCAATCCAATATTTGGTCCTTACATTCCCGAAAAGACCAGACCGGGATCGGATCAATTCGGGCCAATTTAACCGGACCGTACAGCCACCCCTAGTTCATCATCAAGTCAAAGAAGAAAGGAGGATGACACACAATTAGTTGGGGAGTTTGAAGAGCTTGGAAGTTACGCCTCGCTCAAATGCGTAAAAGAAATAGAGTTTCATAAGAGGCAACTCATATCTGGCATCCCATTTTAAAATTAATCTATTAAAACGCAAGTAATCAAAAACCAAATTATTGTTCCTTACGACAAAAACGGAACCATTAAATGTCTCCTAAGTCAGTACGGAAAAACGGGACCCTCCTAATTCACTGCATATATACATGTGAGGGTTACTGTTCACCCGGATGTTTTCCACTGCAGCAGACCACACAATTTCCTGTGTGCCAATGTAGCATTGAGGGTCGATTCCTTCCTCAGATGTCCAAATGAATTCTTATATAATTTGTTTGTAAATTGAGGAAGGAATATCAAAGGTTTCATAACGTTGATCTAATTGAAAAATAATTTTTATTATACAAAGTTTTCCTAAAGTAAGTAAGGGTTTACATAACAAAATACGTAAAGTAAGTTAGGTTTTACATAACAAAATAATCAAATTATAATTTTTTTACAACTTGATTTTATTATTAGACCATACATTACGGAGTACTTACGTAACATCATTCAATAAAAATATTTTCTTTTCATAATTTGATTTTATTATTAGAACACACATTACAGAGTATTAACGGAACACAATTCAATAAAAATTACACAAACGGAAAATATATTTAATACGTAAGTTTTTATGTAATGCAAACTTATGTATCAATTAAGTAAAACATACTACGTAAGTTTTTGTAATGATTAAGACACAACGTAAAACTTATGGAGAGAAAATAATGTCTTATGTCCCAACTAAACAAACATATTATGCAAGCCTTCCTTCATATAAGTTTGAACGAAAATTCATGCATGATTAACTAAACCTTTGACCATTCATCAGTTTGCATTATATAAAGACTTTGTGACATCGATTATTTTTTACATAACAGTTTAGTTAATGTGATACTTTTCATAATTGAAATTCCTGTATTATTATCTGCATTTTCACCATCTCATCATTTGCGTAAGCTTGCATATGGTAAAATCACTTTTACATAATAGTTTAATCAAATGTGATACTTGATTTTGCGATTCAATCACAAATTAGGAAAGATTTACGTAACACTATTCAATAATATTTACGTAAATTATATTGATTACGTAAGGATCATGGAGAGATATTTATCTTTTTATGTATCAAATAAAAAGCATATTACGTAAATCACTAAATCTTCTATCTTATTCAAACTATTTTTGAATTATTTGATTTCAACTAAAATATTAAACGAGTAGAAAAAATTGCAAATAAAATTAGTAACTTACCGCGGCAAAGTGCCTGCCAAAAAACTAGTATAAAAGAAAATTGCTACCAAGAAGTCAACCCATGTAAACAATCCTCGAATTTAATTTCAATCATCACACAGCATACATAAAACAAAAATCAATCAAGGTTAATCCATGGATACAAGAAACAGGCAAAAGAAGAAACGCTATACATGTGAGAAATTTGTGCGGGTTACTGGCAAGAAGATACAAGAATACAGTACACATGCAAGAAATGAGAGGGGCTTGCAGGAAAACCTACCTACTACCTATTGTATGTCATCTTTGTGATCGACCTTGACCAGAAGCAGTCCCACTAACTCCTGATAACTGTTTCAGGTTGGTGAGAGCTTCCTGCGCGTACCTCTTGGCGTTACCATTCCCATGCTTCAATGCCTCCACCAAAGCACCAACCAGAGACTGATTCAGAGAATGCCTATGGCTGCAACCCTCTGCTCTCAGGAACTTATCAATCATCCTGACCGTCTTCTCCTGCAGCTCCCCGGGTCGAACTTTCATGAACAGCTCGATCACTGCATCGAACACCCCGACGTTTTCGAGCTCCATCGTTGCTCTCTTGGGAATGTTCGAGGAATCGGGCAGCAGGGTTGAAAGTGCTTCCACCGCAGCGATCTGAACCCCGGTCTGGTCTTCCCCAAGGAGATTAATCAGTGGTTTGATGCAGTTGCTACTCAGAAGACATAACTGACCGCCATCATCACACGATGCGTTGTGTACCGGGCAAGTGGAAAGTTCGGGAGGGCCTCTGCTGCACATGAAGAGGATGGGGACACAAAATCCTTGGGGAGGGATCGGTTCCGGGTTCTGGGCAGCTGATAACCTTCCAGCTTCTGATAAGTTTCTCAGTCCGAGAGCAGATAGTTCTTTCAGTCTTGGCTTTGAAGGAAAACTGAGCTCCTCACAGTAAAGACTCATCAGACGAAGCTCTCTCACCAGGGTAACATTTTGATGATCATCGAGACGCTTGGTGAAATGTAGCAGTAGGCCAAGAAGCCCTTCTGTTATGCTTGATGATGTTGTCCTTGATGCTTTGCCATTGGCGCTGCGATTTCGATTTTTCAGAGTGGAGACTATCCATCTTACAAAACTAGCATCAAGCAGTGTTTTCACTTCATCGCCCACGAGGGGAAGGTTGGCCAGTATGCACGCGGCATCAGATCTCTCAGTATCTGTAGATTGGTCATCGAATAGTTTGTCTTTCAACATTAAATTCTTGTTACAAGTTTGTAGCTCATAGTATAAGTCTTGAGCAAACCTTTCGGACAGCAATCTTGTAAGCCTATAAGCATTGATTCGATGTCCAACTTCCGGGTGCTCAAGATAACATAAAACTGTTTTGATGCCATCAGCACTCTTTATTCTATTGGCAACTGATTCTGCAAAATCAGCAATTTCTCATTTCAACTGATGCCATGAGTAAGCGTCTCATGCACAAAGAGTTTGTAACCAAGTCTTGGATGAGATGAGAGATTAAAGGTTAACGAAAAGGAGTTTCATGCTGATGAGTGCAGAATAATTACCTGCAGCCCTGGGAGATGATGCTATTCCATAGAGGATTTGGAGTATAGAAGCTTGAGCTTGAGGTGAGACAACAGATAGAAGCTGTAAGAGACTCGAGACTATTGAAGCAGACTGCATTGTGTGACCTCGTTGGTCCACAGCTGCCAACTCCCAGTGCCCTGGATTTGACACTATGTTTGCAATTGTTGATGCAGCCAAGTCTGTGAGTTCCAATGCAACCACCTCATTTTTCAAAAGGATATCGGTGAGCACGGGAAGTGCACCAGCATCAACAAGGATCGTTGCATTGTCATCTAAAGTTGATAGGTTACACAAGGCTTTCAAGCTTGGCCCTCGGGCTTCAGGGTTAGTGAGCAACCCAACAAGTATCTTAGCACTTCTCCTGGCAAGTTCTTCTTTACTGCTATTGGTTAAAGTCATCCTTCCCAGAATAGATGCCATCTCTGTTTTAACGTCATCTGAACCTGTTCAAGTAAGAGGTTACAATCTCAAGTAAGTTGGTAAATTTGTGCCATCATAGGTTCACCTTGCATCTAGCTTACTGGTAATGCATTCTAATCCATTCGACAGTTCACAAAAAGAATATACAGTTGCTACACTTCTGCTCCAATTTTCTGAGAAATACTAACATGGAATCACACAAAGAGGGCGTCATAAGCATACCTTCACATAAACGTGCAAGTAGGGGCTCGAATCTTCCTGCAGCTGCCAATGGCTGAATGTTCTCTTCCATCTTTTCCAGCCGCTTCAAAAGTTCATCTGCAAGATTTGACAATGCAGGATGCTCCAGATTGCCTGCCATACTGGAAAGAAGAACTAGTGCCCCTTTCTCTGACGTGATTTTGGTGCAATAATCTTCGTCATTTGTGAACTCCAGCAGTAACTTCACAGCATATTCTCGCTCTTTCTCTGAGCTACCAACAAGGCTATGTATAGCCAGTCTACTCACACCTTCTTCTAGCATTATGTTCTACAAAATTCAATCAGAAAAAAGAGCATTCACATATAGCTCTCAATACAGCTATGGTGGCATGTTATGACGACTATAATTCACAAACAATACTGCGTCAAACCGGCACAGCTGCGTCAGTAAGCTAATGGCTAGAAAAAGTGTAACATCACAATGGCAAAACTGAGCTAAACAAACTAACCTTGGTTTCTTCGTCCTTAGCCATACTAAACAAAGCCATAAGAGCTTTGCTCCTCAGACGAGAGCCCATATCCTTAGACGAATTCCTAAGCAACTTAACCATAAGCACAATCAAACCAGCATTCCTTACTTTATACCGATGGGAAGAATGCTCTTCAGATATCCAGTAAACATTGTCCAATGCACGTTCAATGGACTCCGTCACAACAGGCTCTCTACCAATATTCTCCACCGCGGATTTAACCCGAACCTCAACGTTCCTGCTAATCCACTCGTCGATTGCTCCGGCCAACCCAAGATTCGGCTTCAGTTCCAAGGTCTTCAAAACCACTCCGGTGATCGGACAAGTCGGGTCCCGTCCATCCTCCACGCATCTGGTAAACCAGTACTGTATGGCTTTCTTCTCATAGTTCTGTGAAGACTCTAACAACAGTACAGGCTCCTTCATGACTTCTTTGGTCAGGGGACAGAGAAAATTCCTGAAAGGTGACAAGTTAGCTTCCTCCTCCGAATCCAAGTCCAATTTCAGTGCGTCCAAATCAGAGTCAGTCGACCAGCTCTCGAGAATTTTCTCCAGAGAGATCAGAATTCGCCTCTCCGAGACCGAATTGGACCGCACCACGTCGGCTTTGAATAGCTTCACTTGCTCCGATAGCTCTTGATGGTTGCTCGAATCAATCCCTAGCGCTCGCGCTAAATCCATGACAATCGCGCTCTGCACCGGCTTGGTCGTCGGCCTTCCCTGCCCTTCTTTCTCCAATGTTCGACGGACTCTCTCTTCGTTTTCCGTCACCTGAACTCAGACCGCCATTTTCGATGAGCAACTAGTTGACAGAGAAGAGAGGTTGACATCGATTGTTTAAACTTACTCTGAATTTCGCGTGCTTCATGTCACGGGCCAGATCGGCGGTCTTCTTGCGAAGATCGGCGACGATGTCGTCGTCGTCGAGCAGCGTTGACTCAATCAGCTCCAGCCAGGTTCCAATCGCAACCGTCCGCTCCAGAAGAGAGGAGCAGAGGGACTGGCAGTTGACCAAGACGGCGATCTTGCTCCTCTTCCTGTAGGCGGAAATCGTCTCCGCGGCAACGGAGAGATCTCCGGAGATGCCTCTCAGCCCGGTCTCCGCGGAGGGTGAGAGCGACGGGGAGGAGCGGAGGAGCTGGTTGACGATGAGCTGGAGGCGGTGCGCGTACCCGGTGAACTGGCGGGAGTTCTCGAAGGACTCCTGGTCGGGGCCGGCGGAGCAGAGGTCGGATAAGGAGCGGTGGATTGAGTCCACGGCCGCGGGAAGTGGCGGCGCCGAAAACATTTCAGGCGGGACGAGGAGGTGCGGCGGACTTTGGAAATGGAATGTCTAGACGTCGCATTTCGGAATCATTGTCGGCAGGTGGAGGGAGAGCCTCTTCTTCTTCTTCGTGCCCGCGTGCCTGCTGAAGCTGAAGCAGAGAAGAGTCAAAATCTTGACTTTTAACGGGTCCTCTCCCTTAGCGGGGAAGGTGAGGAGACCATGAAAAGATCTCGGGTAACCGGAGCCAAGATGGCTTGGATCCGTTTGTAAATTGTAACTCTGTGAATTATTAATTTGGAAGCGAACCCGATGGATCACCCGATTACGGATCTTCGAGAAACCCAAACTCACAGCCAAGCCAAGTGGGTCGTTATACTAAAAAAAAGTATTATTTATGAAAATGGTGGCACCATTTTTTTTTCTCTTAATCATTAAGCAAATTTGGGAGAGATCAATGTTGTTAATTCGTTTAGTTTGTTTGCCCAGTCAAACAAGTGAATTAAGGATTTAATAATCCGATCGTTTTATTCTGGTAAAATCTTATTTAAGCTAGATATATAGAAAAGTTCATGATATTGTTGATATATATATATATAAATTATATCAAATTTTGTCTAATATATAAGCAACAACATATAACAATACACCAAAATAATATTGAACCCAACATATAGTAAAAATTTAAGCACACTTAAATCCACTCCAACGCATCCAAGCCCGATTTCAACATAGAAAGCATAGATTCGCGTCGCCTACTTGCTGAAAGCAAAAATGGAATGAAATTCTATGAGTTCGTGATTGTCACCTTTAATAAACTACAACAGCCCGAGGAGTATAAATAGAACTCGTGAGTAGAAGAGTTTGTAACCGTCGTTTGTGATTTTACTCCAAAGGATTGACCTCCCAAGATTAAGACATGTGTGTACTGAACAATCGAACAATGAAATCTTAATTACAATATGGAACAACAAAAAAAGGTTTCGCCCAAACTGAGAAAACTGTAAAAAGGAAGGTTCCTGGAACTGGGGCTGGTAGGCTGGTTTGTAGATGGGATGGTGCCACTAAGTGCGGGTCGCATTCAGCAGGAGGGATGGTCCTCTTAGACCAGGACGGTCATTTGGTGGTGGAGTTGCTCGTTCTCCGGGAGGCGATCCTTTGGTGCTTAGGTATGGGGCTTTCGACAGATCGCTTTGAGGGGGATGCTAAGGTGGTGATCGACAAGATTCTGCAAGCAGATAACAAGGATAGCCGAATGGGTGTGATTCTGGAGGAGGTTATAGGCTACCTTTCGGCTCATCGTGGTTTAAGTGTGCGATTTGTAGGTCGTAGGAACAATCGGGTGGCCCATATGGTGGTCAAGAAAGCCCTTTTATTGTACCCGGCTGTAAGTCACTGTTTTGATTTCACTGGCTGGCTTCAAGCCAGGATGTAACTATCGTTTCTATCAATATATCTAATTATCTTTGGTAAAAAAAAAAAGAAGGTTCCATATCCCATTCTTGATCAGTGGAGGAAACTAATGGGTGAATTTCATATAAAGTGGTAGCGCGGAATGAAAGTTCATTGAATAGTTTTGTCTGATATTGATCGAGTTGAAGCCAATTTTGTTGGGTTTTGATAAATCCGGGTGAAATCCTAAACGAGTGTGTGGTGGGATTTAGGTCCGAGACAACCCCCCCATTTAACGACCTTGGGAGAGGGCCTCCCACGTCGAGATGACAATGGACCGATAAAATATTCAATAAAGCAGATACATAAAAAAATCGATAAAATTCATTGGGTTTTAAAAGGAAAACTCAACTCAATCTAACTAGTACTATAATGGCCCGTTCACTTGTCATTCCGTTTCTTATAGATTTCTCAACAGAAAACAAAATAAAATGAAAACGAAACAAAATTCCATAAATATATTACCATAAAGACTACAACATCCATAAATTATCCATATTGATTAGACACAAAACGATGTCGTTTTACTTTCAAGGGTGTGAGTATGGTGTCAAAATTCAACCCGCCAATTTTAAAAAGCGGGTAAAACCTGCACGTGAGCCAAAACCAGTCAAAACTGAGTCTTACCCCCTTTGACCATATTGGGTCTGGTGTCCATAGATCCAAATTCAATGGTCAACCCTAGTCCCACACAATCATACAAAAATCAATGTTGGATATGTGAATCTAACAAGCAAATAAAATGAGTTCCACCCCTTATGAGCTAAATAATCAGGAAGGAAATAAGCTTTCTGATACACATGAGAAATAGTAACCTTCCAGTCACGGACTACCAACGTACGTAAGGAATGAATCAAGTTCGCATATTGGTTATCCACCGACCCTGTAGTCGAAAAGAGGGTCACTATAGTAGCAAAGTCTGTCTGAAGGGTGACGAGATAATAGCCACCATCCCAAGAGAACTCCAATCCATAGTGCAACCCAAACTTATGTGCGAGTGATCGTGCATTTTTTCACATAAATTGTGTAGGCTCACTAATAAGCAATCCTGCTAGGCTCTAAGCACACCTTCTGCAGCGATAGACCCCAATAGTCTTAACAACGATCTATTAGAGTTTAATGTGGTTCACTTTGTCTGGGCCGATTTTCATGACACCATGATCAAGCTTCGACGAGGCTTCAACGATGATTTTCAGCACTAGTTTATTAGGAGCTTTCATAGTGTCCGAGAAAAAATAGATCGTCCCGGAAATTCCAAAGGAACCAGCATGCAAGCCAAATCATACATGATGCGGCGAGCTAGGAAGATGTGATTCATCCAAAAAAAAACAAATTAGGAAACGGTGATGCTGTAGTGTCCAGCAGTATCCGTTGCTAGACCTCTCTCGCCCGTGGGTAGTCTCGCATAATATTTCCAATGGTCTCCGCAGTAGTAACCAGTAAGCATCATGGACAATGAATGGAACCCGCAATGTCTCGTCGTCTTCCCTCGACATTGGTGAGCAGACGGTTATGTGAAGTTATCTATAGGAAGGTCACAGCTTCTACGGTGCTCTGATCTCGTCAAACTCTTCACAATAAAAAGATAAATATATAAAAGCCTAATATATCGTTCTTGCTATAGAGAAGACAATTTTTTCTATTTCTACATCTAGGATCTACTTGTAACGCACTAACGAAAAACCGCTTCCAGTTTGCAGCTTATGAAAGTCTGTCCTTTCATCACAGGCATCGGGGTGATCCGCTTCGGGACAACCTCAGCCACATGGGCACTGGTAATCCTTATAGTAATGAGGTGAGCAAATTAATTATTAATATTTAATTTAATATATAAAAGCCTAACATTGGAGTTACTATTCATTAAGTGAATATCTATTTAAAGTTGTAAACTTTTTAAAAATTTTGCCCTAAATTAACCACACAGATGATTCTACCCCGCTTGCCCTAATCCCTAAAATGGCAGTCGTCGCCCTAAGAAATCTCCATTCCCCGTCACCGCCGTTCGCCCTAGGATTCTTCCCCCGTCCCCAGAATCTCCATTCCCCATCGTCGCCGTTCGCCCTAGGATTCTTCCCCAGACGCCGAAATCTCCATTTCACCATCGTTGTCGTTCTCCATAAGATTTTTCCCCTGTCGGCGTTGTAGAGCCAAGGAGGAAGGAGAACGTTGGCGTTGCTGCCCTGCCACCGAGTCAAGTAGGAAGGAGAATCCAAATTGTTGTTCCCATGTCCCTCTGGAGACGCTCCATTATCTACCTTGGCTACACCACCACCTTTGCTGCCGCCCGGTTCTGTTAGATCCTTCTTTGATCCTTTGGGGCGAGATTACAGTTAGCGCGGCGACCGTTGATGACGGTAGTAGCGTCCTCAAAGGGCTTCTTTGTAGCTTTGGCTCCGTGAAAGTCACCTGTGGTCTTGATTTTAATTAATTAGATGAATAATTAATTCATTGGAGGAATTGGAATAGAAGGGAAGGGGATTGGGGATTGCCGGTGAGCTTATCGGAGATGATGACGACCTCCAGGATCAGCCCAGCGAACAGGGTAGATGGTAATTGGCCATGGGAAATCTTTTTGAACGGCCAAGTAAGAAGGGTATGCATGTATTTGCACTCGAGATAAATTCTTAGGGAGACGAATATTACCTCTCTTTCTTAGTGACTCCCAAACTTCTCCAAGTGCAAGTGGGGAAGTCTCAAGTCCTTCTTTTATCCCATTCTCTTATTCTATAACCTATGTGTTCATCTATTACCTGTCGGTTCTACATCTATTTCTCATTAGGTTTCCCATATTAGTTATTACTTATTAGGTTTCCCATAATAGTCTACTAGTTTTCATCTATTGTCTACTAAGTTTTCATCTATTGTTCATTGCTTTCCCTGTTGCAACAATTATTCATTACGATTTCTTCTATGATCTTTTGGCCAAATCATCGTCTTGGCCCACCAATTCGCAACCATCTCGAAACATTATCGACAAAATCATAAATTGTCCTCCTCCACCGTTTGCCACGACTGCTACTGAGGATCCATACCGTCTATTATGCACAATCATCGCATTCGCCCAATAATGCACAACCCTTCTCCAAACATTCTCGGTGAAATCCTAAGTTGTTACCCATCCACCGTATCCCAAGATCGCTATCGAAAATCTGTGTGTTCCCGAATTTTGTATCATGACCGAGTCTCATATTCTTTAGTGTTTTCTTATCCCTCCTTTTCATTTTCTTTAAGCATGACAATTGAACTCAAACTCATGGATATCCAACATAATTCGACTAGGTCAAAGCGACTTTGAACCTGATTTTAGTATTTTTAAATTTCTAATTTTTCCTTTCGTTGAGAATGACAATTGAACTCACACCCATGGTATTGACGAGTTTTGTATCAAGAGCGAATTTTATCTGCTTTTGGGTCGAGTGTGAATTTGTTAAAAACTCAATTCGACCCAGTCCAAGTGAGCTGAATATGGTGTTGACAAGTTTTTTATCGAAAGAGAGTTTTGTCCGCTTTAATATTTTTTTATTTCTCTTTTTCCTTTTGGTTGAGAATAACAATTGAACCCGGACCTAGTGCTGACGAGTTTTGTATAGAGAGCTTGTTTTATCTTATTTAAGAATTGACATGTTTAGCTGACGTCTAGAGTTTTTGGTAGGGAGCGAGTTTATCCGCTTTAGTGGTTTTTTATTTATCTTGTTACCTTTGGTTGAGAACAAAAACCTATGGGTATCCAACCTAATACAACCTGATCAAAACAAATTGAACCCGGTTCTTACAAGTTTTCGGGCGGGAGTGAGTTTTATTCGCTTTTGTAATTGGCGGGTCGGGTCGGTTGTGAATTTGTTACAAACTCTGTTCAACTTGTTCAAAGAGAGTCGAACATAATGTTCCCGAATTGTGGGTCGTGAGCGAGTTTTATCTGCTCTAGGTGTTTGTTAATTTCTCTTTTCCTTTTTCGTTGAGAATGAAATTGAACCCAGACCCATGAGTTCAACCTAATTCGACCCGCCAAAGTGAGTTGAACCTGCTCAAACTTGCGATTAGTCTCGAAAATCCATAAAAAGGAGAATCAAGATGGACTTAAAAAAAAACAAAGCAAAAAAAAAAATACAAATTAGAGAGAATATTAAACATTGGGGTCGTTTGTTTTTTTGTGATTGTTTGGTTGAGATAGTTACAATACATGCATTGTCCACAATGCATTGTTTTTTTTTTTTTTTTGAATTTTCTTCATAAACAATACATGCATTGTTTTGTTGATGTGATGGAATCTATCACTCAAAATGAGTGATAGTAATATCTCTACTAAAACTTGAGATTGTTGAGATAGTTTTTGGGAGATTGTTGGGTTTCTTTTTTGTTCCAATTATACCCCTAGTTATATATATGCGTTCTAATAAAAAGCAAGGGCAAAAGTGACCTTTCCCATAAAAAGTTTATTGAATACTAAACTAATAATCTCCAAAACCAAACAATGCAAAGTACATAACATCATTTTGCTCAATCACACTTCTCCCTTATTAAAGTTCATCTCTGGGTCAACTACATGGAATTGTAGATGACAAGCTCTTTAATTTTGGATCAAAATTCAAACTATCAATTTTTAAAATATTATGTTCTCGCTCACACACGAAGCAAAAGCGAGCGAGCTTATACTAGTATTAACAGAAAGCAGAATAAGTAGAGTGGATTGCTCTGGCTCTTCGCTGGAAACAGAGATGCAGGACTGGATATACCTCATTAACCAACATCCTTCTTGCAACTCTAATCCCTCTCATTTGACTAACTGGTACGTTTCCATGAAAATAAAACAGCATCGATTCAGCTGCGTCGAGCGCGATCCAACAATGCATTACATCCAATATATAAAAAAAAAAAAAAATTCCTAATGCAGAAGTGAAAAAAGTCTAAGGCGTGCAATTTTATAATGCATTGTCGTCTGCACTGAAGTAAAGCTGTATGGAACAGGGTAACTAAAGCTAAAAGCTCAAGCACGGAAAATGTACAGCACATTTATGTGTCGTATAGGAATGACGTTTTAACAGTGTACATCCCTTGTTTGTTTGAGAAACATCAAATTAAACTGTACCTAGACATCTATGTTGTCAGCTCCAGTAATCACCAACCACAGAATAAGCTTTTAGCTATGAAGCAGAGGAACAGTATGCATAATTGCTCGCCGTGGAATTAGCTATTACGCCGTGCCTGCAATTCAACTGTCTCCAGGTGGAAAACAAGTTGCCATAAACATGCAAATCAAAGGCAATGTAAGTGTATGTTATCACCACCAAATCCAAGATAGTCTGTCTAACAACTCTACCTGAATCGGTGAATCCTCCCTCTGCCTCTCATATTCTGCTGATATCGCGACCAAACACCATGGTAGTAAGCCAGTTAACAGCAACGTAAAACCGGTTCCTCCAGCTTATCACCCGCGTAAGATATGCTGACCGCCATATGAACCAGCTCAAGAAACCAGCCAGGGATATCCCTTTACCTTCCTGTTCGAAAGCAAACGGAAAATGAGTGCCCCCATCAGGTGACATGGATTTGTGCTGTGTGTTAAAAGCTCTACAAGTGAAGAAAAGAAAAGAGAGAGAGCAGAAGGGTCCTGACTTTGCTCTGTCTAAGATCCACAAGAGCCTTGTACCGCCCAAGTGTAGCCATGCTTCCCAGATGCTTGTACACAAATGGATCCCCAAGGTCTACTTCCGCTCCACTGTTTGCACGCCCTCCTCCCGCTTTGCCAATTCTATTCAGTAGACCCGCAAGATATTTTCCCTGCCGCTCTGCAACCTGCTCTATCCAAAAAATCACCAGCTGAGAATCTGGCAGCCAACACTGAAGAGCCAGTGCAAAAAACTCGATATTAGATGCTATGGTTTGTTTAGCGCTCACCTGGGCTAAAGCGGGCAGGACTGGTTTACCAGTGCTTTCTACAAACCCACTGCAGTCACCAATTGCATACACATCCGGCACATTGGCTACCCGCAGCCACTCATCAATCCCGATTCTATAAGCAAAGGGGAGGTAGTCGAACAATTTATCAAGAGCTTACGTACTTCAAATCCGGATGCAGTTTCCACTATCCATTATACTTAAGTTGAAAACTTTAGATGACTTAAAGACACTATCTGAAGAAGCAACTAGAAACTTGAGATAGCCAGAGAACCTGTGCATAAGTCACGGAGAATAAGGAAGAGCACAAAACTTACCTTCCACCAGGAGCTTTAGGCAGGTCAAGAGATTTGACAAGAGATGAAGGGCCAACGCCTGTAGACCAAACCAGTAAACCGTATGGAACCTCCATCCCATTGTCAAGAACTATCTTGTCAGGTTCAACATCCTTGACTATCCCACGAACAAGATGAACCCCTGACTGAGAATCAATAGGAATGACAAAAGAAACAATTGATTTATCCAATACCAACCAAACACCAATTATCTCAACCATTAAAGGGATATAACAACTTGTATTTTCATCATTCAAGCAAGCCTGACCTTAGTCAATTGTCTGGTAGCATACCGCCGCAGACGATCATCAAAGGAAGACAAAATCTCATTCGCCTGATGACAACAGAAAACACACTTCAATATTCCTTCACCAATCTATTCTAGCATGAGATTGCAAAACTAAAAGGTCGTTTCTTTTTGTCCTAGAAGTTACATCCCTGCTTTCCTTTTACGTTCCTCTTATCAGAAAGATACTCTAAGATTGAAAACCAACTGGTAAAGCAAAAGGGGACCTCAATCAAAGTAACACGGATGTAATCCTTGACGTGGGCGTGCCTTTGGCGAACATCCCTCATGATGAAATCACTAAGCTCTCCACTGAATTCAACTCCCGTCGGGCCGCCCCCAACAACAACACAGTGCAGCAACCTGCTCTTCTCTTGCTCTGTAGTGCCTGTAGAACAATCCGAGTCAACAAGTTTCAACACAATCCAGCAGAAATTACACTTCAAGGTTTCAATTTCCTACCTGGGACATCAGACAGCATCAAATTCAGGAGCAGCCTCCTCCTTATCTCCTGGGCATGATGAACTTCTCTGAGGAAAATCGCATGTTCTTTCACACCATGGATGCCAAACGTCAAGGCCTCAGCTCCCAAGGCAATTACCAATTTGTCATACGAAATGTTGAACTTCCACGGGTCCGGCGTGTTGGGTCCATCAGTCACAGTTTCACAAATCACCTTTCAATGCAAAAACCCGAACTCCTCTCAGCATCCAACTTCAAATTGAGCAAAACAGTCTTAGAAAAAGAAAAAAAAAAAAAGCAGGCGTACCCGGTGGTTCTTAGCGTCGATCCCCTTGCAATTGGAGAGAAAGAAATAGGATCCGGGTTCCCTCGAAATTGCGGGTTGGATCCGACCCACGGGCTCGGCAACCGACCTGAACTCCAGGGTCCCGACGCAAGTGGAGGCCAGGAGAGGCGTGAAAACCATGTGATTCCTCGGCGAGACGCACACGACGTCGTAGATGCTGGTATCGATTCCCTTCATCAGCCGGCAGCCGGCCCATCCGGATCCGAGCACCACCACCCTCGGCTTCTCGCCGCCCCCGGTGGGCCCCAGGTCTCCGCAGTGGGTCGGAGACTGCGACAGATGCGGCGGAGGACGATCCTCGACGGCAGGGGAGGCGGCAGTGCCTGTGCTGAAGTTTCGAAGCGAGGTCAGCAGCAGAGACGCGGAGGCTACTGGGGCGGTGGGTACGGTTCTGAGTGGCGAAGGCAGAAGCGGAGGCGGCGAAGATTTGGCTGTGGCGGACATTCGGGTCAGGGTCCGAAACCAGGCCATGATTGATCTGAAGAAAAAGGTGTCAAGTTAGGGAATCGGGATTCTGGGATTTTGGACGTAGACCATGAATGGAGAAATTTTCATTAGCCAAGAGTCCAACGGCGGGTGGAACAGCAACATTGAAGGGACTGAGCGGGATTTTGGACGATCGGGGAGGTGAGTCAGCAGCCAGGCAGGACTATTTGATTTCGGTGCGAAAAGGAAACGTGGAAGATTCTTGGGAGGTCTGGCTCCACATTGGAACCCACTCTATCCGGCCGCCGAACTGGCTGTGTAGTGTACTAGTGTTCCATAATTAGGCGAGCGGATCAAGTCAGTGACTCATACGGTGAGTAACCATCACTAATCTGCTCACATTTGCATTACATCAGCATCATCTCTCTCCTGTAAAGTCTTTTATCTTTTCTTCTTTAATCTTTAACGTACGATTTCTTTCTCGTTTTAAGTCGAAATTTAACCTTTTCTTGCACAGATAAATCAGATTAAATGTGCTCTTTAAAATGATATCCACTTTGATATATTTTTAGTACAAAAAATTGAATAATTTTGTACAAGTAATTACCATATGGTATGCTCATATTTAATATCATATGGTAAGAAAGCTCACCATGATGGTATGAACATACCAATATGGTAAGAAGGTTGAATACATGATAGTAGGAGTATACTAACTGTCATTTATGACTTTCATCATTGTTTACCACAAGTTACCACTCACATACCATAGTGGTAAAGTATGGTAATTTTCAGTCCAATATTTTTTTCACCCTGAAATTTGTAGATCCAATAGATCATGATGAACTCGTTCCTTCGGAGCAAACGTTTTCAAAAACGACTTAAAAACAAAAAAGTTACCATATGGTATGTAGTTGGTAAAAAAAAGTTTTTCGACATATATTGAAAATTAATCTCATTTTGTAGAGCACAACGAACTCGTTCCATGTGTGCAAAAAAATTTTGAAATCCGAGTTAAAACGAAGAAGATAAGAGCCGATTATGAAAACTAGGAAAAATAAAATGTCTTTAATTGACAACCCTTAGATCTGGATTTTCTGGGCCCACTTAGATCTAAAGGTCAAGATTTAGTTACTCATAAGTCGGTAACCATTGGTTAACCATTGGTTACTGACCCTATCATAAGCCCATAATTAAGGATGAGAATGAGCGGGTTTGTCTAAACCGACTTAGGAGAGGGTCAGTAACCATTGGGAAAACGGATCAGGTCAGTAACCTTATGGTGAGTAACCATGAGTAACTCGTCCACATCAGCATGACAACAGCATCCCTCTCTCCTGAAAAGCTTTTAATTCCCCTCCCCCCTTCCTTTAATCTTTGACGGATGATTTCACACTCGTTTTATGTCAAAATTTAATTTTTTTTACACAGATAGATCAGATTAATTGTGCTCTTCAAAAATGATATCCACACAGATTAAATTCAGATTTTCCCCTTTAATCTTTAACAAATCTATGTGGGTGGTAACTTGTGGTAACTTGTAGTAAACAAAGATGAAAGTCGTAAATGACAGCTAGTATACTCCTACTATCATGTATTTAACATTCTTACCGTATTGGTATGTTCATACCATCATGGTACGCTTTCTTACCATATGGTATTAAATATTAGCATACCATATGCTAATGACTGGTAAAAAATAACTCAATTTTTTGTACTAAAAATATATCAAAGTGGATACATTTCAAAAGGGCACATTTAATCTGATTTATTTGTGCAAAAAATTTAAATTTTGACTTAAAACGAGAGAGAAATCGTCTGTTAAAGATTAAAGGGGAAAAGATAAAAGACTTTCCAAGAGAGAAAGGGATGCTGATGTCATGCTGATGTGGACGTGTTACTCATGGTTACTGACCTGATCCGCTCCCTGCCTCCCTTCTAAACCATCTTCATTCTCGCTTTTAAATATCCAAATTTGTACCCGTCCTATATCTATCTCGAAAGGTTTTGCAAACTCATCCCTATACCTGTGGATTTCCGTCCCGTTCATCTAACATTATAATACCTAAAATTTTACATGTAAATTTCAATTACAATATTAAACGCACCTACTATATTATGAAGCCGACAAAGAGATAATCATTCTTAATACAGTTCAAAACATATTATCCTAAAAAACATTCATTACTTCATAACATATGGTATAATGTAATCCAAATCATAATTCTCTAACTTTGATAAATCTGCTAAGTAGTAACTAACAAACATAATCTTGTTAACACGAGGGAAAAAGTGAATGAGTGAAAAGAGAGTTGAGAAAAAGTTATAAGGTTTTGATTGGGTGGCCACTCAATTGCATTTCTACTATTTATTTTCTTGAGTTACCATCACTATCATTGATAGGTTACAATTTGACTCATGTATTTTTTATGTGCGAAGAAATGCTCATGGTGGGGCGGGAGAGACTAAAATCATACTCACCCCATACCCAAACGTTTTGCATATTTTAACCATACTCAGTCAATGTGGGGATTCTCGAGATTGACTAAATCAAGGGTGGTCGACTACCCGTGGTCATGGGTTTATTGTTATTCCTATTTATAATTAAATTTGGAACCTTAGCTTTGAGTGGACGCAGAAAAGTTCAGGTTTAAGAAGTAGAAATTAATAAATATTTTCTTTTCTCTAGTTTTCTTAATCGGCTCTTATCTTCTTCGTTTTAACTTGGAATTCAATTTTTTTTGTACATATGGAACAACTTCTTTGTGATCTACAAAATGAGATCCATTTTCAATATATTTTGACACAAAATTTCATATCACTCGTTACCTGCCCTGACCCGCCCCATTCTCGACCCGTTCTTGCCTAAATTACATATAATCTTAGTCAAATTACTTAGGATTCTCCTCCTATTACATTATATTTTAGCTATAATAAAGTTGTAATTAAGTGAAAATCTCAATTTCTTCAATAATTTAACTAGATTTTATCATATTATCGTTTCTTTCTTGGTCTTTTAATGAAAATAACTAATATTTCTAATGTTTTTTTTTACATAAATTACATACCCATTGGGTCGACCTGTCCCGACCCGCGCCCCGTAATAAATTACCCGACCTGCCATGGACGGGTATTGATATCGAGATACCCGTCCCGGACTTGCCCATTGCCATTCTTACTGATGTGGCTGCTCGTTTGTTTTTTTGTTGTTCTCACAAAAGAAAAAGGAGAAAATTTTTAGTCCAACTCCTAATTTAACCTCAATGGCTCTTTTCGTCTCTAACAACTATTTTTTTTTCTTCAAATAACTCTATAAATAACCACATGATGGAAGATTACAATGACCAAGTTTGAGAGTTTATTTATAATCTTTCTTAAGAGATTCCATCTGCAATAATATTATCAAGGGTGATGACACAACTCCTACTGTTTAAAGTTGAGTGAACAGTTGATAACACAACTATTCTATCAAAGTTGGATGAACAGATGGTGGCTCAACTCATCCTAATAAACATGTGATGAATCTATGAATACATTAGCTAGTTATTGCATTTTTTTCATTGATGAGTTTTTACTTAAAAGTATCGTCAACTAGACCCAACTCAGTTTTAAACAAACAATATGGTCCTTATTTTTATGTGTGAGTTTGAGTTTAGAATTTTTGAAACCGTGGTATATGGGTGGGTGATTAAAATGATTAAACAAGGACCGCCCGGCCCATGTACACCCCTAGCTTTAGAGAACTTGACGTATGATTTACGAGGTTTCTTGTATACTTTAGTAAACTTGAGATATGCTTTATGAGGTTTATAGTATGCTTTAGGAAACTAGTGACATAGTTTATGAAGTTTCTAGTATGCTTCAAGAAACCTATGGTATGCTTTTATGAGGTTTCAGATATGATTCAGTGAATTTGTGGTCTGTTTTATGAGGTTTTTTTTATCTTCTTTAAAAACTTGTGGTATGCTTTATGAATTTTTTGATGTTCATGTTCTGGTATGTTTTATAAGCTTTTTGGTCTACTTTATGCTATTTGTAGGGATGTTTGTTGCTAAAACGACTAGGCATGCCTAAGCACTACTAGGCGTTGGGCAGTGGCACAACGCCTACCTAGCGCCTTCTTGAACCTTGGTATTCCTGGTTTTTGTTTTGTGATATGCTTCATGAATTTTTAATCATGCATTTCAATGTGTAGCGTGTTTTCAATATTTTCATGTTTGAAAAATGAATTTCCATGAATATTATTGTTCGAAAAAATTTTTAATTATATAATAAAAATTCTTAAATGTAGGAATTTTTAAAGTAGAAGAAATTATCATAAAAAAATTGAAGTAGTTAATTGAACTAATTTGAAAGTATAGGACTAAATTGTCTATTTTGTCAAATAAAAATGATAAGTGTAACAAAAACTATAGATTCAAAATTGCATCAATTTACGGGAACGCATTACACTAACCAATGGGCTATTCATCTGTAACAACTTTGCACATGGTATATTTTAAATGCAGTTTAGTTTATACGACAGTTTCTCGAATCTTGGTGGACAAATTAAACAATAAAACCGCCCCTGATAAATTGTGTTATGCATGTCGATTTCAACTGGTCTCACTGATGCTTTACTCTCTTGTGTTGTATTGGATGTCGATTTTCATTTTACCTAGGTAATTATTAGATCAAATTTTCAAGAACTTTCTGGACTTTCTGTGGTTTGGGGATGGTTCAGGTAAGGCAAAGCTTGCATGAAATTTTTCATCTACTCCGAAGAAAGAAGGTGGTCTGAGATTGAGAGATATATCCACATGGGAATATTGCTGACATGGGTCGTTTCCTCTTTTTTTTATTCATGTAGGGGGATAAGTTTTTGGGTGGTATGGATTCGACAATTCAGGATGAAATGCAGCTTTGTCTGGAATTTATCATCCACACATATTGGTTCATGGCTATCGAAGTAAGTTTTGAAGTCACGGACTTGGGAGTTCAGAGGAATTAGCATGTATATGAATTTTGAGTAGGTTACTTTGATAGTTATTTGGCTGTGACGTAGTCAAATTGTGGACTTTGTACTAGATTTTTTTAGTCTTGATCTATTGACCAAGTGGGCTTAATAGAAAGACTAATTGCAAAAATAAAATCCTCAAATCCTAAACAATTATGTATGTAATTTCAAAATTTTCAGGGGTCCTAAGAGATCACCTAGGTCTGCCTCTAATAGAGGTCTGCCGTTATGATTTGCTTTAAGACAATGATTAATATAGGGGCTTTTGAGGACTTGCACATCTGACCTCAAGGACAAACAAACTCTGATACCGTATCATAAACCTACAGTGTAGTTGCAACATCCACGCATTGTTCCAACTGGAAACCTTACATTGCTTCATAAAAAGTTTGTCATTGCACATGGAAATGTAGCCGCTAAACCAAAGAGATGTGTCCCTTTATAGAATCAAAACATTTGATTTGACCAGTCTAATCCCAGACCGATTTGTTCAGTCCAATCTTAAACCAGTTTGACCCGATTAGGTCGATACTTGCCACCATGGAGTATACGAAATAGGACACATGAGCATCAGCTTGATCATCGTCTTATATGGGAAGGGGACACTGATGACTTGATATATACACACGTTTTTGTCCACCATTCTTATGCCGTCTGAGCCTCATTTCTCGTATCGAAGGCCAATTTCATGCTAGGTTGTTCTTGTTTGTGATATTTCAGCTCTAGTACGTGATTGGAGGTTTGGGAACGAGTTCGGGGTCGATTGGACGAAGGTTGGACGTTTGGCGAGAAGCCGAGGAAACCACACGGCCGTGTGGCGTGGCCATGTGGAATTCAATTGCGCGGGCAAACCACACTGGCCGTGTACCGGGTCCCTTAAGGCCGTGTGGAAATCACAGAGATGTCACACGGGCAGGCCGAGATTTCACACGGCCGTGCAGTTCTGGCCGTGTGACGTGCATGAGACCATTTAAGTGAAACGCAGCGTTTTCACCTCCACACGGGCAGCTGGGATTTTCACACGGCCGCGTGTTCGGGAAATTATTTCGGGTCTTTTGGAGGGGAATCTACTTTTTGAGAAAAAAAACAGAGCTTTAGAGACAGAAAGTGCGAAAAACAAACCGCAGGAGCTATTTGGAGTGAATTTCTAGCATTGAAGCCCAGATTGCATCCCCAAGAGTGAAGATCGACATCCGAGAGCTGATTATCCCCATCTTTATGAGTATGACCGCTATGATTTTTGTTTTCCTCTCTCTCTCTAGGGAGTAGAACCTTCTCTCACTTGGGTATGAAGAACCCTAGTTCCATGTGTTAGGAATCTTGATTGTAATGACTTTGGTTTGATATACTGATTGATTTTAATCGATTGATGCATGATTCATTGAGTCAATTGAAGCCTGATCATCTTTTCTTGATTTCTGCTGCAACATGAGATAGATAGAATCTGATTAGGTTGTTAGAGCTTCATCAATCGGTAGTGGTAGATTGGTTATACGAGGTTAATCGATTTACTGCTTTGTACTGGAATCCAATTCCATTAGTGGAGTTCTGCTTTTATTGCCTCAGCAGTCTATCCCGGTGAAGGCTAGTCGCCTGCCGGTTAGTCTGCCTGAGAGGGCTTGGTCAGCTTAAGAGATTCCAAGCTACTATCGGATCTTCCACAGTTTAATCAACAGTTAATCAACCCAGGGTAATTACAACCTTGACCTAACTAAGAAGCTAGGGGGACTCATTCCCGAGTGACTCTTCCCTTGCTAAAGAACTTTGAACCATTTCCTGCTTTCTTACTACTTTTACTTAAAATCACAATCACTCGACTTAGTTTGCTAGATAATAGATAATCACGGAGTAGGCAGTAGATCTAGACCCCGGGTTGAAAAATAGAACTTGCCACTAGTCTGGATTTTCGGACTGCGATTACACTTGGTCGCATTTTGGTGTTGTGTTTTAGCGTGCCAGACACCCACACTTGTCAATATATTCAGTAGCATATAATAAAATTACAAACGGAAAAGGAAGAGCAAGATAGATAATCAGGTTAAGGACGAGTTATTAGTAAGGGAAACGAGCGGCTTGAACACAAAGTTCAGAAAACCAAATCAGAACCAAAGTGAAAGACCATTATTATTCTTAGTTAAATCACATGCATAATCCTCCCTCCATATATAAATTACACATATTATCTTCAGTGATGTTCTGCTAAAGGAGGAGGGCTTGGTACTGGAGGAGGCTTTGGTACTGGATCAATAGGCTTATAATCCTCAAGTTGTGGGTCCGTCTCAGTTGAAGGAGGATGATGGCAAGGATGACCTGGTTCATGGCACGGATTGGCGCCTGGAGGTGCATAATACTCCATCCCTGCAAGGTCCATCCACGAAGGGTGAGTCAGGGCCTAAGATCAAGCCGAAAGGCATAGTCGATGGACAACATGTGAATATTCTTGTACTACAACATGTGAATATATGTACTTACCGGAGATGGGGATTGAGTTGAGAGCAGCGCAAGCAACTGTTGCAAAGGCAAACAACATACAGACGATAGCATAAACGAAACCCATTGACTTGTTTCTGGGTTTCATCATGGATTGACAATTTAGAGCAGTGAAAAAGGAAGGTGGGGGAGGAGGATGGATGGAAATGATTGAGTAGTTCATCATTTATATACTATACAAGATGGAGTGAAAATAATGAGAATTTACGATTTTAGGATATGCAATGCAATTATTGAGTCACTATAAGGAAAATAAGTGATTAAGAAAAACTAGTTGTGATTGTAACAATAAATGTTGTGGATTTGGATACTATTTCTCAAGAGAGTCATTAATAAATGAAATCAAACTTTGATTGTAAGATTCAATGCTCAGGATTTGGATACCTATATTTAAGAAAGTAATTCATTAAGAAGGCTTACTTTTTTAAAAAGAATTATATTTATTTTCAATATTTTTTGAGAAGGAAATTTTAACATTGTATCATCATAGACTATTTTTCATACTACTATAACATATACTAAAATCAATGAGATATAGTCTATTAAAATTTAAAGGGGGAAGTGTTTATGCACTTGATTTTCTCCTTACATGCTACATGTGACATCAATCCAATTTTATTTTGGTAGCAACATCAATCCAAAAACATTTCTCAATAATTAGGATTTATATTAAGCTCACTTGATCAATACATCAAACCTTAAAATAATTAGGACAAAGTCCAGAATTGGCTACATCACCTGTCAAAACTCCTCAAACCAACCTAAAAAATACATATAAACTTTCCTACTCCTCACTAAACTCACCATTGCCCATGACAAACAACACTGCTTCATTATTGAAGCAAAGCAACAAGTCTGTCCAATCAAACTTCTTCCTCCAAAACACAACCACATCTTTCTTTCAATAAGAAAATCACTAATCAACACCAAAGTTCACAGTAGATACGACCAAATGCATCCCTGCTCCTACTGCAGAACAGGCTTGTTGTAATTCCCCATCCCGTGTATGCAACCAATTTTGTCATGCTTGCAGACTAACAAAAACAACATACAACTATCTAGAATAATTATAGCCTTCAAATAAACAGTCTCTTCTCAAAATTATCAACCAAACAAGAAACATGTATTTTGGAATGATGAATTTATTCCACAAGACTTTCCACCAAGGCACCTATGGTCTATGTACCCTAATTGTTTCCCAAACCTACTCACTGTGTATTTCACAAAGGGTTTTCCCTCCCAAGTACATTTTCCGCAGTGTCAACATCCATTTGAAATTGAAATCAACTTTGAAACTTGAACAATTGCATCCAAATCCAACGAACCTACAAAAGTTGCTCGTAAAATCCACACAACTTGGCCGTTCATCCTATAGTGAATAATCCTTGTCACCAAACACTACCTCCATACATGAATAATAGCCAGACTGGCCTCCCTAAACAAGTCACATTTCATGTATATAAATCTTTAATCCCAACCCTCCCTCTTTCTTCTTAGTAGCTAGGTTATACCATGAGACCTTTGCCTTCCCTGACTATCGTCATACCATATAAATTATGAATTAATGTTATGAAATCTGATCCAATATCTTCTTAGAAAAAATGGAAATTGACATCCAATACTGCACCAAGGAATAAAGCACAAAGGAGACCAGCCGAATTTGACATGTTTAAGTCAACCTTTTTACATGCGAGGATCAAATTCTACTAGACATTATACCCAATAGCACCTCACTGTCCTTTCTTGTGAGCATATCATATATTCAGGGGAGCACAAGGTACCTTACTAGAAGAATACTATCTTTGAAACTAGTGACAGATAAATCATTATGCTTAAAAACAGTAGTTAACCCCTCCAAATATAACTTCACACTTATTTGGATTGCAACTCAAACCATATATAAAGTAAAATTGTTCCAGATTCCTTTTCACATTACTGAGGAAAGTAGCTGAACCCTCACTAAATGTCAACAGAATCTCCGCAAAACAAAGGTGTGTAAGATCCATTGTCTTACATTGAGGGTGATAGGAAATATGCGCCAACTGTGGAGCCATATCTAGCATTGGGAGCCACAATGAACAAGTATGGGCACAATGGGTCGCCTTGCCTCACAGTCTTCTTGACTGGGCAATAACCAAACAATGAAAAGTGGACGTTAATGCTAAAATATGAAAAACTAAGACATGCTCGAATCCATTCAATATAAGTGCTAGAAAAAATCAGGGCCTCCATGATAACACCTAAATTGGTGTTATTTATCCTCCATTCATATGAGAACGTTGCATAGCATAGAAGCAAGAAGTTAAAGAGTTTCATAGGTTACGACCACGGATACACCCTTAACCTACAGGCTGTGACCGTCTTCCCTAACGTAAACTCAAGGCTTTGATCCCAAACTTGAAGATGAAAGTATGAGGTACTTCCCATTTACTATGGAGGGGCAAGCCAAGGAGTGGTTGGACACTCGACCTCCAGGCTCGAACACCATATTCGCCAACCTGGCGGACAAGTTCCTCACCCGCTACCACCCTACGTCCAAGACGACGGACCTGCAGAAGCAAATCTCCCACTTTGCTCAGGATGAAGATGAGACCATCCGGGATGCTTGGGAAAGATATACCAGTCTTTTCCTCAAGTGTCCCAACCAAGGTTTTACTGACGCCTTCAAGGTGGGCACCATCTACCATGCCCTCTTCCTGGAAGACAAGCAGCTGATTGACTCGGTTTGCGGCGGGAATATGCTCACCAAGACACCGCCACAGCTGAATCAACTCTTTGAAGAGATGGCAGAGCAGGTATATGATTGGGGAACTGCGAGGAGATCGAGACGAGGACCAGGGCGGGGTGTGCATGTTGTAGCCACCCAGTCATCTGATATGGTGCAGGTGGTATCTAAACTAGTTTCAGCCATCGATCGCTCTGGAATGATTTCAGGTACATGCCAGTAGCAGGCGATGCACTGCTAGTGGTGTGAAAGCTCCCATCACACCGTGGAGGACTGTCAGGCGATGAGGGAGTCGTCTACTCCCCATGAGTAGGTGGACTTCATCGACAATGCTAGGCGTTTCGACCCCTACAACAACACTTACAACGAGGGGTGGCGCCAGCATCCCAACTGCTCCTGGGTTGGGGCCAATCCTAGACCACCAGTCTCCCAGAGACCGCCAGGCTTCCAGAGGCCTCCTAACCAGCCCAGACAAGGGCAATTCCAGCAGAAACCTCTTTACCCGCCCTGACAGGGGCCAGTTCCTCCTCAGTCACATGTGCGGCCATTTCACCAGTCAGGTGTAGCCCCCGTAGCCCCAGTACAGAGTGATCCGATGGCCGATTTGCGAGTTCTTGTGGGTTCTCTGGCCACCTCTAGTGCGAACAAGTTCAGTAATATCGAGCAGTTCATGGAGAAAGCTTCAAGTAAATTCATAGAGCTAGAAGCTGGCCAGAGAAACACGCAGGCTGTGCTGCGAGATATCCAGACCCAGCTTGGGAGTGTGGCACAAGCTGTAGCCCAGAGGACGCCTGGTACTTTACCCGGTCAGACCATCCCTCATCCGCAGGACCCAAATGAGCACTGCAAGGCCATTACTACTAGGAGTGGCAAAGTGACTGCTGACCCACCTGTCCAGGCACGACAGGAGAGAGAGACACATGTTTCAACACTTCCAGCTAATGAAGAGGAAATGGAGAAGGAGGTTGAGGTGTCTGCGCCTAAGCCACAACTAGTGGTGAAGGAGTATGTACCGCAACTTCCCTTTCCTACTCGGTTGCACAAAGACCGACTGGAGACTGAGTTTGCCAAGTTGATGGCAATGTTGAAGCAGGTAAACATCAATATGCCCTTCGTGGAGGCATTATCGAAGATGCCCAAGTATGCTAAGTTCATGAAGGATGTCCTCACCAACAAGAGGAAGCTAGGGGAGAGAAGCGCAAAGACCCAGGGTGTTTTACTATCCCTTGCATGATTGGTAGTTTGCATATAGGAAAGTCCTTGGAAGATTTAGGCGCTAGCATAAATGTCATGCCATATAAACTGTTTAAAAAGCTAGGCCTAGGTGAACCCAGTAATACTAGGATGATCATTCAATTTGCTGATAGATCCCTTGTGCATCCTAGGGGCATTGCAGAGGAGTTGATAGTCGCAGTAGGGCCATTCTCATATCATGTTAATTTTGTGATTCTTGATATAAATGAGGAAGTGGATGTGCCTTTAATACTGGGTAGACCTTTTCTCGCCACCGCCAAGGCGCTTATTGATGTGAATGATGGAAAGTTGATTTTGAGGGCTAGGGGTGAACAAATAACCTTCTCTGTTTTTGATAATATGAAACACCCCCAGCTCCATGATGATCTAGACTACTGTGATGTTATTGCTGATTTCGAGACCGCACTCGCCATCACGAGTGCGGGTACTGACGATTTCCTCGAGCGTATTCTTTTGCTAGGGGAACTGGCATCGCAGGAGTTGCAGCTCGCAGAGCTAGACGAGGCTGCGATCGAGAGCCGAGAGAAACCATTTAAGTCGATCCCTATCTCGCCCCGGATCACCATCATTGGAGGAGCCACCGGAACTGGAGCTTAAGCCCCTCCCCTATCACCTGGAGTATGCATTTCTCCGGGAGGGGAATAAGCTCCCGGACATTATCAGCTCGGACCTGACACCCGAGCAGAAGAGCAGGCTGGTGGCGCTGCTGCAGAAGTATGCCCGGGTCATGGCGTGGAAGATAACAACCATCAGAGGCATTAGCCCATCCTTCTGCTCCCACATAATTATGATGGAGGATGAGGTTAAGCCAGTCAGGCAGCCACAACGGAGATTGTCTCCTAATTTGGAGGCAGTGGTCCGGGCAGAGATTGTGAAGTTAATGGATGCAAGGATCATCTTTGCTATATCTGATAGCAAGTGGGTCAGCCCCACTCAGGTGGTCCCGAAGAAAGGCGGGATGACTGTGGTTCCGAATGAGAAGAACGAGCTGATCCCGATGCGGACCGTGACCGGCTGGAGAGTCTGCATCGATTACATGCGCCTGAACGACGCCACCAGGAAGGACCATTTTCCCCTACCTTTCATTGATCAGATGATGGAGAGGTTGGGTGGCCATGAGTTCTACTGCTTCTTGGATGGCATGTCTGGCTACTTTCAGATACCCATTGCACCGGAGGATCAGGCGAAACCATATTCACTTGCCCTTTGGTACTTTTGCTTATTGGAGGATTCCATTCAGGCTGTGTAATGCACCGACGACCTTCCAGAGATGCATGCTGGCGATCTTCGACCGACTGGTCGGAGAGATCATGGAAGTCTTCGTGGACGACTTCTCGGTTTACGGAGACTCCTTCACCCATTGTCTTCATAACCTGGAACTCATTCTGAAGAGGTGCGAGGAGACTAATCGCGCGAAGATTGAGACGATCAGTAAGCTACCTCCTCCCATTTCTGTCAAGGGGATTCGTAGCTTTCTGGATCACGTAGGTTTCTACAGGCGGTTTATTAAAGATTTCTCAAAGATTGCACTTCCTCTGACCAAGCTGCTGGAGAAGGATGCACCATTCTAGTTCACTCCTGAGTGAACAGCAACATTCGAGACATTGAAGGAGAAGCTTACTCATGCACCCATCATGGTGACTCCTTACTGGTCTCTTCCTTTTGAGCTGATGTGTGATGCGAGTGATTATGCGGTCGGAGCAGTTCTGGGTCAGAGACGCGAGAAGCACTTCTAGCCCATCTACTATGCGTCAAAGACCTTGAACGATGCACAAGAGAATTTCACCACCACTGAAAAGGAGCTACTCGCTGTGGTGTATGCATTTGATAAGTTCCGACCATATCTGGTGCTCTCCCGTGTGGTGGTCTACACAGATCACTAGGCGATTCGCTATCTGATGAGCAAGGCTGATGCAAAGCCTAGGCTCATCCGCTGGATCCTAGTTCTGCAGGAATTTGATATCATGATCCGGGACAAGAAGGGAGCCGAGAATGTTGTTACAGATCATCTATCACGGTTGGAAGCCCATCCGATGGACAGTCGGGCTTCTATTGGCCCTCACTCTTCAAGGATGCAGACACCTTTGCACGACAGTGCGGCCGCTGCCAAAGGTCAGGTAACATTTCTTCCCGGGATGAGAAGCCCCAACATATATCTGTCGTTTTTGAAATTTTTGATGTTTGGGGCATCGATTTCATGGGCCCATTCATTCTATCCTTTGGAAATTTGTATATACTGGTTGCAGTAGACTACGTCTCGAGGTGGGCAGAAGCTCAAGCCATGTCCACCAATGCCGCAAGACGGGTCTGCTCATTTCTGAAGCAGCTGTTCTCCCTGTTTGGGACATCGCGCGCCATCTTAAGTGATAGAGGAACCCATTTTCAAGGGAAATTCAATAAGCTCCTTTCTCACTATGGTGTTAAGCATCAGGTGTCGGTGGCTTACCACCCCCCATCAAAGGGTCAAGCCGAGCTTACGAACCAGGAGCTTAAAAGAATAATCGAACAGACGGTGGATCAGTCCCGCAAGGATTGGTCCACCAAGCTCGATGATGCTCTTTGGGGATATAGGACAGCCTACAAAAACCTGATTGGTACTTCACCCTATAGGCTTGTCTATGGGAAGGCGTGTTATTTGCCAGTAGAGCTAGAGCACAAGGCTCTCTGGGCCCTTAAGCTGCTAAACCTGGATTTGAGTGTTGCAGGTATTGAACGGAAGCTGCAACTGCTGGAGTTGGAGGAATGGCATTACCGGGCCTACAAGAACACCCTACTCTACAAGGAGCAAACCAAGCGTCTCCACGACGCTCGGTTGAGGGGCCCGAAGGAGTTTCAGGTAGGTGATCGTGTTCTGCTCTTCAATGCACACCTGAAACTCTTTCCGGGCAAGCTACGTTCGAGGTGGTCGGGACCCTTCACGGACACCAAAGTTTTCCCGCACGGTGTGGTGGAGATCAACATTGCTCAAACCGAGCCGTTCAAAGGGAACGACCACCTCTTAAAGTTGTACTTGGGAGGTGATGTCGAGCGCGCAGATCTGCTGATCAAGCTCGTGGACCCTTAGTTCCTCTACTGGCGTCCAGCTAAAAGACGGTAAAGAAGCGCTTGTGGGGATGCAACCCCACCTAGGTTTGTATTTCCTTTCCTTTTTCTTTTTAATTTTTGTATTTTTGAGTCTTGAAGTGTTTTCCATGGTTCGGATGTCGCTTTTGCGCGAAAACATGTCGAATCCAGGGCTCTGGAATTCCACACGGCCAGGCCTAAATTCTGAACGGCCACGTGGAATTTCCCTTTAGTTGTGTGAAGCCCCTGAATTTCCACACGGGCAGAGGGGGGCCGCTACACGGCCGTGTGACAGACTCGGCCAGCCCGAGTGGAATTCTCGGCGCCACACGGGCAAAATCTGCTCCACACGACCGCATGGACCTGCCCGTGTGGTAGCCCGTGCGGCTATAAAAGTTGTTGCTCGGCCATGTCGGCCAGAAATCCACTTCCCCCTCGCCGGAAAACCGCGACCTTTCACTTTTTTGGCATTTCCCTCAATTTTGGGGCGATTTGGGCTGGTTTGGGTCACCGGAGGCGATTTCCGGCGAGACTCCGGCAAGGCTCTGATGAGAACTTTCTGGGCAGAATTTCGAAATTTTGTCGACACCATTGCCTTCCCCTCGTCACATCCTACACCTCTACTTGTGTCTCCAGGTTTGATATTGCCCTTTACCTTGTGAATTGTGGAGAATTGGGTGTTAGGTGTGTATTTAGGGAACTTCATTGAATCTTGTCATTTGATTGAAATTGATTGAGGGGAAGGCTTGGTTTATGTGTGGATTGTGTTGGGCAATGTTCCCCTTGCTTGATTGAGCCCTTGTGTGCTAGGAATTTGCCCATTCTTTGCTTAACTTAAAAGTGCACACAACGTGTTCGATAAAATGCTAGTTTTTCATACCATGTTGTGGGAGCCAGTTGGGGCCCTTAATGAGTTTTGATGGTGTGTTTTCTATGGATGTGAACCTTAAGTTTCCTACTTTATTGTGAATGTGCACCCCCTCCTTGATTGTGCCCATTTGTTCAAGTTATTTCACCCCAAACTATGGATGAAACTATGGTTCGGCTGTTTTTCTGCTATTAAGTGTGGGGGTGTGATTGACCGTTCCTGTGGCTATTTTGGCTCCACGTTGGTTTGCTTTCTTGCAGAAACATGTCGAAACCAGATCTTAAGCATCTGTTTATCTGTGATTTGAAGAGGGGCCTCCACAAGGATCGGTTTAAGCGCGCCCTGGCATCTAAGTTTGGGAGGCACCACTATTGGTCCAGGAGGGAGTTTGAGACGCTGAATTGCTACGAGCACTTCCTCGCTATGGCCACCAACCGCACATGGAGTCGGCTGTTGACTGTGCGCGTGAAGGTCTACCATGAGTTGGTGGTAGAGTTCTACACGACCTTTCGGCACGAAGAGACCACCGACTGGGCGGACAGCAAAACCGTCAAGTTCAGGCTAGGCGGTGAACCCCGCTCCATGAGCTACCATAACTTGGCAGTTTCTCTCGACCTTGACATGGACGATGACAAGGATTATGTCACCGAGCTCACTAATCCAGGCGGTGTATCCTTCAAGGCTTTGTACACCCGGCTAGCTCAGGCCGGTTAGAACCCCTTCCATGCGGGGCGGATGAAAGCTAGCACCTTGTAGCTCGAGAACCGCATACTCCACCACTTGCTCGCGAAGTCCTTCACTCCAGCGGGGGAAAGTTCCAGCACCCTGACCAGGCGATCCATGTACTTCATCCATTCCATCCGCACGGCGAACCATGATCTCCACCTGGGTTATGTGGGGGCAAGGACTCTGGACAAGAGTGCTATTACTCTGGGGACCCTCCACTGCGCCCCACTCATCACCCGCCTGGAAGCCTATTTCTAGATCCCCTACCCAGGATTGCACAGAGCAGGGGGACACTTGTGTCTTCGGAGAAGACACGATCTCGAAGATGCACCTACTATGAGTCGAGCGTGGCGTCAAGTGGATTGAGGGGTTTCCTGTTCCACCCCTCCCTGCGGAGGATCAACCCGCAGTTCTTGAGGATGTCCCCGATGATGTGGACGCTGTTGCCGCCCACACCGCCCCTTACCAGACCACATATGAGTATGGGGGTGGTAGCTCCACATTTCCATCCCAGGACTACTTCACTCACCAGTTCCAGCAGTTGAATCTCCAGAATCAGCATCTCCTTTAGCATCAGCTTCAGTTCCAGCAGCATTACTCGGCTCACCAGGCCGAGGATAACACCAGGATGGCTGCATATGATGAGCGCCTTGACCGCATGAAGTCCGAGCAGGGGGTGACCCTTGCTCACATCGAGAGGGAGCGTGGCTGGGCTCGTCGTATGCAGGAGGTTCAGCAGCACCTGCTCCAGCTGATACCGGGCGAGCAGCCAGTCTGGAGGACTCCCCACTTCCACCCCCGCCAGCCAGTGATGATGCTTTCATGGACGACATCGACCTTGATAACCTTGGCGACGAATAGTCTGTACTCGTCGCCCCTTCGAGCGTGTTTTTGTATTGGATTTTTCTTGTTTGCTCCATGTGTGTGAGGATCTTGAACTGAGTCTTTTGTGTGTTTTTTTTTCTTTCTTTTATGGATTCTCCACTTTGTGGCCATCTGGGCTAACTTTGATCCCTAACGCACAGTGTGCTAGTGTGTTCTTTATGTTCCCTTTGTGCAGAATTGTTCCGTCATTCCGTCTGTCCCCCGCTGACTGGTCCACTTCCAGTCCCCCCGCAGTCTTTCCTTTCGACAACATCGTTCCCCTTATCCTTCCCTCTGCTCCATTGAGGGCAATGTCAAACTTAAGTGTGGGGTGTGCTTTGTATTCGTTGGAACTTATATATGTGTGCTTGGAGCCTAGTCCACTATCCAAATCTTGAGATTTGAGGGTTCCAAGTACTGCTGTTTGCATGATCATATTGCCACTGTGGGTTTGATTGGTGAATTGAATGGATTTTGAATTAATGCATGACAACTTGATTGTAACTAGGACAACCTATGATGATGTCTGAGACGTGCAGTAGAGTTGTGTAAGGGTTTAGTTTTTCAACTGTTTGCTTACCAATTGTGACTTGGATTGATCACTTCCTCTTGACAGTCGTTTATGCATCTAGTTCAGGAAATCATAATGAGAGATAGAGCATATAGGTAGCCATGTGAGATTTGAGCCTGCTCGTTTCTTTCTTGTGCAATAGATCCCTCTTCCATGATGTGTAGCATTCACGTTGTCACTAGCTAAGATGATGGGGGCATAGGAATAGCCCACGACCAAATTGATTGTCCTGGTGTGTCATACCCCCTAGTCAGCCCCTTTGAGCCGTGTACTTTCCTTTCTTTCGGTCTACAATGGAAATCACCCTTTTGCATCTCTTAGAAGGTTCCACGGAGTGGTTTTTTACTTGTTCTCTGCTGTTTCTGCTAAAAATAATGTGAGGGTTGGAGGTAGTGCTTAAAAGTTGGGCATGTGATTGAAAAATGTGCAGAGGTGGTGGTTCTCTCAAGAAATGGAAAAAAAGTTAAAAAAAAAGATGAATGAAAGCAAAAGAGAGTCACTACCAAAAAGTTGAATCATGCTTATTAATTAGTGTTTCTTAGCAGTCTGGCTTGGAAATACTAACATTATTGTGACCTCCTTCGCTCTTGTGCTCTAAGGAATTTAAGTAATGCATAATAGCATAAAGAAATTAAGTGGTTTGATTGGCTGTGATTGTGTTGGGTTTGGAACTGTGGAACCTTGTGCTACGAATACTTATGAATACTTCCACCACCTAAAAGGCTTTTTCGCATGTCCAAGACCCTATCCAGTCACTTGAACCTGTGTCTAAGACCTCCGGATTAGTTAGTGGTGACATCCCTCATGTGAACTCTAACATTTAGAGGCTGTCATGCGCATTTTTCGCATCAAATTGTCCTGACCCCACTGGTCGAGAGTGAGTGATTCATTTCCTTGTTCTTTATGCTCTTTACCCCGGTGAGGACCTAGATGGCTCGATCTTGATTCTGATGTCTTGAGTTTGACGCATGCGATGACTGTCTTGGTTAAGTGTTTGAGTCGAGTCTATGTTGGTTGGTGAACAGAAAGGACTCCTCTTTCTTTACCCGATTTTGCTGCACTCGAATGTCCTCTGTCGTGGTTGTCTAGGTTGCTGTTGAGTTGACCTTATGTCAATGATCAAAAGCCAGTATGATTCACGTGTTTTGTGCCTATATGATATGTCCCCAAAGTGGTATGATTGAAATATGTTGAGCTTACCTTGTATCTGACTTGGTTTGCTTGGTGACAAGCAAACGGTTAAGTGTGGGGGAATTTGATGACTTGATATATACACATGTTTTTGTCGACCATTCTTATGCTGTTTGAGCCTCATTTCTCGTATCGTAGGCCGATATCACGCTAGGTTGTTCTTGTTTGTGATATTTCAGGTCCTAGTACGTGATTGGAGGTTTGGGAACGAGTTCAGGGTCGATTGGACGAAGGTTGGACGTTTGGCGAGAAGCTGAGGAAACCACACGGCCAGACCTAGCAGCCACACGGCCGTGTGGAATTCCATTGCACGGGCAAACCACACTGGCCATGTACCAGATCCCTTGAGGCCTTGTGGAAATCACAGAGATGTCACACGGGCAAGCCGAGATTTCACACGGTCGTGCAGTTCTGGCCGTGTGACATGCATGAGACAATTTAACCGAAACGCAGCGTTTTCACCTCCACATGGGCAGCTGGGATTTTCACACGGCCGTGTGGTCGGGAAATTCTGGGTTTTAACCCAATTTCGGGTCTTTTGGAGGGGAATCGAGTTTTGAGCAAAAAACAGAGCTTTAGAGAGAGAAAGTGCGAAGAACAAACCGTAGGAGCTATTTGGAGTGGATTTCTAGCATTGAAGCCCAGATTGCATCCCCAAGAGTGAAGATCGACATCCGAGAGCAGATTATCCCCATCTTTATGAGTATGACCGCTATGATTTTTGTTTTCCTCTCTCTATCTAGGGAGTAGAACCTTCTCTCACTTGGGTATGAAGAACCCTAGTTCCATGTGTTAGGAATCTTGATTGTAATGACTTTGGATTGATATACTGATTGATTGTAATCGATTGATGCATGATTCATTGAGTCAATTGAAGCCTGATCATCTTTTCTTGATTTCTGCTGCAACCTGAGATAGATAGAATCTGATTAGGTTGTTAGAGCTTCATCAATATCTGTTGTGGTAGATTGGTTATACGAGAGTTAATCGGTTTACTGCTTTTTTATTGGAAACCAATTCCAGTAGTGGAGTTTTGCTTTTATTGCCTCAGCATTCTATCCCGGTGAAGGCTCGTCACCTGCCGGTTAGTCTGCCTGAGAGGGCTTGGTCAGCTTTAGATATTCCAAGCTACTGTCGGATCTTCCGCAGTTTAATCAATAGTTAATCAACCCAGTTTGGTGTTGTGTTTTAGCGTGTTAGACACCCACACTTGTCAATATATTCAGTAGCATATAATAAAATTACAAACGGAAAAGGAAGAGCAAGATAGATAATTAGGTTAAGGACGAGTTATTAGTAAGGGAAACGAGCGGCTTGAACACAAAGTTCAGAAAACCAAATCAGATTCAAAGTGAAAGACCATTATTATTCTTAGTTAAATCACATGCATAATCCTCCCTCCATATATAAATTACACATATTATCTTCAGTGATGTTCTGCTAAAGGAGGAGGGCTTGGTATTGGAGGAGGCTTTGGTACTGGATCAATAGGCTTATAATCCTCAAGTTGTGGGTCCGTCTCAGTTGAAGGAGGATGATGGCAAGGATGACCTGGTTCATGGCACGGATTGGCGCCTGGAGGTGAATGATACTCTATCCCTGCAAGGTCCATTCACGAAGGGTGAGCCAGGGCCTAAGATTAAGCCGAAAGGCATAGTCGACGGACAACATGTGAATATTCTTGTACTACAACATGTGAATATATGTACTTACCGGAGATGGGGATTGAGTTGAGAGCAGCGCAAGCAACTATTGCAAAGGCAAACAACATACAGATGATAGCATAAAAGAAACCCATTGACTTGTTTCTGGGTTTCGTCATGGATTGACAATTTAGAGCAGTGAAAAAGGCAGGTGGGGGAGGAGGCTGGATGTAAATGATTGAGTAGGTCATCATTTATATACTATACAAGATGGAGTGAAAAAAATGAGAATTTACGATTTTAGGATATGCAATGTAATTATTGAGTCATTATAAGGAAAGTAAGTGATTAAGAAAAATTAGTTGTGATTTTAACAATAAATGTTGTGGATTTGGATACTATTTCTCAAGAAAGCCATTAAGGAATGAAATCAGACTTTGATTGTAAGATTCAATGCTCAGGACTTGGATATCTTTTTTTAAGAAAGTAATTCATTAAGAAGGCTTACTTTTTTTTAAAAGAATGATATATATTTTCAATATTTTTTGAGAAGGAAATTTTTGGACCACATATACTAACATCGTATATCATAGACTATTTTTCATACTACTATAACATATACTAAAATCAATGAGATATAGTCTATAAAAATTTAATGGGGGAAGTGTTTATGCATTTGATTTGCTCCTTACATGCTACATGTGACATCAATCCAATTTTATTTTGGTAGAAACATCAATCGAAAAATATTTCTCAATAATTAGGATTTATATTAAGCTCACTTGATCAGTACATCAAACCTCAAAATAATTAGGACAAAGTCCAGAATTGGCTACATCACCTGTCAAAACTCCTCAAGCCAACCTAAAAAATACATATAAACTTTCCTACTTCTCACTAAACTCACTATTGCCCATGAGAAACAACACTGCTTCATTATTGAAACAAAGCAACAAGTCTATCCAATCAAACTTCTTCTTCCAAAACACAACCACATCTTTCTTTCAATAAGAAAATCACTAATCAACACCAAAGTTCACAGTAGATACGACCAAATCCATCCATGCTCCTACTGCAGAACATGCTTGTTGTAATTCCCCATCCCGTGTATGCAACCAATTTTGTCATGCTTGCAGACTAACAAAAACAACAAACAACTATCTAGAATAATTATAGCCTTGAAATAAACGGTCTCTTCTCTATACCATTGCTGCTAGGGACACAAGAGTCATCAGTTATTATCCCTCATGCCTAGAACTTGTCCTTGGTATTCATCCTGTTCAAAATTATCAACCAAACAAGAAACATGTATTTTGGAATGATGAATTTATTCCACAATACTTGCCACCAAGGCACCTATGGTCTATGTACCCTAATTATTTCCCAAACCTACTTCACTGTGTATTTCACAAAGGGTTTTCCCTCCCAAGTACATTTTCCGCAGTGTCAACATCCATTTGAAATTGAAATCAACTTTGAAACTTTAACAATTGCATCCAAATCCAACGAACCTACAAATGTTGCTCCTAAAATCCAAACAACTCGGCCGTTCAGCCTATAGTGACTAATCCATGTCAGCAAACTCTACCTCCATACATGAATAATAGCCAGACTGGCCTCCCTAAAGAAGTCACATTTCATGTATATAAATCTTTAATCCCAACCCTCCCTCTTTCTTCTTAGTAGCTAGGTTATCCCATGAGACCTTTGCCTTCCCTGACTATCGTCATACCATATAAATTTTGAATTAATCTTATGAAATCTGATCCAATACCTTCTTAGACAAAATGGAAATTGACATCCAATACTGCACCAATGAATAAAGGACAAAGGAGACCAGCCGAATTCGACATATTTAAGTCAACCTTTTTACATGCGAGGATCAAATTCTAATAGACATTATACCAAATAGCACCTCACTATCCTTTCTCGTGAGCTTATCATATATTAAGGGGAGCACAAGGTACCTAACTAGAATAATACTATCTTTGAAATTAGTGACAGATAAATCATTATGCTTAAAAACAGTAGTTAGCCCCTCCAAATATAACTTCACACTTATTTGGATTGCAGCGCAAACCATATATAAGGTAAAATTGTTCCAGATTCCTTTCCACATTACTGAGGAAAGTAGTTGAACCCTCAGTAAATGTCAACAGAATCTCCGCAAAACAGAGGTGCGTAAGATCCATTGTCTTACATTGAGGGTGATAGGAAATATGCGCCAACTGTGGAGCTATATCTAGCATTGGGAGCCACAATGAACAAGTATGGTCACAATAGGTCCCATTGCCTCATAGTCTTCTTGACTGGGCAATACCCAAATAATGAAAAGTGGACTTTAATGCTAAAATATGAAAAACTAATACATGCTCGAATCCATTCAATATAAGTGCTAGAAAAAATCAGGGCCTCCATGATAACACCTATATTGGTGTTATTTATCCTCCATTCTTGAGGCATTTTCATGCTAAAAATCGTGTCTGGGCCATATTGCTAGTGCTAATTTATACTAATATTCTCTCATATTCGTCAATCGTTGGCTTTAGCATGAGTTATTTTTCTATGAATGCTTTTTATAGGGAAATCACTTCACTTTGTCGTGTTTTATCCCCACTTTGCCTTGTTTTATGCTTTCTTGGTGTTCTGCGATGATATTCCATGTCTTGTACTCATCTACAATCGATCATAGATTGATTTATAGTTCATATGAGCACGTTGCATAGCATAGAAGCAAGAAGTTAAAGAGTTTCATAGGTCACGACCACGGATACACCCTTAACCTACATGCTGTGACCGTCTTCCCTAACGTAAACTCAAGGCTTTGATCCAAAACTTGAAGATGAAAGGATGAAATGAATATAAGATCTTGCAGTCTAAGTGGTGGCCAAGCAGGGTTTTGGCCGTGAAAAAGTTCACGGCCTCAACTTCAAGATCACGACCATGATCTCAATATCATGCCCGTGATCTTGGTACTTGAAGACGAAGTCAAGACGCGAATTCCCGGGAAAATCAAAGATGTTTTGCACATCAAGACCTTTGATACACCCTCGAATACGCCCTTGACCATCGGGTCACGCCTAGGGAGGCCATGACATGTACAAAGAGGTCGTGACCTATACCAGATTTATGATAATACCCTTTTATGCAATTGACGAAGGAGAGTCAACCTAGAGTCTGAAATTAGGGTTTTGGGAAGTTCTTAGTGAGTGAAACACCTTGAGGGAGCTTGGGAAGGAGGAATTCATCCAAAATTCAATGAGAAGGGTGAAATCCAACAAGAAGAAGACGATTCAAGCATTTTTCTCTTCTTTGTTTTTATTTCTTCTCTCTCTGTGACTTGTACCCTAAGGTTGTTTAGTGGAGATGAATCCTAGTATGTAGTTGGGTTTGATTGATTGAATGAGAAAATAGATCTTCATGTTCAAATAAGGTGTTTATTGCTTCTTTGCAATGTTTGATTGCTTGAAATAGCATGTTGCATGATTAGCCCTAGGGTCACTATGTGGATATGTGTAAAGAGTCTTCTGTCTAGGTTAGATGATCTAGGGGTCGTAATTGGTGGACAAGGTGACCGTTCTCTGCCAATTAGGAGCCCATCTAGTTGATGCTAGAAAGGTAAGTGTGTGACCATTGACCTAGTGTATGGATGGGTAGAACCCATTTAGAGGAGGTAGAATCCATCCCTAGTCTATAAGATCGGTTGTGATGAAATTAGGCCGGTGGACTTGGATAGGAGGGGGATCAGCGGCTTGACCATTTCATCGCTCCCCATGTTAGCGACCTCTACACCACAGATTAGGTTAGCATCAATCAACTACCCGACCACTACTAGGAGGACTTGAACTTAGACAACCATCTCATCTCTAGCGATCTCCCAATCACTTTTAGGTTAGTATTAAACCAACTTTTTTAGTTGATTAGATAGTAGGCCGGAGCAAAGCAATAGTAAGCCTAAGGTGCCCTTGGAATACGATCGTGCCACCATATAAAGAGCTTAACAAATGGAAAACCTGCCATTTCTAGGGTAAGGAGTTAGTGAGCATTGATTATAATTGTAAAATTCGATCTGGCGCATCACTCCATCACACAAAACAAGTAGGACCAATCTATATAATCAAAACCTTGTGCAAGTCTACTTTTCATAACACCTAGAGAAACAATGTATTTCTTATTGTAGCTTTGTACCATCTCTAGTGCCATTAGAATATTATTTAGAATACTTCTTCCTTTAATAAAAGTTGAGTAATTCTGGCTAATCACACTAGGAGTACTAATTGTATTATGTTTGCTAAGACCTTTGAAATTATTTTGTACAAAATATTAGTGCATACAATAGGTCAAAAATCATATAACTTCTCAACATTTGGAATTTTTGGAGCTAGAGTCAGGGAGGGCACGTTAATAACTTTTGGAAGCTTCATAGTGCAAAATAACTCCTTGATTCCAATAGTCACATCTCTTCCAATTATATTTAAACTCTTTGATAGAATCCAACCCACCAGCCATCTAGGTCTGGAGCCTTCGTAGGATCCATAGAAAAGAGCGCCTCTCTAATTTCATAGTATCTTAACTCATTACATCGGTTTTGCTTTTCCCCAATGGTCAGCTGCCTAAGTATATAAGGTTTAACTACATCCAAAATAAACTTTCTTGCTTCATTAGATACTCCATATAAGGCTTGTTAAAAGCTTATAGCCTCTGATGCAATTGCCTCTACATCTAAAATCCCTTGACCAAAGTCAATGACAAGCCTTCTTATTTGATTATGATCCATTCTGATTTTACAGTCTTGTGGAAAATGAGGTGCTTGATGACATGTGAAAAGTAGTCTTTTAGACCCCATGGTTTTAATACTTTTATTTTCACAATATCTTGGATTTGCTACGTGATCACTCAAAGTGCATTCTACTAGTACTAGGCTTGCTGCTATCAATTTGATGCACTCTTGGTAGTGTTTCGTGTGTTTTTAGGGAATAACAACATAGTGGACCACTTTTGACATTTTTGGGGACAACAAGACTGGATTACAAGTAGACAGAAGCAGGAAACGAAGAGAGGAAAAAAGTAAAAAAGGTGCAGATTCATCAGCCTAATCAAGGTTCATTTAGAAATCACCAAAATCTTGGAATTGTTCATACACGTTGTCAAAACGGGGCCAATGACTACCTCAAACCTTTCTCAAGGAATATGCTTTTCGTGGTGACAAACTTGGAAGAGATCGATTGGGACTTGAAGACGCATTGGATGACCTTCCTTTCCCTACCAGAAACCTAATAGTAAGTCTACAAATATTAAATAGACTTATAGGGGGAGTTTGGTAGCTAGTGATAGGAGGCTGATCAGTTGAATTCGTGCATGTTATTGTCAGTGGTTTGCAAATATCAACAAATCCCCCATCATAAGCCAAGTTTATCTTAGGACGACATTTCCGTATAGTGGTAATCAAGGTCGTACTCTACTCGGGTCCTGGTACCCTAGCCTACTTCCCACCTTGTTGTTAATTAGGTAATCGGTTTTTGAGGTTTTGAGTGGAGGATATGAAGAAACACTAGTCTAGAGGTTGAACAAAGCTAAAAGTAGGTACTTCGTGGAACTAATCCTCCCCCTAGCTTAGGGATACTATGCATGAAAAGGTACTTAGGGTTATCGAATGTGGTGAGTGAGATCTTTTCCGTGGGCCTTCGTTGTTATCCACATGCCTCCGAGTACGCCTCCCCTAAACCCATGTTTCAGTCACCTCGATCTAGGCTATTGTATTCAGGGCTTTAAGCTTATGGCTCATTTCAATGGACACTATCCACCATCCAAAGCGAGATTTCATCCCAGGTTCCATCTAGGAAGGCTACCTATAGCAGGGGTTCGGTCTCCTCGACCATTATAGGCCCCCATTCACACATCTAACCTAAATTCGCCAGCTGGCGCCTACTCGTCTAACCCTAGAACTCCGTATAAAGTAGGCTAAGAGGGAAGATTAGGATGACTTACCCAAGCGTCATCATTTAGGAAAGAGTGACAATAAAAATCAACTAGACAAACACATTCATTCAGTCAACCCATAAAATATCCACACATACATAATTAATCCTAAAACTAGGGTTTGGAGTTTAGAACCCCTAGTACCTTAGAGGAATACTACATAAAGGAGGGAAGAAGATACATGGTGGAAATAGAAGAAGACTTGGGGGTATAAGATGCCTCCTTGCTCCTAACTCCTCCTCCTTCTTCTCCCTTCAGCTTCTCTCTCTTCTCTCTCTCTAGAACCAGAAATTTCACCCAAAATCAGCTATCTTGAAAAGGAGGAAGGGGTCTTCTATTTATAGGCAACTTAGCTTCGGGTAAGTTCGCGGCCTGACACAGTGAGATCGCGGTCGTGATCTTTGGTCACTAGGCCGTGATCTCAAAACGTTGTCGTCGAGGCCTTAAGGACGGGGGAGACTGCGACCTGACTTCGCGGTCGCGATCCTTGAGTTGCGGCCGTAATCTTCCTCGCGGGCATTTTGCATGTTGGTCACGATTCGACTGGGGAAAGTCTCTGCTCATCCATGGCTCCTTCCTCGCGAAGTTCACGCCCTGAGGCTCCAAGATCGAGTTTGCGATCTTTGGCTTCTAGGCCGCAATCTTCAGAGAGACTTCACGACTGGAGATCCCGACCGTGATCTTTGGCTTATAGGCCACGATCTTTGATCCTTGCTCCTTGTCCACACTTGTGACCTTGTTTTGTACCTAATTTGCCCATATTGACTAATACTCCCTATAATCACATCAAAATCAAATAGGAACGAAATAGGGATGTAATTGATAATGTTTAAACGCTTAAGCACATGAATTGGCACAAAAACATACCCTAAGATGGAGGGTAAATAACACCGATTTTGGTGTTATCAGAGGCATTAGAGAGTCGTTACTTTGTTGATAGAGTGACTCACCCGAATTAGAGCAAAATTGGTTGCCAAGCGGAATTCGACGCCATGATCGGAGGTCTAAGCCCCGAATCTCTGTTATGTATTGTCAAATTGATCGGAGGTCCAAGCGGAATTCCCCTTATGTATTCCTTGGATCTCGTCCCCATGACCGGCTAGTTCCCTTAGTTGCATAGGTGGGTCAACCCTAGAGGTTCTTGACTTTGTAACGTTTGATTAGGCATATATAAGATTTTTTTATTATGTTTCTTTTGTTTTATCTATTGTCAAATTGATTGAGAGCTTCACGTAGCATACCTCCCTTATAGATTTATGCCTTTAAATCCTAGTCGCATAGGGCGAAGACTGGACAAAACCATCTTATAGGAAACAAAGAGTACTCCACGTATTTCTCCCTTAAGGTGTCCTACTGTTCAATCGTACTCCACGGATTTCTCCCTTAAGGTGTCCTACAGTTCAATCGATTGAACCGTAGGACACCTTAAGGGAGAAATTCGTGGAGTACTCTTTGTTGCCTACCAGATCCGGTGACTGCCCTAGCACAAGGTAGTAATAGATATCACAAGGATCAAGCAATGCGTATGTTTCCAAGATCGACGTTAGGAGTCTAAGGAACTCTAGGGGGAATTTGCATGTGTAACACCTCGTCCTCCTGCTTACTCCACTCGCCATTAGCTAGAGGTTTTCTTTTCTGCTTTGTTTTCCTTCTGATTTTGTAAAACAATAAAATGTAACACATAAATTTTTTAGTGTTATAAAATATAAATTTTCATCAATATTTTTTGGTCTTATATGCAAAAAAATTAATTTTACATACTAAATCTTAACATCTGTTAATTAAGATTAGGAAAAAAATTGTAATTTGCTTATAAAACCCATTTCAAAAGGATGGTGTGAAGGAAGTTGCTCCTATGAGTTACTATAATACTCTTTTATGAATAATGTCCCTAAAAAAGTCTTAAGAATTGGCATGATAGAGCGATTTCGATCGCACTTGAGACATAGTACGGAGGAGAGGAAGTTGATGACCCACCTCTTTGGGGCGGGGACGGAAATTACAAGGACAGAATTAACCAAAACGGAGGGAAATTAGGTTTTTCCCGTCCCCTTTTTTGGATTCTGACCGATCGAATTGGCATTAACGGCACCCGGATGGAAATATTAACAGAAGGGTAGATTTGATATTATGATAATAGCAGGATGGCAAGTTCGACGTAAAACATAGTAGAGGAGCAGGTTTGAGAAAAAAACTATAGTAGAGGGGCAATTTATGCTATTAATTACCCTATCTTTTTTATACAAAATAAAATAACAACTATGAAAACAAATCTACCTGTGTACTCTCACTCTCGTTCTACGAAAATTTGAGATGTTTAAAAAGCCGCTTTTAATTTTGCTATAATATATTTGTTGATGAACACAAACAAATCCATAATCTCCCCTCTAACAGAAGCAATAAATATATTGTGTACCCCTAAAATTTTCAAGAGAATATATATAGCAAGCACATACTTTGAGTTATGTTGACATATGAAATTACTAGAGATCGTAATACGAAATGCGAAACTTGGACGGTGGGAGGGAGCAGTTCATATCAAATTCTGTTTTGTGACTAAAACGAGGGAGGAAAAATAAAATGGTGCGAAGTACATTGATCATTCAACTGAACAGTATATTATCTAGCTAGCCTTTGCGACGGCGCCCACGGTGTCCTTTAGCCCGACCGCCACCACTGCCTCCGCCGTGCCCTTGATCATCGCCGTCACCACGATCACCGGGCTCACTTTGTGAAGGATCGTGGCCCTGATTGGCTGAAGGTTCTCCATAGTCCGCGAGCGACACCTTCATCAGTGTCCTCCCCTCCACCACCGTAATTGTCTCCTCCCTCTCTGTCAAAATAGTAATACAAAAACAAAATATGCCGTTTAAAATAAAGTAAGGATTGAAAAACCGTAACCAATAGAATTTTTTTTTATTAGAGGTTAAATTAGCAGGTGGTATATAGTTGTAAGAAAAAAATTTAACCACAGTTAAACCACGAAAATATCATATCACTAGTTTTTTTCCTTACAACTTCCAATATGTTTTACAATCTTAACTTTACAATTTTGGGTCAAGAATTTTTAAGTTTTATTGCATTTTTGTCAAGAATTTAACCCCATAATTGAAAATAAAGTAACTCTAATTAATTTTATAAAGTCTGATTTTGAGATGCATGTAAGTATACACACTAGGTTTAGTGGTAACATATAGGAATGAGAACATCCACCACAACGTGAGTAGGAATTCCAAGATTAGTACAGAATTAAATTTACACACATAAATTGTGTGGAAAATACACTAGTTGTTAAAGCTCTAGTCCTCTGCTCAATAACCACGGTTCAAATCTCTCACATATAAACTTTTTGGGTGTGCCTACGGTGACATGCATGTCACGATGACTTGCACTTTCCGGTCGACCTCAGTTAGGATTAGGTCGACCTCATTTAGAATTCGGTCGATCTCATATAGGATCTGGTCGACCTCATTTAGGATTCGGTCGACCTAATATAGGATCAGGTCGACCTAATATAGGATCAGGTCGACCTAATCTGTTGTTTCAGTGTAAAAACAATTCATGGTGCCTACTTTGGATATTCATATCATACAATTGGCTAGATGGAAATTGAAGACTAATGACTTGTTTTGAAGCTGGAGTGTCCCTCTACGTATTGAAGTGGGAGAGAGCTCGATAGGAAGTCCAGAAGACCATTTTTGAACCTCATCAAAAGGCTATGCCAAAACTGGAAAACTGCCTGGAAATGGCTTAAGTCTGGCAACGTGTTTGTGAAGTCTATTTTGGAGCTCAATTCGAGAAGCATGAATGCGAGTCGAGTCCAGGAGCCTCTACCACGTTAAATTACGTATTTTATTATACAAAGGCAAGGCATTGGATGAAAGATTGAATATCTTTAAGGCTTCAAACAAAAAGGTTGAAGTTGCTACGAAGGCTGTTTTTCTGGCAGACTTGCTTGGAGTCTGCCAGAAAAACAGCCTTCGTAGCAACTTCGACCCTTTTGTTTGAAGCCTTAAAGATATTCAATCTTTCATCCAATGCCTTGCCTTTGTATAATAAAATACGTAATTTAACGTGGTAGAGGCCTCTGGACTTGACTCGCATCCATGCTTCTCAAATTGAGCTCCAAAGTAGGCTTGACAAACACGTTGCCAGACTTAGCCATTTTCAGGCAGTTTCCCAGTTTTGACATAGCCTTTTGGTCAGGTTCAAAAATGGTCTTTTGGACTTTCGATTGAGCTCCCAAGTACTTTAATGTGTAGAGGGACACTTCAGCTTCAAAACAAGCCTTTAATCTCCAATTTCCATCTAGCCAATTGTAAGATATGAATCTCCAAAGTAGGCACCATGAAACTGTTTTACACTGAAACAACATATTAGGCCGACCTAATTCTATATGATGTCGACCGAAAAGTGCATGTCACCGTAGCAAAGTCCAAACTTTTTAACCTCCTATCATTTAGATTTATGACTTTATACTGACTAAAAAAATAAGTTGCAGTGAGCAATTAACTTAGAATATGATTGGAAAGTGTCTGTTAGATTGACTAATTATTATTATTATTATTATTATTAATAGCACAAGTTACTTTTACATATTTTTACTGTTTCATTAGAAAAAAATAGCAAAAGCCACATTGTTGCAAAAAAATTAAATTAGTTACTGGTCACTTAGGAATTAATCACCTAAGCGCTAGGAGTGTGGAATGGTCTGGTCTGGGTCTGCACCGCACTGAATCAAACCGAAGTTTGGACCGGACCACACCGGACCAAGTATAATGCGTTCCAGTCCTTGGTACACATGAATTTTACAATTACTGAATAAATGATGGACGGAACTGATATTTTGATCGGACTGAATCGGGCCAAATAGACCGAACGCAATGATGGTCCGCTCTTTGATCCTAAGATGTCTTTCACTAATGAACCGCGATTCTCATGAATTATGTCTAGTCAAAACTGAACCGAACCTCGTTCCACACCCGCTGCTCCATGATATTCCCTTCCATACTTAAGGTTTCCCCAATGAATTTTGCCTGGGGCTGAACAAGCAAGCTCATTTAATGCCAATCTACTACTTTTTATCTTTTTCTGATTTCTGAACAATTTGCTTTGTTCTTCGAGTTCACAAATCTTTGACGGGTACTGGCAGAGAAGAGAAGAAGGCATATACTTTCAGCTTCTTTTTTGATAAAAAGAAAACCAAAAACACAAAAATATAAATTTATCAATAAACTTTATTACCAAATAAATATTTTCTTACGTAGCAACTTGATTTTATTGTTATACCAAATATTAAGAAAGATTTATATAAAATTATTCTATGTTACGTAAATTAAAACTTCATAGATGTTACTTACTATAATGTGATTTTATTATTAGACCACACATAATGAAAATTTTATGTAATCTATTTATAATGGTCACATAAGATTTTTTCTCAACAGGTACTGTTCACAATGGAGTTTTATCACATATACCTAATTTTACCATAATCCCCTTTTTCTCACTTTAGCAATACTATTCATATGAGTTTTATCTCACTACAACCAATTTTACGATAAGCCTAAAACTTAAATGAAATTATACAATAAATATTTTCTCTACATTCAACTTAACATTATACAAACATTTCGTAGATCGGTTATTAAATATATAATTATTAACTGAAACTCCTTTACTTTCAATGTTTATTACTAAAATATATGTTACTTTCTAAAATTTGATTTTATCATTAGACCACATATTAGAAAAGATTTATGTAATAATTTTATATAATAGTTATTTATCTCCTACATCTAATTTTACCATAACAATTTAATCATATGTTACTTTCTGGTTACTTTCTAAGACAACACATTATGAAATATTTATGTAACAATATTATATAAAAGTTACATAAATTAAAGCTTCATGAATGCTACTTACTATAACGTAATTTTATTATTAGACCACACATTATGAAAATTTTATATAATAACCATCTATAACTGTTACATGATGTTTCCTTAATGATTAAGACACTACGTAAAGTTTATGTACAAATAATCATTTTATACGTATCAATTAAACAAAATATGTAAGTTTTCTATAATGACTAAACGCTACATAAACCTTATGTAGAAATAGTTATTTACTATGTAGCACTTAAACAAACGGATGATTATGGTATTCGTAATGATTAAGACATCGAGAAATTTTACAATGCTATATAGTATTGGTGCTATAGATTTTTGCCTTTATGGTACAACTTAAAATTGTACATTTACGTTATGGTACAACTTCAGATTGTACCTATACTTTTGGTACAAATTCTTTTATGGTACAACTTGAACTTGTACCTTTATGTGATGGTACAACTTCAAGTTGTAAAGTTGTACCATAACATAATGGTACAAATTGTTTTATGGTACAACCTAAACTTATACATTTAATGTTATGGTACAACTTTAAGTTGTACATTAAATCACCAATGCTATATAGCATAGTAGAAGTGGTCTAAGACATCACGTGAAACTTACATATGTACTTATCTAAATAATTTTGTGAATTATTTGATTTAAACTAAATCATTAGTTTCTCATCGTGGCATAACGCGAGGCAAAAAAATTAGTATATATTACTAAGGCGCCATTATCATCAGAAACAAGCTAATTAAGGCTGCTCCCTCAACCATTGGAACCTTTTAATGAGCACGGAGATCAATGAGTTGATACGGGAAATGGGAATCACTTGCTGCAGGGTGGGTAACTACTGCACCGTCCATGCCTAGAATAATTTCTTGTTCTATGATCTCCTGCCTCGAGGATTAGTTTATTCAGATTCACTTCATACCTCGGACTAATTAAGTTACCTTGCAAATTTTATGGAGTTTTTCATCATGTCAACTTACTTGTTTGCCATTCATTCAAATTTACCTTGATTTTGCACCAAAAGCTCAACAAATGTCTAAGGGGCCGTTTGGATATAAGGAATTGCAACCGATCAATTTTACGCAATAGTCTCGTTTTGAGATAATGATACCAAATTGACTCGTTTGCCAACAAAAAGTTGATTCAAGGGTTCCAAAATGCGTAAAATTAATAAATCTAAACAAAAAAATTAATCAAATTTCACCCATTATTTCACTTCTACCCTGATTTTAGACTTTTGTATGCATTGTTTATGACAAAATGCTATACCGATATAATTTCCAATAGCTAATATTAATAAATCTAAAATATAACTTATTGAACAAATATGAATTGACATTTTGTATCGTTTCGAATCTCGGATATAGCTAGCCTAGCTAGTTACCTCGACTAGGAAGTTTAGCCAGGCACCTGTGAATTGTGATGGTTTGAGGAATATTAGACTCCAAGGCAATAATAAGGAAGAAACTGATTCTGGGTTTGACAATATAACGGCGGCCGGTCACCGGAGAAAGCCTAGGCGAATCGGCAGAAATGAAATAATTATTCAAATCCAACTCTGCTTATTTAAGGGCAGAGAGGCAAAGTACATCGGGTAGAGCACTGGTCGACGTACCTGTGAATGAAAGGGCAGCGTATCGATCGGAGGAGATCAGAGGCAGCAGCGAGGACAGAGCAATCAGCAGCAGTAGAAACGTGGACGCCCAAAACGGTATTGCCATTATTTCCGATCGTTGACAGAATCGAACAAACAAACAAAATACGGAGGTCGCGCTAGGTAGGCAAATCGCTGAGGATTCCATTTCCCGGCGCTGACCATATCGGCTGGTTTTATAGCTGGAGGAAGAAGGTGCAGAGCGTGGGAATTGTCTGCTGTGGCCACGTGATGGGAGGCGGATTTGGGTTGACTTTCCGCAGCTTGCTCCTCTCAGATCAGTTGTACAACTCACGGAGGGTCAATGAGTGCTGCGCTACGTACCTTCCTTCTCCAGAAAAGGAGAACTGCATGCTCTCTCCATTTTGCCGATATATATAATATAAATATTAGGCGGTGACATTTCCTTTTATTTCGTTAGTTGACTTCATTTTTCTGCTCATCATTAATTGTTTTATGTATAAATTAGTATTTTTATCATTAATACAGGCAATTGCAAACAAAGTTAGGAGTGTAGTTGATTTGCAATTCTTTGAAACGAAATTGTTAAAATTAATAATGTGGTTGTAGGGACCGCATTTAGAAATTGTTAAATATGCAATTGCTAAAACTTAGATGACATGTGTTTGGCAATTGCTAATTCAATTGCAAGGACGTGGAGTCAATTGCTAACTTAGTAATCTTGCTAAATAAGCAATTTCACTTGCAATGCCACATGAGATTTTATTTACCTTTTTTATTTTATCTTTATAGTTTACATATGTTAGTTTTTTTTATAATTGAAGACTTGTTTATACATACATATGTGTGGTCCCCACCACAGAAATGGCTAAAGCATTGCAAGAATGTGGATGACTTGAAAGTGCTATTGCTTAAGTGGTTGATATGGTAGTTAGACCCATATATGACATTGCTAAGTAATTGCAAGGATGGAGATGCTCTAAGAGCATCTTCATCCCCAATCTTTAGCAATTGCTAAAGTGAGGTAGAGTTGATGTGGCAATTTTTGGCAATTGCTAGGGATGTGGGGGCGCTTGCTAATTTAGCAAGATTGCTAAATTAGAAAGTCTCCTAGCAGTGTTACATAGGCAATTGTTTTCTTTTGATTTTTCTTACTTTGTAACTTTTCAACTGCAAAGTATTTAGGTATACTAAATAATGGATGGGACCCACATTAGAAATTGCTAACATAATTTAAGGATGTTGATGAATTAGTGATCTTGTCGTCGATCGCACCAACCTCCCGCATCCTAATCAATTAGTGGTGAAACTCTTTACCCACCCAAAAATGGCGCAGACTCAAGTGATCTTGACGGATTAGGATGGAGCTAGGGAACCTAGTAATCCAACAACACATCAATAGCCACACCTGAACCAACTCGCCAACGAAGCCCAACAAGAAGCAAAGCCCGACCATCCACTAGTCTATGCCAACCCTATGATGGTCGCGACCCCATTCGGGCATTCAGAAATGAGCCTTTAGGAAAATATTCCCTTTGTAAAGACGCGATAGAAAAGATTCAGGCTCCTCCAGCATACACAATCTAAGTTTGGCCAACAATGCTTGATTAAACTGCTTAAACATTCAAAATCCCAGACCCTCATCCTCTTTACTCATACACAACGAACTCCAAGAAGCCCATATACCGCCCTCATTTTCCCACCAAAATCGTGTCATATACTTGCGACTTTAGGACATAAAGTTGTCTGTGACTAGAAACAAGACATAAAGTTGCCGGCAATGCCGATGCAACAGATTTAAGTAGAGTTTGCTTCGTCGCCCATGAAAGGTCACATTGTTTCCGTCCTTGCAATTTCACTACCAATTTATCCTCCAAGTAACGGAAGGTGGTGGTTCTGGACCAGACAATTAGCGTCAGGTAACCTTAATACTTATCCTACACACCCACCGCCCCCACCCAAGCCTAGTAGCCATTGCCACCCCCTCTGCGTGACCAAAATTTCGACTAAACCTCAACCCAAATTAAATGGTCCATATATAAGTATATAAATAGCACAAATTTGTTTAAGGGGGCTGGTGGGATGTGGAAGGGTGCACCATAGGGTCTGCTAAGATTTATCTTAAGAACATTTCTTTGCTTCTTAACTTACGTTTTTCTAGTTGTCGATTATGCAAGTTTCCCCTTTCGCTAGAAATTACTTTAAAGGAGAGATTTTTCTTCTTAACCCATGTTTTCCTAGCTGTCCATTAGGCAAGTTTTCCTTTCGCTATGACTTACCTTAAAGGGTTTTTTTTCCTTCTTCTCTCACGTATAGTTTTTCCCTTAACCCACATTCTTCTCCTGTCAATTAGGCAAGTTTCTCCTTCTGCTAGGACTTATGTTAAATGGTTTTCTTTTTCTATTCTCGGGCTTTTCCTAATGTAGATTAGGCAAGTTTCCCCTTTCTCGATTCTTAAGGGGTTATATAAGTGTGCATATGTGAAATGGTTGTTCACTAAATCAATAACTAGTGTATGGACTTTACTATGACTAGAAGAAATCAGTTTATTGGTGTCTCAAATGCTAAATAATGACTAAAATCAATTCCAATAAAAAATGTTTCGAAATTGCATCACTATATACCAAATACTAAATTAAATAATGTCATATTCAAAACAATTATAAGGTGGTTTGATTGAAACTTTCTATTTATGTATGTTAATAGTGGAGTATTATGTGCAATGGACTAAATTATACTTCATTATTATTAAATCACCCATAATTCTCTAAATATTAATTTAGTTTCTCTATAATCATTCATCAATACTACTAAGAAATTCATTCTTAAAAAATATTTCATCATAAACATAAAAACAAGAAAATAAGAATTAGTCATTTATTACAATCATATGTACAATTAGGGGTGTCAGTCGGTCGGTTTCGGTTTTACTGAAAACCGAATTCTCGGTTATCGGTTAAACCGAGCCACCTCCAATGAATGCCGACCACCGACCGTGAGGAAGAAGAGGTTAACCGGCCAATCGACCAGTCGGTTTCGGTTTTATGGTCGGTTAGCCAAGCAGGAATGAGCTTGGTTCTAGGGAAAAAAATTTAAATAAAGGGAAGGTAAGGAAACCCTTCCGTCTCTTTCTCTTCCTTTTTTCTTTCCTTTTCGTCTCTATCTCTTTCTTTCCATCTCTTCCTTCTTTCCTGTTCCATCTGTCTTGTCTCTGCTCTTCCTTCTTCCTTCTTTCCTTTTCGTCTCTTTCTCTTTCTTTCTTTCAATTTCTTCCTTCTTTCCTTTTCCATTTGTCTTGTCTCTCCTCTTCCTTCTTCCTTCTTTCCTTTTGCCAGATCCAGATGCAAAGGCGGAGCTCGGAGAAGCGGGGAAGCGGTGAGCGGAGGTGGAGATTGGGAGAGATGGCGAGCGGAGGCGAAGGCGGAGGTCGGAGTCGGAGGCGGAGGCGGAGGTCGACGGGGTCCAGGGAAGGTTTCTGGTAGCGGTGGTCTCTGATTTGGTGCATGAGGCGGCGGAAGGGGTGATCGTTGATGAGGGAGATGGGGGCAGAAGGGGCTAGTTTCGGGTTTCGGCTTGCACATAAGGGAGGGGGGAGGGGGGGTTTGGAGTTTTGGCGAGAGGATTCGGTTACTCGGCTAACCGACGGTTGTCGCCGTCGGTTACTCGGCTATCCGATGCCTCTCGACGAGCCTCCGAACACCGACCGCCTTCGGTTATCTCAGTTTTTGGTTACCGGATAACCGACCGGTTATCTGACAATCGAAAACCGATTTGCCAGCCCTATGTACAATGAACTAAACTTATACTTCAATATTATTAAAGCACTCATAATTTTTTAAATTGAGGAACTAAACTTATACTTCAATATTATTAAAGCACTCATAATTTTCTAAATCTCAATTTAGTTTCACGACAATTCAATCTTCTAAGATATTTCATAATGAGTATAAATGCCAGATAATAAGAATTAGTCATTTCGTAAAATGACATACCTAATTATAAATTTTAGTTAAGGGGGAACCATGGCCTTAATTTAGTTGAGAGGGGGTTGAAGCTCACTAAGTTTAGTGAAGATTTATTGTATCATGTTCAAAAAATTTGTATTAGTCGATATCTTAGTATATATCAATTTCAATCTTATATCTTGAATATTAAATACTACTAAAAAAACCAATCTCAATCGCAAACCCAAAAACTAACTTGGTAATCAGTAATATCAAATAATGATAAATTCGGTCGGGTATATGATAAATTTGGTCACTAATTTTCAAGTAATGATTAATTATTAATCAACTTAAATCACTACTCATTAGATAAAGTATTTCATTGCTATAAATATGGATTATTGAAACGAATAAGACATATATTTAGATATTTCCCTTCAACTCAAAAAATTATATTATTTAGTTGACATGAATAGTTGAAGTGAATTCCACTAAAAGAAAGATGGATTATGGGAGTGTCTGACTTGAACTACTGATTTGGCTATGCAGATATATTACTTTATCCGCCACATTTAAATTTACAACAAATGTGGTTGGTCTAGATTTATGTAATTTATTATTTATTAATATTTTCTTTTGGTCAATAGTTGAATTGAATAAAACCAACTAAAATAGGACCCCTTCTATAAAAATTTTAAACACTACTCATTAGATAGGGATAAAACTAATATGCACATGGAGGGAAGACGTAGACATGACCGGTTTTGGGGTCTGTGGAGAAGCGACCAGCAAGGGGATGGAAGAGGGAGGATTGGAGGAGGAGGAGGGAGGCGGAAGGAATTCGCCTTTGGATGGAGTTGGACGGAGAGTGAGCAAACGTCAACGGTTTCAGTAAACTAAAGATCCATCAATGGATTTAAATATTTCAAGTGACCAAACTTGAACGTTTTTTGTAATCTCAGTGACCAACCATGCAATTAACCCCTATTTGTTCTCATTACTTAATGAGATTTACTATGCCCATTAACTTTCGATTACACCCTAACCAACCACTGTCTAAGTAACATTCATTACTAATGAATTAAAGCAACTAAATGAGCCTGACCACTAACTTCGGGGTCGTTTGGATAACAGGATTTAGAACGTGGATTTACTGAATCTGTAGATTTTGTAGAAAGTTATGTTTTTTTTTTTTCTGAATTGGGAGTTTAGCTTTAGAGATTTCAAATCTCTAAAATCTGCGGATATCAAATCTCTCATAATCAGAGAGATTCTATATCTTGATTCATGAGATTTTTTTCCTCCTACCTTTTCTCTTCTTTTAATTTATTTATCACATTAAATATACTTATCAACAAATTTTTTAATATTTCACGAACCACTCTAATTTTTATTAAAGATAAACATGTTAGTTACTATAAAATTAAAATTAAAATTTTTATTGAATGTTAACAATCACAATTACCAAACAATAAACATTTTACAATCTGTTTTCAACAATTCGAAGAGTTAGAATCTTTAGATTATTGACAATCTATAGATTTAAACTCATGTTCTACTTCATTAGTAGGCTTTGTTCTAGCCAAATCAATTATGGTATGTTCGTTGTCCAAATTTAAAGATCATGGCATATAGAAGCTTACACACACAGTGACTGATAATTGTCGAAAACATATTGATTTTGCGTGCTTAATGTGATTATTTCATGATATGTTTGAGACATATGATGCTTGTTCGAAGCCTAATTGACTATGGAATGGTTGCAAAACCATTACCATCAAGTGTCAAATATTTTATATATTTCAGGTAAATGAAACGAGAAATTCACATTGATGTATGGTATAATTAAGGTGGACCGGATGGGTATTATGGATTCTTTGATAACAAAGCTTAATTAATTGGTCTTATGGGAAAGTTTTGGTGGGTGGCTGGGCTGAGGACACACGGAATTGAGCTGGGGATTTATTGGAGAGGCCCATCTTCTTTGTCTGGTTTGGGGGGAGGAGACTTGAATTGGACACGGAATTAAGAGGAGAAAGTTGGACCGGAGAAAAAGGGAGGAAGGAAACGAAATTGGCGGGGAGGGCAATCCTTTGGAGCACGGCAACTCGGGAATAAGAGGAAGGGCAGCCGCTGGGGACACAGAATTCTTTTGGGACGGAATTGGAGAACGAGCAGCGAAGCGCAACGCAAGCGGCAGAGCGCAACGCGACTTTCGAGCAGCGATTGGAGAGAAAATCAGAATCTGTGATTTATTTCGTATCAGTATTTTCTCTTCTTCTCGTTACTAGTTTTATGATGATTAAGAACATGATTATATCTTTTAATTTCATCATGAACTAAACCCCAATTTCTGGGGGAAACACCATAGGATGTAGCTATTTCTTGACTTGATGGATTGATTCGTATTTCTTTTCTTCCAACCTCTATTGCATGAAATTACTTAATGCTTTGTGTTGACAGGCCACCAATACATTGATTTGTTGTTAATTAGGTTATTAAGGACAGTGAAACCTAATGACTGAACATATTTCATGTGGCATAGTAACTTATCGAAGCGACAGTGGATTAAGTAAGGTGTTATGCGGTCTTAAATAGGATATCGATCTTCAGGCTAGATAATTAAGTCATTGAGCTACGACAGTAGGATTTGATTTAATTGTTTAGTACGTAGTAATTCCTGACAGGGATAGCTAGCACATTCGTGATATCCTGGCTGTAGAGAGTTGGATTAAATTGATTAGAATATGTGAATTAATCTGGATAGGATAGGTAGTGAATCCCGGTGTTTCTCCCAGAGCTTTCTCCCATCGAATTTCTCCCGACAAGTTTACTTTGCTTAATTAGTTTAATTATTTTGCTATTAGTTGATAATCTCATCAACCAAACCATTTTTCACTTATAGTTTGCTCCACAGAATTGATAAATTATAAGGTTGTACCAGTCCCTGAGAGACGATACCCGGACTTTCCAATTTTACTACGAGATAGGAATTGAAGCAATACGCTTTTGCCCGACCAAGTTTTTGGCGCCGTTGCTGGGGACTGCCATACCTTATTTTTGTTGATTTTTGTGAGTGAACTATTTTGATCTCGGTGTTAGTGTGCTGAAGAATTTTCAGGTTTATCCTCCTCGTGCATGCCTAGGAGGACGACTGGCAATTTACTGCCACTAGATCCGGAGATTGAGAAGACCTGCTGATAACGATGTAATTGCACATATTTGCGCCCCTAGTTCTTATCCGTTTGAGGGGCATAGTCGTGTATTTTTGGCCTATTTTACGCCGGGTTGTGCTATTTTGTCATATTTCAGGTCTCAAGCGTCAAAGGGAAGGCTAAGCACGAGTTTCGGGGCATTCGGAAGTCATTTCGTCAAGCTGGAGCCAAAACACGGGCACACCTAAAGCATTAGACGGTCGTGTTCTGTGGCCGTGCTTTTACTGCCGAGAGAAAATTCGAGTTTGGCAAACATGAGCTGATTACACGGGCTGAAAGCACGGCCGTGTTCTCCCAAAAGCACGGCCGTGTTTGCACCAACAGAATGGCCGTGTAATTAACCCTAGCCAAAGCACGGGCGGGCTGGAGCAAAGCACGGCCGTGCCCTCGACCGTGCTTTGGCCACTGATGCCCTTTTAAGCAGATTTTCAGCCAAAGAGAAGGGGATTCGAGTTTTGAGAGAGATAGAGCGATTCCTAGAGAGAGAAAGCGACGAACAAGAGTCTCCAAGTGCCCTAGCTTGATCTTCAACACCATTGGAGGCCAGTTTGAGCTTGGAGAAGTGCCGATCAACGTCCAGAAGTAGGAATCCATCCTTCACAGTATGAATTCCGCGTCTGATTCTGCTTTTGCTTCTTTCTCTATGGAGTAGTTCTCTCATTCATCTGGGTATGGAGAACCCTAGATTTGTATGTTAGGCTTTGATTGTATGAACCCAAGTACTGATTCTATGATTTGATTATATTCGATTGAGGTTTGAATGATTGAATGACTTGAATCCTGATCAAATTCCTGTTGTTTCTGCTTTGACCTAGAATGAGAATATTTGCCTAGGTTGATAGAGCATCCTTGATTGAAGGTAGGGAGTTGGTGACTTTAGTCGAGGAGCCAACTCACTATTCTGTATCGGATTCACTCCGGTAGTGGAGGTTTTGTTTGTTAAGGCCTCAATCTGTTTACTCCGGTGGAGGTTAGTCGCCCGCTAGAGACTCAGATTGAGAGGGTCTGAAGACCTTTAGTCGAGACTTCAGGATGTTTAAGAACCTTCCGCAGTATAACTATCATAGAAACTGAACTTGGTAATTGCAATCCGGCTTAACTGCAGTCTAGGGGGAACCAAATCCGGGTGACCTCTCTTAACCTGAATACAACCGTTTACTTGCTTTGTTAGTTTGTTAGTTTAGACTTGCATTAAAGTTTCATTGCTAGATAACAAGAATTCACTGAGTAGTCATCAAATCTAGGACCCGGGTTGATAATTAAACCTAAACCCGCTATACTACGCTTTAGGAAGTGGTTTCACTTGGCCAATTCCTGGAGTGACAGTAGAAGTGAGTCAAGTTTTTGGCGCCGTTGCCGGGGACGGCTAGGTTGTTGAAGAAAAGTGATTTCTGTTAATTTAGCTTTTTGCTTTGTTTGCTTTGTCCCACTTATGCCTTCACGGGTTTGCTTGCTTGAGTGTGTGCAGGTAGTGCATGACCCGTAGCCAGTCAAGAGGTTTACTGCCGTTGAATCCGGAGATTGATCGCACCTGTCGCCAGCTCAGGAGACAACAGCGAGCATAGACGGCCACCTAAGTAGCGATTCTGAAGAAGAGCACGGGATGGACGGAGACTACAATCAACACCAGGGGAATCTGCAGCAGGTTCCCCTGGTGAATCAGGTCCTGGGGAACAACCCCATACCCCAGGATCATGGGGTTCATCATCCATCGCCGCCGGGCCCCACCTTGGAGTACTACTACACTCCTCGGATTGCTGACATCCGCCCGGCCATCCTCTACCCGCCTATTCCAGCAAACAACTTCGAGATCAAGACATGTTGGATTCAGCTCATTACATCCTCTATCCAGTTCCATGGTTTGAAGGATGAGGAGGCCAGGGTGCATCTTTCCCGTTTTCTGCAGCTGACGAACGGGTTCAAGCTGAATGGTGTCCCTGATGATGCAATCCGCCTTCATCTCTTTCCCCATTCTCTGGCGGGGAATGCTAAGAGGTGGTTGGAGACCCAGCCCCCATTGTCCATCACCTCTTGGGACGATCTGGCTGACAAATTCGTGCACAGGTACTATCCGGCATCGAAGACTACAGAGATCCAGCGGGAGATCACTCACTTCCGCCAAGAGCCAGATGAGTCACTTCGTGATGCATGGGAGCGGTACATGGGATATTTCTGGCAGTGTCCCCATCATGGCTTTAGTGATGCATTCACAGTGGGGAACTTCTACAGTGCTCTCTCTCCAGACAGCTAGAGGGTGATTGAGTCTCTATGCCCAGGAGGGGATATTCTTACTAAGACTCCACCCGAGCTGAACCAGATGATCAATACCTTGGCTGCCAGAGATCATTCTTGGGGACAGAGCAGCAGAGGCAGACAGTCCCGGGACCGTGGTGTGCACGCCATGGAGACCAGATCCGGGCTCGAGCAGTAGGTAGCTGAGCTAGTGCAGACATTGAAGCAGCCCAACAGTCTTATTCCGGGCAGAGGTTTGGCTACACCTCCAGTTGCTCAATGTCAGTGGTGTGAGAGCTCGAATCACTTGGTGGAAGACTGCCAGGCTATGAGGGAGTCTACTACTCCCCAAGAGCAGTTGGACTTCATCGCCAATGCTCGGCGCCTCGACCCGTACAGCAACACATATAATGAGGGGTGGCGCCAGCATCCCAACTTCTCTTGGGGCAGCAACACCACTAAGCCACCTGGTTTCCCAGCACCAACTGGTGGCTTTCAGTAGAGGCAGCCCTTCCAGGCTCGACAGGGGCCAGCCCCACAGCAGCAGCCCTACCAGCCTAGGCAGGGGCAACCATTCCAGCAGCCCCAGCGCCAGTTTGCCGAGCCAGCAGCAGCTCCTGCTCCAGATGATCGGATGACGAAGCTGGAAAATATTCTAGCTTCATTCATGACGAGCACTCAGGCTGCTATCACGTCATTGGAGGCAGGTCAGCGGAACCAGGGTGCCATTTTGCAAGATCTGCAGACCCAGGTGGGTATCTTGGCCCGCCAAAACACTACCAGGCACCGGGGACTCTGCCTGCCACCACTATCCCGAATCCTCGGGATCCTCACCAGCTCCAGCAGCTGGATGCCATTTTTACTAGGAGCGGTAAGACCATATCTGCTGATCCTGTCCCGGCCAGACAGGAGGAACCACTACCTGCTTCAGCACTTCTAGCCGATGATGCAGAAGCGCGGGTGGAGAAGGAAGCCCCTGCTCCCAAGCCACAACCAGTGGTTAAGGAGCATGTACCCCAGCTTCCCTTCCCCACTCGCCTACACAAAGACAAGCTGGAGACTGAGTTTGCCAAGTTTATGGCAATGTTGAAGCAGCTCAACATCACCATACCGTTCGTGGAGGCACTGTCGAAGATGCCCAAGTATGCCAAGTTCATGAAAGACCTCATCACCAACAAGAAGAAACTTGGGGATCTCTCGACAGTGTTGCTGAGCGAGGAGTGTTCTGCTTTCCTGCAGAACAAGCTTCCCGAAAAGCGCATGGATCCAGGGAGTTTTACTATCCCTCTTACTATTGGCAGCATGCATGTAGGCAAGTCCTTGGCGGACCTAGGCGCTAGCATAAATGTCATCCATATAAGTTGTATAAAAAGCTAGACCTAGGTGAACTCAGCCCTACTAGGATGAGCATTCAGCTAGCTGATCGTTCCATTGTGCATCCTAGGGGAATCATAGAGGATCTGCTTGTCAGTGTCGGTGCATTCACATATCCTGTTGATTTTGTTATTCTTGATATACATGAGGATGTGGATGTGCCTTTGATTCTAGGTAGACCATTTCTTGCCACCGCCAAGGCACTTATTGATGTGCATGATGGTAAAATGATCTTGCATGCTGGGAATGAACAGGCTACTTTTTCTGTGACTGAATTTGATCACTGTGCTATGATTGCTGTCACACCTGTGCATGCCATTTCTGATCAGGTACACGAGCCTGTCGTGTATCCTTCTGCACCTCTCATTTTGCAGGACCCTCCTATCATTCCTTCGCCGCCACTCCATCCAGTCTTGCCTCCGAACAAAAAGCTCAAGGAGGAGTGGCGGCCGAAGCAGCAGGTTGCTAAGCCTGCACGGAAGAAGAGTGGAGACCACTATGAGCTGGTCCCACCTCCTGCACCGCGACCACCCTGGCCGTCCGGGTATTCACTAGCCTGCATCTTACCGGATGGCCAGGTCGAGCTGACCGATGATGGTGGTCGCACCCGTCGGGTGCATGGCCACAACCTGAAGCTGTACCTCAAGAGCGACGTGGATACGCTCTTGGAGGTACCTGTTCCTGCACCTCCCTGAGTATCCACCATGGGCGTCCAGCTAAAAGACGGTAAAGAAGCGCTTGTGGGGAGGCAACCCCACCACGGTTTGACTTTCTTTCTTGTGTTTTGAGTCGGATTGTAAACCAGTTTGCTTTTGGTGTGTTTTCTTTTGTTTTGGATGATGCCTTATTTTGCTGACATTGGACCTAACATATAGTGTTTGAGCTCTTCTGTTCCCCTTTAGCTGTGCTTTGTCTTGACTGGTCCTCTCTCCAGTCCGCTTCACTCCGACTGGTCCGCTTCCAGTCCCCTGCAGTCCGTGCATACCGGTAACATCGTTCCCCTTTCCCTTCCCTCTTCTCCATTGAGGGCAATGTCGATCTTAAGTGTGGGGGGATGTTTATCTTTTGACTGCATTAGATCTGTTTGTGTGCTTGGAGCCTAGTCCACTGTCCAAATTTTTAAAATTTAAGGGCTCCAAGTACGTGTTTTCGTGCAATTGCCTGCTCAGTATGCTTTGAATTGACAGTCTTTATAGTAATATGCAACCTAGGGAGGTAGTGTAGCACTATGGAGGATGTTGATGCATTTAAGAAGTCTCATTGCTTCTTCATATTGTTTTGGTTGATTGAGTGAATTAGTGATCTTAGGACCCTTGAATTGTGTGGTGTTGTGGACTCTCTACCTGTCATGGACTCTTGTTTCTTGTTTTGAGTTTAACAGGTGCTCAAAAATGTGCTTCAAAATAACGTCTCCCGTGCGAATAGGGCGAAAGTGTGTAAGGGGAGACGGGAATCCGTTCCCAATTTTCACCTACTACCTCCAGCCCCCTTACATGTCTTTCCCCCGCACGAGGCTCGAGACATCCGCTCCTGGCATGGCCGGTAAGAGCAGGTTGGGACCCTTGAAAGAAAAAAAAGAAAAAAAAATAACAGAAAACAAGCAAAACAAAAAAAAGGGGGTTCCAACCATCTTCAAGAAGAAAATAGAGCACCTTGAAAAATGTGAGTCCATGATCCTTTGGTTTTTAGAATCTCTTCATCCACAATTCAATTGTCCTCTGTTCACTATTTGCCATGATGCCGACTCGATACTAGTGCTCTCGCCGAAGGAGCTATGAGATGACTTGTGCGTCGGTTGACCTCGTAAGTTGCTAAATGATCTAGGAAGTCCTCTACCTACGATCTGGGTTGTTTGTTGCTATAGAGGTCTGGAGAGTTGCATTGGTTTGAGTTAGGTTTGCTTGGGGACAAGCAAACAGTTAAGTGTGGGGGAATTTGATAACGATGTAATTGCACATATTTGCGCCCCTAGTTCTTATCCGTTTGAGGGGCATAGTCGTGTATTTTTTGCCTATTTTACGCCGAGTTGTGCTATTTTGTCATATTTCAGGTCCCAGGCGTCAAAGGGAAGGCTAAGCACGAGTTTCGGGGCATTCGGAAGTCATTTCATCAAGCTGGAGCCAAAACACGGGCACACCTAAAGCATTACACGGCCGTGTTCTGTGGCCGTGCTTTTACTGCCGAGAGCAAATTCGAGTTTGGCAAACATTCGATGATTACACGGGCTGAAAGCACGGCCGTGTCCACCCAAAGCACGGCCGTGTTCTCCCAAAAGCACGGCCGTGTTTGCACCAACACAATGGCCGTGTAATTAACCCTAGCCAAAGCACGGGCGGGCTGGAGCAAAGCACGGTCGTGCCCTCGATCGTGCTTTGGCCACTGATGCCCTTTTAAACAGATAAATAGAAGGGGATTCGAGTTTTGAGAGAGATAGAGCGATTCCTAGAGAGAGAAAGCGACAAACAAGAGCTCCAAGTGCCCTAGCTTGATCTTCAACACCATTGGAGGCCAGTTTGAGCTTGGAGAAGTGCCGATCAACGTCCAAAAGCAGGAATCCATCCTTCACAGTATGAATTCCGCGTCTGATTCTGCTTTTGCTTCTTTCTCCATGGAGTAGTTCTCCCATTCATCTGGGTATGGAGAACCCTAGATTTGTATGTTAGGCTTTGATTGTATGAACCCAAGTACTGATTCTATGATTTGATTATATTCGATTGAGGTTTGAATGATTGAATGCCTTGAATCCTGATCAAATTCCTGTTGTTTCTGCTTTGACCTAGAATGAGAATATCTGCCTAGGTTGATAGAGCATCCTTGATTGAAGGTAGGGAGTTGGTGACTTTAGTCGAGGAGCCAACTCACTATTCTGTACCGGATTTACTCCGGTAGTGGAGGTTTTGTTTGTTAAGGCCTCAATCTGTTTACTCCGGTGGAGGTTAGTCGCCCGCTAGAGACTCAGATTGAGAGGGTCTGAAGACCTTTAGTCGAGACTTCAGGCTGTTTAAGAACCTTCCGCAGTATAACTATCATAGAAACTGAACTTGATAATTGCAATCCGGCTTAACTGCAATCTAGGGGGAACCATATCCGGGTGACCTCTCTTAACCTGAATACAACCGTTTACTTGCTTTGTTAGTTTGTTAGTTTAGACTTGCATTAAAGTTTCATTGCTAGATAACAAGAATTCACTGAGTAGTCATCAAATCTAGGACCCGGGTTGATAATTAAACCTAAACCCGCTATACTACGGTTTAGGAAGTGGTTTCACTTGGCCAATTCCTGGAGTGACAGTAGAAGTGAGTCACCTGCCGTCAGAACGAGAAGCAGGTCAAGTTAGGGAAGCAACCAACCACAACTACTAGGCCTTCCCTAACCCGGAGAGGGCAGGCTTCATCACCTGTCGTCCCTACACCACCGACACCACCACCACCACCTCGTGACATTGAGCCTGTCATCATGGCAGACGAGGATCGTTCGATCAGGGCTCGGTTGAATCAACGGATTGGAGCCCGAGCTTTATATGTTTCATTCCGACTAGGGATGCAACCATGGAGATTACCTCAGTATTTATCAACATGATCACCAATGTATATACTTTTTGCGGGGCTAGCAATGAGGATTCTCATGAACATCTCCGCCGGTTCGCGAGCATATGTGATACGATGAAGAGCCCAACTGTGTCTGATGATGCAATTCATCTTCGGATGTTCTCATTCTCACTGATAGGGAATGCATCACATTGGTTTCAGAACTTAACACCACGTTCCATCACGACATGGGCTCAACTTGAGAAGGTCTTTCTGGATAAATACTTCCCACCTGCCTTG